CTCACGTGGGACTAATAAGCAAACAGATAAGATGTTTGTGAAAGCAGATACATAAACAAAAACACATCGGTAAACAATTACTGGAATGGTCCGCTGTCAGCGTATGGATATATTTACACATTAAGCCAGAGGAGTTAAAGCCGGAATTATACGCCCCCCTGTTTATATTTTCCCCAATCTCTGTTTAACGGTGAGAAGATTTTTTTTTAAACACATTTATACATATAATAGTTTTAATACCTCATTTTTAATAATTTTCTTAAATATTTGTCATGATGACAGCACATAATATTTGATTAGATGTTTTTAATATACTGGTATTTAGCTTATATTGACATTTAAAGGCTTAGCTAAGTTAATTAAGTTAAAGTTAGGGTGATTAGGCAAGTGAAACATTGCAATGGACGATAGCATCGTCGTCATAGGCTGCGGTGAAATAATTTTTTATGAATAATTAATGAATTCATAACGAACTAATTATTTGTAACCGGTCGTTTCAACTACCTGACCTGCATGGTTCTTGTTTTACCCATAAACAAATCACAAATAAATAAAGATAAGTTACACATTAGTGACCACCTGTCAATCACTATTTTTCTGGCATGAATAGGCAGAGTGATCTTTGTCCGTATAATGGCGTCTACAAACTTGGTTGGTAAAAAAGGTGCACAACTAACATGAGCCAACCAACAGCATCTGAGGTTTTAGCTGAAATGATTAAGTACAAGCGTGAAAGTGAAGGATTAAAGCAGTTTACTTGGTTTGTGACACGTTACTTGATAGATTCAAAAGACAGAAGAGTCGTTAGATAGAGACGAGATTAATTAAATATCACGTTTAACAACTAAAGTGAGACTCCATTGAGCGGTACATCCTTGATAAACCGTCCAATGTGCACTGCTGTCTGGCTTAAGCGGGTTGCTGCTGCGACGGGGGCGGGGCGGAGGATCGCGATGCTGGCTCAACATCGTGATGTCTATCGGCAATCGGCAGTGGATGTTGACATCGTCTATCGACCCAACTCTACTATCTATCTCAATATGGACAACTGTTCGGGCGTGGTCAGTTTGCTCGGTTGCTCACCTTGTAAGGTGTTGTATTTGTAACGCAGAGCTCTCAGGTTCACGTCAGATCGAGCATGCTTCCACCAAAAGAAATAAAAGCAGTGTAAAATCAAGGTAAAACGATGTGGACGCAGTGCATTTTTTATAACGTCTGGTTTTGACAACACTATTGATTAGGGTAATTAGGCAAGTCATTGTTTAACAGTGGTTCGATATGGAGACAATGCAAACTAATATTGCTTAAGGGGGCTAAAAATATTGACCTTAAAATTGGTTTAAAAAAATTAAAAACGGCTTTAATTCATGCTGAAATAAAACAAATACGACTTTCTGCAGAAGAAAAAATATTATAGGAAATACTGCTAAAAATTCCTGAATCTGTTTGGGAAATATTAGGAAAAATAATACAAATAATTTTGACTTCAACTGCATATGTTAAGGCTTGACTGAGGTTTTTGAGGAGGTGATGAGTTGTTTTATTTGCAGGGAGTGTGAGAATGAAGTGGAGCGACGGCAGTGTTTGCTATCGATTTTCCTTAGACTCTCTTGAGGGAGACGTGTCTCACTTTCAGCTCAAATGATGTTAAATGACAATGCTATTGATTTCGGTTGCTCCAAGTAACTCGGTGTAGAAGAAGGCAGAAGTGAAAGAGTGGCGTTTGTTTGTTTCATTTCTCAATCAAGTGCTATCCTTTTCATTCGCTGTGCACTGTGACATTATATTCTTTGGAAATCTTGCTACTTGTGTCTAAAAATATCGATTTCTCAACACAGGCTCATTGAAAAATACATGCTTTAGCCTACATGTTTCTAAAACGCAGTAAAGTCGGAATGAAATCACTCTTCTTATTTTATGTGCTTGTTGTAAATTATATATTTGAGCATTTTATTTATTCATTCATTCCTTCAGCTTAGTCCCTTTATTCATCAGGGGTCTCCACAGCGGAATGAACCGCCACTTATTCCGGCATGTGTTTTACACAGCGGATGCTCTTCCTGCCGCAACGCAGTACCTGAAAACTGCACTTCTTTATTTTGAACAAATTAATTTGCCCTTTGAATCTTTAATCAAATATCATAACCTTTTCTCCCCCCTCGAAACGTCTTTTCTTAACTTCTGGTCACATGGAATGCCTTTAGGGCGGGGCTAACTGTTCTTTAGGGTGGGGCTATCAGGGAGTGTTGTTTCTGCTCTGCTTTCACCCATTCATCAATCTTCTTTCATTTTGTTGGCAACAATCATTTTCCAACAATCCAATCAACTCCCAGAGGACGAAAACATGCACCGCTCCACTTTTTTTCGAATTTCGTTTCAATTGTATATTGGTAATTCAATAACTACGAGCAGCTTTAAGTCTTTTAATCATATATCCAATATATATATATATATATATATATATAAATATATATATATATATATATATATATATATATATTAGTGCGGTCAATTGATTAAAAAAATTAACTAATTAATCGCACCTTTTTAAAAAAATTAATCGCGATTAATCACATTTAAAATACTGAAACTTGTAATTTTGGCTATTCAAATGTAAAATTAATATAAACGCCAGACAAAAACTATTTAAATTCAAAATATAATTGTTTATTAGAATTAAAATTCAAAATATTATTTTTTAATAGAATTTTTGTTTAACTTGTGACACAGATTTCTTCATGTAAACAACACACCCACAATAAACCATCAAGATCCTGGCTTGACAGCCATATTTATTACAGAAATTAAAACACAGGCATGTTAATGACATTTAAATTTCAAAACAATCAATGCCAATAAAGAAAACATTGATTTCCATGTTGGATTCTAAGTGGAATGCAAAAAAATGCCAAAATACAGGAAAAATACATCGTTAAATACATTGCACACATCTCTCCCCCGCATCCCTCCTAGCTCTTCAGGTAGCCTATGTCGCGCGCAACTCACCCCCACCGTCCTTCAGGTACGTCTCGCGCGCACACGCCCCTACTCAGATACGTCGTTCACTCCACCCCTGACACCCCTCAACGGGCCTGACACAGACACAGACAGACACACACAACGCGCTGCAGACGTTTTGGCCCCAACGGCCTTCCATACAGGAGCGACTCCCCTCAGATTCAACACGCATGATCACGTTCATCAAATTTGCTTGAACTAAGCGTCCTAAAGTATTACTGTATTTCACAAGGATTCTGACACAACAACGCGAAGCACACGCTTTCATTGCGTTTAATGAGGAAACACGCTAAACTTGGAGGGCTCATGCTGAAAGGCAGAGTAATGCCCTGTCTTTGACAGCTCGCGACTTCACCAGACTTTCTGAGTACATTTACATAAGACACCAATACTCCGATTTTAATATGGTTTAGATTATACTCTTATTAAAATTCTACCGTGTAGCCTAAGCAGTGATTTTATTACATTAAAGGAACACCGAGTCACGAAATGCGGAGGATTTTCTTTCTGTTCGTCATGCGGTATCAACTCACAACAGAAGTCGAAAGTTAAAAATGAAACACCCGAAATTGCATGAAACTTTGGAGAGCCTGGTGATGCGACTAATTGTTTTATACTGAAACTTGCCTTCAAAAAGTGCTTCCTTGGTCTTATCCACATTTCTTGCATGTTGAACACACGTCCATCACAACAGGAAGTAAAAAAAACCTGCAACTGCGTTAATTGCGTTAATTTTTTTTAACGCGTTAATTATTTAAAATTAATCGCATGCGTTAACGCACTAATTTTGACAGCGCTAATATATATATATATATATATATATATATATATATATATATATATATATATATATATATATATATATATATAATTTTGTTCAAATTCCTTTTTCTTTGTCAAACTAACAAAAAACCTACTTTAAAAAAAATACTAGCTTTCTATTATATTGTTTTCGTATTATTTAACCTCCTTTTAGGTGTCAAAATCACTGTTTTAAACTTGTCGCTCACCCAGAGTTTTAAACTTCAACAATGAAAATAACATTTTAAAATATTATTTATCAGGTATCTACTAATGTATCTTAATGAAGCAGTAGCGAAGCAGGTTCAAATCAGGTGAAGCATGCTTCCACCAAAAGAAATAAAAGCAACGTAAAATCAAGGTAAAACTATGTGGACGCAGTGCTTCTTCTTTTTAAAGAATTTAAATCTGATTTAGATTTAGATAAATCAAGAATTTGTCTGATTTAGAAAACACTATTGGTTGGCTTTAGAGATGGGTTTGCTAGATGACAAGCCCTGCTTTCTTCTGGACATGTACAAGAAATAATAATAAAAAATTAGATAAAAATTCTTCTTTTTTTTAAATAAAATTGCATTTAATAAGGCGAGGCAGTGGCGCAGTAGGTAGTGCTGTCGCCTCACAGCAAGAAGGTCGCTGGTTCGAACCTCGGCTCAGTTGGCGTTTCTGTGTGGAGTTTGCATGTTCTCCCTGCCTTCGCATGGGTTTCCTCCAGGTGCTTAGTTTTCCCCCACAGTCCAAACACATGCGGTACAGGTGAATTGGGTAGGCTGAATTGTCCATAGTGTATGAGTGTGTGTGTGGATGTTTCCCAGAAATGGGTTGCGGCTGGAAGGGCATCCGCTGCGTAAAAACTTGCTAGATAAGTTGGTGGTTTATTCCGTTGTGGCGACCCCGGATTAATAAAGGGACTAAGCTGACAAGAAAATGAATGAATGAATGAATGAATGCATTTAATAATTGTAGTACACTGTACTTCAGTACGATTAAGCTCACCTCACACAATGAATCCCGCCGTTTAATTGAGCGAAAGCCCTTTGCGGATTGCTGTTTTTGTCCAGCGAGTGAGGAAGTAAAGCCTGAAACACTTGAAGATTAGCCATTAAAGCTACGGTCAGATGTGTGTGTGTGTGTGTTTGAATGAGGTGCTATCATCATCATGCTTTTGCTTGTGTGTTCAGGGTGCTTCTGCGGTTTGGGACTAATCTACTCCAATAAGACCTGCACTATGCCCTCCGTCACCTTCCAGGACCTTCCTCTCAACATCTACATGGTCATCTTCGGCACAGGCATCTTCGTCTTCGTCCTCAGCCTCATCTTCTGCTGCTACTTCATAAGGTCAATCTGGTACCCACATATACACACACACAGTTGAAGTCAGAATTATTCGACCTCCTGTTTATTTATGTTCTTTTTCAAATATTTCCCAAATGATGTTGAGCAGATTCAGGAATTTTTCACAGTATTTCCTATAATGTTTTTTCTTCTGGAGAAAGTCTTACTTGTTTTATTTCGGCTAGAATAAAAGCAGTTCTTAATTTATTTTAAGCCATTTTAAGGTCAATATTATTAGCCCCCTTCAGCAATATTAGTGTTGGATTGTCTCCAGAACAAACCACTGTTATACAATGACTTGCCTAATTACCCTAACTTTACCCTAATTACCCTAGTGAAGCCTTTACATGTCACTTTAAGCTGAACACTAGTGTCTTGAAGAATATCTAGTCAAATATTATGTGCTGTCATCATGACAGAGAGAAAATAAATCAGTTATTAGAGATGAGTTATTAAAACTATTATGATTAGAAATGTGCTTAATCTTCTCTCCGTTAAACAGAAATTGGGGACTAAATATATACAGGAGGGTGAATAATTGTCTTCAACTGTACATGAACACACAGATGTAAGTGTGTGTATATATATCAGGAAATTGCTGTATTCTTGGTACACAAGCAGACGTCAGCAGCACCGCAACAGATGAATGCTCTTTAATGAGCTGCTATATTACACACACACACACACACACACACACACCGCTGCAAATAACCTTTATTTTTCTCTTGTCGTCAACAGTAAATTGAGACATCAGGCTCAAAGTGAACGCTTTGGATACCGAGAGGTAAAAGAGAGTAAACATGCTTTCAAAAGTTCATCTTTTACCTGTTTATGGAATAAAGAGTATAACTTTATTACCTGTCATTTACCTGTCATTCAAAGAGAATAACTTTATTACCTGTAATCTGCAGGTGGTTTTAAAAGGGGATCCAAAGAAGCTGAATCTACATGGGGTAAGAAACGGCCTTTTTTACAGTCATAATAACAAGGTTTCAGTCTTTTAAATGTAGAACTTAAAGACTTTGCCAGGCCTGGATAATAAAAATAAATAAAATGTAATTAATTTAATAAATTGCAGTATTTAAGGTAAATATATTTTAGTATTCATACTCACTTTATTTTGTTTTGTAAGTAAATAATTTGAAAACATATTAGTGCTGGGCAAAGATTAATCGCATATAAAATAAAAGTAGGTAGTGCTGTCGCCTCACAGCAAGAAGGTCGCTGGTTCGAACCTCAGCTCAGTTGGCGTTTCTGTGTGGAGTTTGCATGTTCTCCCTGCGTTCGCGTGGGTTTCCTCCGGGTGCTCCGGTTTCCCCCACAGTCCAACACATGCGGTACAGGTGAATTGGGTAGGCTGAATTGTCCGTAGTGTATGAGTGAGTGCGTGAATGTGTGTGTGGATGTTTCCCAGAGATGGGTTGCGGCTGGAAGGGCGTCCGCTGCGTAAAAACTTGCTGGATAAGTTGGCGGTTCATTCCGCTGTGGCGACCCCGGACTAATAAAGGGACTAAGCCGACAAGAAAATGAATGAATGAATGTATTTAAGGTAAATATATTTTAGTAGTTATACTCACTTTATTTTGTCTTGTAAGTGAATAATTTGAAGAAATATTAGTGCTGGGCAAAGATTAATCGCATTCAAAATAAAAGCTTGGTTTGACATAATATATTTGTGTGTATTACTTATATTTGCTATATGTACAAACACTGGCCACTTTATTAGGTACATCTTACTAGTACCAGGTTGGCACCGCCTTTGCCTTTAGAACTGCCTCAATCCTTGGTGGTAAAAATATTCCTCAGAGATGTTGCTCCATATTGACATGATAGCATCACACAGTTGCTGCATTTTGTCGGCTGCACATCCATGATGCCAATCTCCCGTTCCACCACTTTCCAAAATTGCTCTATTGGATTGAGCTCTGGTGACTGTGGAGGCCATTTGAGTACAGTGAACTCATTGTCACGTTCAAGAAACCAGTCTGGGATGATCGAGCTTTATGACATGCTGCGTTATCCTGCTGGAAGTAGCCATCAGAAGATGGAGACACTGTGCTCATAAAGGGATGGACATGGTCAGCAGCAATACTCAGGTAGGCTGTGGCGTTGATGCTCAATTGGTACTAATGAGCCCAAAGAAAATCTCCCCCACACCAATACACCACCACCAGCAGCCTGAACTGCTGATACAAGGCAGGATGGATCCATGCTTTCATGATGTTGAGGCCAAATTCTGACCCGAGCATCTGAATGTGTCAGCAGAAATGGAGACTCATCAGAGCAGCGACGTTTCTCCAATCTTCTATCCAGTTTTGGTGAGTCTGTGTGAATTGTAGCCTCAGTTTCCTGTTCTTAGCTGACAGGAGCGGCACCCGGTGTGCTCTTCTGCTGCTGTAGCCCATCCGCCTCAAGGTTGGACGTGTTGTGTGTTCAGAGATGCTCTTCTGCAGAGCTCGGTTGTAGCGAGTGCTTATTTGAGTTACTGTTGCCTTTCTATCAGCTGGAACCAGTCTGGCCATTCTCCTCCGACCATTAACAAGGCATTTGCGCCCACAGACCTGCCGCTCGCTGGATATTTCCTCTTTTTCAATTCTCTGTAAATCCTAGAGATGGTTGTGCGTGAAAATCCCAGTAGATCAGCAGTTTCTGAAATACTCAGAGCAGCCCGTCTGGCAGCAACAACCACGTTCAAAGTCTCTTAAATCCCCTTTCTTCTCCATTCTGATGCTCGCTTTGACCTGCAGCAGATCGCCTTGACCATGTCTACATGCCTAATTGCATTGAGTTGCTGCCATCTGATTGGCTGATTAAAAATGTGCGTTAATGAGCAGGTGTACCTAATAAAGTGGCCGGTGAGTGTATATATAATTTGTATTATATATGCATATTTTTTATAAGGCAAATGTATTTTGTTTTACTCCAATCTACGCATCCATGTGTGTATTTACATATACATAATAAATAGAGTGTAAAAAGTGCTGGGTTCCACACAATGGATTTGTGTTAAGACGACATGAAGGAATTAAGTTCGTGTGTTACTTATTACTTAAATTTAAGTAGATTGAACATAAAACAGTTAAGATGTCTCAATAAAACCTCAATAAATTAAATAAGTAGCTCAAACAAACAGCAAACGTCCGATTTTGAGTGTAGAAAGTAGAAGATTCTCATCTTGAATTGCAATATTTTATGAGTTATATCGGATATCTTGTCTAACATCTCTCAGTACAGTGGTTATTGGACTCACATGTGTTCCCCGTGTGTGTGTGTGTCTCCGCAGCAGACGTGTGCAGTGTGTCTGGAGGACTTTAAGGTGAAAGATGAGCTGGGAGTGTTGCCATGCCAACATGCCTTTCACAGGAGGTGCGTAATGAGCTGCTCTCCAAAAACACAGCCGTCCTGCTATTGTTAGACTGACAGGAGACGCACTAATGCGCTCTGCTTTTACACCATTCCTCTGTTTAAACATGAGCGTATGCAGATGAATAATTACCAGAAGATGAGCATAAGTGGAAACACCAGCCATTACAGACTTTGATTGGAAGCAATGACTGTGAGGTTTACAAAATAAAAAGTACTCACTGTTTACTCTGCCTCCAGTGGCTTGACATATTTATGAGGTTTTTTTATTTTTATTTGGTTGAACACAAAAGAGGATACTTTGAAGAATGCTGGAAACCGGTAACCATTGACTTCTGTTGCAGAAAAAACAAATACTACGAAAGTCGGTGGTTACAGGTTTGCAGCATTCCTCAAAATATCTTAACTTGTTTCCAACCTTTATTAGTTTCTTTCTTCTGTCAAAAAAACAAATGAAGATACTTTGAAGAATGTCGGAAACTGGTAACCATTGACTTCCATAGTAGGAAAAACAAATACTTTGGAAGTCAATGGTTACAGGTTTCCAGCATTGTTCAAAATATCTTCACTTGTTTTAAACCTTTATGAGTTTCTTCTTTCTGTTGAACACAAATTAAGATATTTTAAAGAATGTTGGAAACCGGTAACCATAGACTTCCATAGTAGAAAAAAACAAATATTACGGAAGTCAGTGATTAAAGGTTTCCAGCATTCTTCAAAATATTTTCAATTATTTTGAACCTTTATGACTTTTTCCTCTGTTGAACACAAAAGAAGATATTTTGAAGAATGCTGGAAACCGGTAACCATTGACTTCCATTGTAGAAAAAACAAATACTACAAAAGTCAGTGGTTACAGGTTTTCAGCGTTCCTCAAAATATCTGAACTTGTTTCCAACCATTATTAGTTTCTTTCTTCTGTTTAAAAAACAAATGAAGATACTTTGAAGAATGTTGGAAACTAGTAACCATTGACTTCCATAGTAGGAAAAACAAATACTATGGAAGTCAATGGTTACAGGTTTCCAGCATTGTTCAAAATATCTTCACTTGTTTCAAACCTTTATGAGTTTCTTCTTTCTGTTGAACACAAATTAAGATATTTTAAAGAATGTTGGAAACCGGTAACCCTTGACTTCCATAGTAGAAAAAACAAATAGTACGGAAGTCAGTGATTAAAGGTTTCCAGCATTCTTCAAAATATTTTCAATTATTTCGAACCTTTATGACTTTTTCCTCTGTTGAACACAAAAGAAGATATTTTGAAGAATGCTGGGAATGGGTAACCATTGAGTTCCATAGTAAAAAAAAATAAAAAAAATACTACAGAAGTCAGTGATTAAAGGTTTCCAGCATTCCTCAAAATATCTTCACTTGTTTCAAACCTTTTTGATTTTTTCCTTTGTTGAACACAAAAGAGGATACTTTGAAGAATGCTGGAAACCAGTAACCATTGACTTCCATTGTAGAAAAAACAAATACTACAAAAGTCAGTGGTTACAGGTTTTCAGCGTTCCTCAAAATATCTGAACTTGTTTCCAACCATTATTAGTTTCTTTCTTCTGTTTAAAAAACAAATGAAGATATTTTGAAGAATGTTGGAAACTGGTAACCATTGACTTCCATAGTAGGAAAAACAAATACTATGAAAGTCAATGGTTACAGGTTTCCAGCATTGTTCAAAATATCTTCACTTGTTTCAAACCTTTATGAGTTTCTTCTTTTCGTTGAACACAAATCAAGATATTTTGAAGAATGCTGGAAACGGGTAACCCTTGACTTCTATAGTACAAAAAAAAAATTAACTATTAAAGTCAGTGCTTACAGTTTTCCAGCATTATTTAAAATATCTTCTTTTGTTTGAAACATGAGTTTCATATCTCTGTTGAACACAAATGAAGAGACATTGAAGAATGCTGGAAACGGGTAACCATTGACTTCTATAGTAGGAAAAACAAATACTATGGAAGTCAATAGTTACAGGTTTCCAGCATTCTTCAAAATATCTTCACTTGTTTCAGACCTTTATGACTTTTTGCTCTGTTTAACACAAAAGAAGATATTTTGAAGAATGCTGGGAATGGGTAACCATTGAGTTCCATAGTAAAAAAATAAAATAAAAATACTACGGAAGTCAGTGATTAAAGGTTTCCAGCATTCTTCAAAATATCTTCACTAATTTTTTTCTTCTGTGACCCATTTCCAGCATTCTTCAAAATATATTCGTGTTCAACAGAGAAGCAAAAGTCATAAAGGTTTGAAACAAGTGAAGATATTTTGAAGAATGCTGGAAACCTGTAACCACTGACTTCCGTAGTATTCGATCTTGTTCCTATGAAAGTCAATAGTTACCGGTTTCCAGCATTCTTCGAATGATCTTCTTTTATTCAACAGAAGAACGAAATTTATTTTAGGTTTGAAACAAGTAAAGATATGCAGTTGCTATGGAAACCTTCAGTTTTTCTGTATTTTGTATAAATTAGTATGTTGTTATGTGTACAGCTACATGACAATCACGTGTGTGTGTGTTATTGGACTAACTTGTCAGGTGTGTGTGTGTTTGCAGGTGTGTGGTGAAGTGGCTGGAGGTGCGCTGTGTGTGTCCAATGTGTAACAAACCTCTGTCTGGATCCTCCGAGCAGCACCAGAGCCTCGGGACTCTGCTGGATGAGCTGGTGTAGAGCGCAGACTAGCATTAGCATCAAAAAAAACAAAAAAACTCACAAACGCCTCTGACCTGACTGTGATTTCACCCGAATCTGAGACTGATGAACGCCAGGGCCACGTCTTATTCATGACGAACCAACTGAGGAAGCATTTAGGATGAGGTTTTGTGTCTTTTCAGACTGTAATTAAGCACTGAATGCTAACAGAGCTGTCTGTTTGTATGCTAACTCAGAAGGCTAACTCACCACAGGTTCCCTCAGGAATACATACAGGGTTTTTTGGATAAGTGGTTTTCGATTTTATCGGTTAAATAAGGTCTGTGTTTAACAATTTTTCAAGTTTTGAAGAACTCAAAAACAACACTTGGGTGCTAACCTTAACCCTAACTGCTTAAGTTATACGTTGCTAGCAAGTTCTCACGTTTAAAGTAGGCTACATATGTAAAGTGGATACTAAAGTTGTTTTGGGACCATACTATAGTAAAGTGTATGATACTGTATGTATTATATTGTTTACAACCCTTCTACAATAGTGAACTGATAAACGGTAATAAATACTGTAGTTCACTTTCGTTTTTTACTATAGTTAACTGTGGTTTGTCGTAGTATAATGTACAATAGAGTTGTTAAAAAGCTGCAGTGTTGAGTTATTTGTTTATGTTGTTATGGTATGGAGCCAGATCAGTCTCAAAAATAATACGTTTGCAAAAGAAAAACTCATACATGCACCGCACAATTCACATTTACAGAATTCAATTCGTAAATTCAAAACACAATTTGTGAATTCACGGTTTGAATTTACGAATTGGATTTGCACATTTATAATTTGTGTTTTGAGTTCAGGAATGATGTTTTTTTTTACAAATTGTGTTTTAAATATACAAATTGCGTTTTGAATATTTACAAAATGAGTTTTGAATTTACGAATTGGATTTGCACATTTATGAATCGTGTTTTAAATTTACGAATTGGATTTGCGCATTTATGTATTGCATTTTGAATTTACGAATTTGATTTGCACATTTATGAATTGCATTTTGAAATTACAAATTGGATTTGCACAATTCCAAATAGTGTTTTGAATTTACAAATTGGATTTGCGCATTTATGAATTGTTTTGAATTTATGAATAAGATTTGCAAATTTATGAATTGTATTTTGAATTTACGAATTTGATTTGCACATTTATGAATTGCATTTTGAAATTACAAATTGGATTTGCACAATTCCAAATAGTGTTTTGAATTTACAAATAGGATTTGCGCAGTTAAGAATTGTGTTTCGAATTTGTGCATTGGTTTTGCGCATTTATGAGTTGCATTTTGAATTTACGAATTGGATTTGCACATTTTCTTATTGTGTTTTAAATTTATAAATTGGATTTGCGCATTTACGAATAGTGTTTTGAATTTACGAATAGGATTTGCACATTTACGAATTGTGTTTTAAATTCACAAATAGGCTTTGCGCATTTACGAATTGTGTTTTGAATTTGCACATTGGATTTGCGCATTTATTAATGGAACTTTGAATTTACGAATTGGATTTGCACATTTCTAAATTGTGTTTTGAATTTACAAATAGGATTTGCGCATTTAAGAATTGTGTTTTGAATTTGCATTGGATTTGCGCATTAATGAATTGTGGTTTAATTTTACGAATAGGATTTGCACATTTACAAATAGTGTTTTGAATTTAAGAGTTGGATTTGTATGTTTACAAATAGGGTTTAGAATTTACGAACTAATAGTTAATGTGAATTGTAAATGTAATATTTTTGAGACTGAACTTGCTCAATACTATAGTTGTAGTGTTACCATAGCAACTGTAGAATCACCACAACAGATTAAATCAAGTACTTTACTGTAGTATGGTTCAAAAACACTACAGTGTTTACTTCATATCACTATAGTTTTGGTTTTTTTTATGTCTGTTGCTACAACTAGCACATGAATGTGGGTTTACATGCTTTATGTATTATGTAGAAACCAAAAATTGTTTGTTTCATGCTAAATATGCCTGTGTGTTCAAGTATTTTGAGAGTGGACAATGTGGAAGTAAATTGGGCGGGGCTAAACAGCCTCTTCAGCTCTCTAATTGTAGGAATTCCCGCACAGCATCATGGGTATTGTAGTTTTTCACCACAGATCACAAACAAATGTGTCTAATGGTTTCTAGAAAAGCATTAACTGTCAATTTACACCTTTATAACTCACAATATAGTCTTGTCTCTATCGGTTTACTGCCTGATAGTAACTTTTAGCAGCCTTTTTAAAGCGCACAACAGTTTTCAAAAGTCTTATTTGCTTCATGAATGTGTGTAATTTGTGTTGTGGAACAAACCGTGCCAAATGAAATGTAAACACAGGCCGTATTTGACTTCAAAACCACTTCAGAAACCCATGTTGACGTCCTTCGAGAACCACTCTCTCAAAACTGCTAATTCTCTTCTGGGTTTTAGGACTACAAATGAAACGTGGCTACTGTAAACAGTCTACATGAGGCCAGCGGAGATGATGGAAACAGTGTTTACTGCATTCAGACGATGTAATGACAGCACAGTGCATCGGGCCCAAAGAACTAGGTGTGCGTGTGTATGTGTGTGTGTGTATGTTTCACAGTCATCAGTAGTAGCGACTGATGCCTCCTTCATTTCAAGATGATATGTGCACAAATCCTCAATGGTTGTAAGAGACTTTAAGCAAACACTACCACAGTTCCCGGACACAGGAATGGGCTGCCAATGACAACACAAGTGGCTTTCTTTTTGTATTTCAAGTTACTTTCGTGTTTGTTCACTGTAATCTGGTGGCCATTGTTATTACCTGCAGTGTTTTAGTCAATGTTTTCACACTGAAAAAAGACAAAAAAAGAACATTTTGACAGCAATTTACTGAGCATGTTGTCTTTTGTGTGTCGAAGTACACTATTTTATATTTAGTTTATATATACACTACCTGATAAAAGTCTTGTCGTCGATCTCAGTTGTAAAAGCAACGCATAACAACTTGATTTCTAGTTGATCATTTGGAAAAGTGGAAGAAGGTGGATTTTTCTGCTGATCTGCATCCCAATCATCACAAACACTGCAGAAGACCTACTGGAACCACCATGGAGCCAAGATTCCCATGGAAATCAATCAAGTTTGGTGAAGGAAAAGTCATGGTTTGGGGTTACATTCAGTATGGAGAGATCTGCAGAGTGTTTGGCAACATCAACAGCCTGAGGTATCAAGACATCTGTGCTGCACATTACATTACAAACCACAGGAGAGGGACAATTCTCCAGCAGGATAGCGCTCCTCATACTTCAGCCTCCACATCAAAGCTCCTGAAAGCAAAGAAGGTCAATTTGCTCCAGGATTGGCCAGCCCAGTCACCAGACATGAACATTATTGAGCATATATTGAGAGCGCCGCCTATTCACAAACAGCAATTACTTAACTCATGTAAAATGGTAAAACGATTAGTTTGATGGATTGTGAATGAAATCAGTTTAAATATAGTTTTTAAATAATTACTATTAAAATCTTATCACAAAAATGGCTAATTAACTGTTAATCGGGGTGCATAAACTCTGTCCTGGAGGGTCGGTGTCATGGAAAGTTTAGTTTCAGCCTTAATCAGACACACCTGGGAAGGGGCGTAGTGCAAAATGCGGAGGTCCCCCTGTAGGGATCACTGACGGGACCCCCTGATGAAGGGGGGGGGGTAGGGGTGAGAGACAACACAGGGGAAGCGATCACAATATGAGTGGGGAAGGGAGGCAAGGTGGAGCGACAACGCGGGGAAGCCTTCACAAACTGAAAAACGATCACAAACCGAAAGCAGCGAGAGCGTCAAAGTAGCCAGAAGTCATTCATTTTCAATGGCGAGAAACAGTGCAGGGCGTCTTCTCCGGTGTGAGCGTCGAGGAGAGTTTAAATCAAGCTAAATTTATAGTATGAGCTATGTCGCGGTTCGGTGGCAAGCAATCAGAATGAGCGGTGGTTAGAGAACACAGACCTGTGAACTTTGGTTCCGACCACAGTTGTTCCCAAGAGTTTGATTATTGCGGTTGCCGAATTTACAATTATTGAAAATCGCGATGACGCGGGGCCCCCTAATCACGCGGGCCCGTCCGCTACGCCACTGCACCTGGGCTAGCTAACCAAGCTCTTAAGCTGCGGTCACACTGCACTTTTCTCCCCATAGACTTCCATCCATACACCTGCGAATGCGTCAGACCGGAAATGCAAATTCCTGCAACGTTTTGCAATTCGCAAATACTTTGGAAAGTTCAAGCTTGGTGAACTGATCTGTAAAATCACATCACTTGACAAATATGGAGCAATCGCTCGCTTTTTAAATGTCGAATCATCTGATTTAATCCCGCCCCTTTTCACAGCGGCCGAACTAGAGAATTTGGCAAGCTCCAACTTTAGTGTGACCACAGCTTTACTTGGCTTTCTGGAAACATCTGTGCCCATGTGTTGAGACAAGTCTGCAGGACACCGGCTCTCCAGGGCCGAGTTAGGATTCCCCTGCTGTACATACTGTAGTTTGTGAACATCTTTATTATTTGTGAATTTATTGATTTTAATTTTACATTAGGAAGATAAAGGCTTTAAATATTAAAACATAAAATTGTACTTTAAATTATATATATATAAAGTTGAAGTCAGAATTCTTCACCCCCCTTTGAGTTTTCTTTTTTTAAATATTTCCCAAATTATGTTTAACAGTGCAAGGAAATGTTCACAGTATGTCTAATAATATTTTTTCTTCTGGAGAAAGTCTTATTTGATTTATTTCAGCCGGAATAAAAGTAGTTTTTAATTTTTTGAAAACATTTTAAGGTCAAAATGATTTGCCCATTTAAGCGATTTTTTTTTCAATAGTCTACAGAACAAACCATCATTACCCTGCGGAAAAACCCAGCTTAAACCAGCCTAGACTGGTTGGCTGGTTTTAGCTGGTCGACCAGGCTGGTTTTAGAGGGTTTTGGGCCACTTCCAGGCTGGTTTCCAGCTACTTCCAGCCTGGTCTTAGCTGGTCAGGCTGGAAAGTGATCAGCTAAAACCATTTAAAACCAGCTTGACCATCCTGGTTTAAGCTGGATGTTTTGGCTGGGCCCCCAGCCTGGCTAGGCTGGTCAAGCTGGTTTTAGCTGGTCATCTCCCAGCCTGTCCAGCTAAAACCAGACTGGAAGTGGCCAAAACCCCTCTTAAACCAGGCTGGTCGAACAGCTAAAACCAGCCAACCATAGGCTGGTTTAAGCTGGATTTTTTTAGCAGGGTATGCAGTAACTTGCCTAATTACCCAACCTGACTAGTTACCCCAATTAACCTAGTCAGGCCTTTAAATATCACTTTAAGCTGTTTAGAAGTGTCTTGAAGAATATCTAGTCTAATATTATTTACTCGTGGCAAAGATAAAATAAATCAGTTAGTAGAAATAACTGATTTATTTTATCTTTGCCATGATGACAATAAATAATATTTTATTAGATATTTTATAATAAACGGGGGCTAATAATTCTGACTTTCGCTGTGTGTTTATGTTTGTGTGTGTATGTATTTACAATGTAACACAGAAAGTACAGCTTAGTTTCTAAAAAGCCACAAGATTTGATTAACGGAAGTCCAGGAAACGTTGTTCACGTCATCGCGTTGCGTAAACACGGAAGTTGTTGTTCCGGGAAGAGAGGCGCTTTGTAAAAAAAAAAGAAAACTGTGGCGCTTTGTCAATTTGTCATCATCAACGCTTTTGTTCACCGTATGAAGCCATGATGCGATTAACAGCTCTGTGTATCGCCATTTTCTGCCTGTCTCAGGGTGAGTCTGCTATTATAATAATTAAAGAGTTGATAACTGTTGTGTTTAAGCTCGATAAAGCTGCTGACGTGTTTATCACTCCTCATCCTCGTGCTCACTGTGTGTCAGCTCATCAGCTAGATAAACTGACATTTATGTACATTATTAGAATATCAAACTGTTAGATATGTGCTCAAACGTGTCAATAGAAGAGTCTTCTGATTGAGGTAAAGTTGGTTTTTATTCGCACCTTCGTTCAGTGACAGCTCCCTGTATTGTTTACCATGGTACTTTGAATATTCAGACTAAAATTACATGTTAGTTTGACTTCAAAACAACATTAACACTATTTAACTGACTGTGAACAGTGTTGTACTTTGTTAGTGATTGGCTGCTAATATGATTTCACTATTTACAATTTGCAATTAATACATTTCTGAAGTTATATTGTTAAGGAGAAAGTCTGTATGGGCAAATATTAAACCAACTTTACCCCAGTCTTCTTCTGGACGACGCCATAGTTTACATTTTGTTATCAATTTGTGTGATAAAAATCAGTAAACATGTCTAAAAACGAGCATATACATCGATTCTACTGAGTTTCTATGCGTCTTGGCATTTTAAAATGTCTATTCCAGTCATTGAAAGTCATAATTTGTTTTATATAACTTATATTTTTGTTGGTTGAGGTAAAGTTGCATTATATTCGCACATTCAGACTTTCTCCTTAATAATTTCATTAAAGAAAATGACTCCTAAATAGGGAAATTGGCAGGCAATTACTATCAAAGTGCAACAGTGTTCACCGTTAATTAAACAGTGCTAATGTTGTTTTTAAGTAGTACTTGCATTGATTTCAGATTAAATAGAAGCATAATAAACAATATAGGGGCCATGTCACATTGTTTAAAAGTGATTCTGTGCGAATCTGACATTGCAGTATTTTGTTTTGCTACAATATATATTGCAATATGAATATAAGTTTACCAGATGAACAGATCTATTCAAAAATATTTCTTTCATTTAGATCGACTAGGGTGATCATGTCCTTTTTAATGCAGTGCATCTGCATAAAATATATTACAAGCATATATATAAATACGACAGAGCAAAAATAAAAGTGAAAAACTTTTTTTCTGGGGAGTCTAGCAGAGTTCAAGTACAGAAGTGGAACAATCAGACCTGAAATAACATGGTCATCATTGTATTACAAAATACATACATATATATATATATATATATATATATATATATATATATATATATATATATATATATATATATACATATATATATGTATATATATATATATGTATATGTATATATATATATATATATATGTATATATATATATATGTATATGTATATATATATATATATATATATGTATATATATATATATGTATATGTATATATATATAAGTCAGAATTATTAGCCCCCTGTTTATTTTTCCCCCAATTTCTGTTTAATGGAGAGATTTTTTTTCAACCCATTTCTAAACATTATATTTTTAATAACTCATTTCTAATAACTGATTAATTTTATCCTTGCCTTGATGACAGTAAATAATATTAGACTAGATATTCTTCTAGACATTTCTATACAGCTTAAAGTGACATTTAAAGGCTTAACTAGGTTTATTAGGGTAGCTAGGCAGGTTAGGGTTATCAGGCAAGTTATTGTATAATGATAGTTTGTTCTGTACTATCAGAAAAAATATAGCTTAAATAATTAAAAAATTAAAAACTGCTTTTATTCTAGCCGAAATAAAACAAATAAGACTTTCTCCAGAAGGAAAAATATTATCAGACATACTGTTTCCATGTGTGTTCAATAAGAAAAGGTCTGGAGAGGGTTTTCTTCAATGCCAAAAATATTATTAATTTATTAGAAACAAATGAATAATTCGATGACAGAAGTCTGGGTTACGTTACCCCAATGCAATACAAGAATTACATTCAAGAGGTTCGCAACTAACATTCATTTTCCTGACTCCAGCATATATACACAACTGATATTGACAGGTGAAGTTTTGGTTTAACGTCACTTACCAGTCATTCTGCAGTTCTTTGAGTGTTGCACCCAGACATACTTCCTCTTTCTGCATCCGTTCTCTGCACACCAGAACTGAACAATTTAGTGCATCTTCAATATATTTCACAACTTCTACAAGCATCATGCTCCTTGTGACATTTCTAGACTTCTTATTAGACAGCAACAAGGAACAAGGGCCCCCGCACTATATTTGTTCTCATTCTGCTCTTTCCCTCTTGTCAGCAGTTCTTTCTAAAAAGATTGCAACACAGTAAAAAAGAAGAAGTATGCCTGGTCAATATATGGCATCATACAAAAGAAAAAGATTGATTAATCTGTTGTTAGTCTAAACATTTTTCTAATAAAAAATAAAGATACAAAAGTAATACACATAAATACCTTTTTCTCCACAATATTGCAAAAATTTCCTTGGTCTGTTAAACATTTTTTGGGAAATATAAAAAAAAAAAAAAATCAAAGGGGGCCGAATAATTCCGACCTTAATTCTGTGCGAGTGTTTGTTTATATATATATATATATATATATAATATTGTTTAATAATATCTTTGTCTTTTAATCCTTAATAAATAATCTAATCGATGTGACTGCTGCAGATAGACACATTGCAATATATCAATGCTCAAACGATATATTGTTCAGCCCTATTAAATACCCTATTAAATTTTAATTTTCATTTATCTATCTTTCTATATATACAGTATTTATATATATATATATATATATATATATATATATATATATATATATATATATATATATATACACACACACACACACACACACACACACACACACACACACACACACACACACACACACACACACACACACACGTTTGTAAAAAAAAAAAAAAAATTTCCCTCGTTTTATGCACATTGTTATGGTTAGACAATTTTTCAACTCCATTTTATTCCTTTAACCCTCATCAAGTTGCAGTCACTGAAGTCAAATGCAATCAAGAGACTCTACCCGATAACTAAGCCGGATAATAGACATTTTACATCCAGATATCATTCCTTTTAAGAGCTTTAGCTTCAAAGTGACCACTTCAGAAACTGGGTGTTAAAAAGTGAATGGCAGCAAAGCTAAATATAATGTTTATAACATTTTGAAGACATATTTGAGAAAGATTTGAACGTCCTAACTGCAGTTTCCATGCACATACGAAGGCTCTAAATCAGAGGTGTCGAAATCCGTTCCAGTTCCAAACCTGCTGCAACACACTCGTCTCATAGAATTCCATTCATAAACATGCAAATGCGGCAAACCAGAAACGCAAGCTTATGATAAAACAAGTTTTGCATGTTGATGCGGTCCAAAGTCTTACTTGCTAGAGGGGATACAGCTCATCAGGAAGTTAGCAAGAGTTACTTATTAAATTAGTCATTTAATTCTGTCTATTAACATGTACTCCTCACAGTAACATAAAAATAGTCAATATTATTGTTAAATGTATGCCTTCTAACGACTGAGACCTAGAAAACATATGATTGCGTGAAACCAATAGATCAAACGTGACCTCACTGTATAGAAATTGAAAATATGAAGCAATCGCTTGCTATATCGATGTTTAACCGTCTTGTTTTATCTTATTCTAACTCTAGTGTGACCACAGCTTTACCTGTAGATTTCGAAAAAGCCAGAGGGAATCAGTTTGATCAGGTGTATTTAATAGAATATTCCCAAATGAGGAATTAAGGAGATGATACACAGGGCAACATTTCAAGCAATGTTACCATCAGTGGAAACGATATTAGGAAATAACCATCCAGAGAGCAGCAAATCTGCTGTCAATTTATATTATACGGAAACATTTCTTCATCACCCCCCCTCCAAACCACGGCCATTGCTTAGCAATGAAGCGGATATGAGTGCACAACAAGAAAGCAAAAACAAACACACGGAAATGTTAAACCTGCACAAAAGTACACAAGCAAGCTAAATGTCTTAGTGAATCAAGGCCTGTCATAATAATCAGTAAATCGACTTATCGTGCAATACTTGGAGATGACCTCAATTAGGGCCGGGCCGATAAACGATAAATCGAATCACAATAACATTTATCTCAATAACAATGATAAGCTCTGGACAATTTTACTCTATATTGATCTAAACGCCAATCACACAACAGAAATGTGCAACAATGGGAATCTAAAAGTGTGTTGATATTAGAGATGCACCGTATTTTCGGCCGCCAAATATTATCGCCCGCCGAAAATAGGTTATGTTATTTAATGGACCCTGTAATTTTTGTGGGTTCAGTCATTGTTGCGATACTCCTTAATAAGGAAGAATTAACAACTGATAATAACGAAATATATTGTTATCGTTCAATATGGAAAATAATTAATCAAGATTGCATTTTGCCATATCGCCCAGCCGTAACCCTGCCCTCACAATACATATTTACGAATTCACAAATAACGTCAAAGCTATTTTACAATAAGATTTACGTTTTACCTCACCAGTGTCAACATTTATAATTAGACATTTACCTAATAGGACTGTAAATACTATATATAATAGGACATTTACCTTTTTAACATCAAATTATAGAATCTAGATAACCTTAAGAACGGGGAGTATTTAAGTGATTATGGCTATTTGCATTATTATGCTGCTTTTATATAATCATAAGCATGAAATGATCATGAAATGACAATAATATTGCTTATCGCAACAATTTCTCTGACAATATATCGCAGAACAAAAATTCCTTATCGTGACAGGCCTAGCTGCAGCTTTTAATTGGACAGCTGACGGCTTATAAGCATTGAATTACATTAAAACGTGTTGTGTTGGTGCATAAAAATTACAGAGCAAAACAATCAGTCATTTTCACAAAAGAAATCATAATTTATACACTTTTAACCACAATAAAAGCTTGTACCCCATAGCGTTTGTGGTTAAAAAGTATATCATTTGGTGAAAATGACTGATGGTTTTGATTGGAAAGATTCTTCTTATTTGGAGGAGTGGTCATCAACCTTTTTTTAGCTCAAGATCCTTAACCTCAGCCCTATGGAAAGGCCAATTCTGCCCATCAAAACACAGACAGAAAAATAAACCAATTTTTTATTTGGTGTCCCGGCTTGAAACCTTTTAATTAAACATTTTGAACTATTTAAAGAGCACTAGTTTAACCTACTTTTATTTTTTTTTAATTGATTTGTAAAGAAAATCTTGCTTCTTTGCAGTTTAATCCAGTTTTTTTCATGTGTCTTTATTTGAAATACCAAACTTGACCATGCAAAAGATGCATATAAACAGTCGCATATTACCTTATTGAAATTGACATGTTGGGTGTATATATCCGGTGCAACATAATTGAGTGCACCTCATTTTGAAAATGAACATTTTGATCCATTTATTAGTCAACATAGGTCATATATTTTGATGCATTTACACAAAACGGATTTAATGAACAGATATATTTATTAAAGTAATATTGTAGTCACTGAACATCTTTAGAAATAAAAAGATAATACAGTTAAATTCATGAAACAAAATGCAACATTTCAACACAATTTTATATATAAATAAAATTTTGTTTGTCTTGAATTTTGCTCTTTTTAATATTTAATTTAATATTTTTCTATAACATTTAAATTTGGCTAAACACGTTTTGTTATCGTGAGTTATTTTGTTAGATTAGCTCCAGATTTAGCTTCAATCCTGACTGATCTAATGTATATGCACAAATATAATATTGTAAAGCTTCCTCTAGAAAATACACATTTAAATGAGAGATTTGTGAGGGGTGAACTGGTATATTTCTAACTAGTCTTCCCAATTTTCCAACTTTTCTCTTGTGGTATTTTCCAGTTTGCACCAGTGCACCAGTGTTAAGGGAAAAAAAGGACACCTCAGCAGACTCGGGGAATAAAGTGCCAGACAAACCTAGTGATGATAAAACATCTGCAAATGGACAGCCACATCCGGTCAATGCTAACAGCGCTAATCAGGAAAAAGAGTCAAAAGATCCCGCAAAAGAGCCTAACGATTCTTCAAAAGAGCCTAAAGATCCAGCAAAAAAGACTGAAGATCCAGCAAAAAAGACTGAAGATCCCGCAAAGGAGTCTAAAGATGATCCCGCAAAAGAGTCTAAAGATGATCCCGCAAAAGACTCTAAAGATCCCGCAAAAGAGTCTAAAGATGATCCCGCAAAAGACTCTAAAGATCCCGCAAAAGACTCTAAAGATCCCGCAAAAGACTCTAAAGATCCTGCAAAGGAGCCTAAGGGGCCCGCAAAAGAACATAAAGATGATGACAAGATAAATGAGGAAAGCAAAGTTAATTCTAGCAAAGATGATAATGTGATCACTGACGACCAGTATAATGACAAAGACAACCCTGAAACTCAAGATGAGGGAACCAAAACTGAACTTGAGGACACGGCGGAAAGCGAAAAAGAACCTGTCAAAGAAAAAGACAACGACTCAGACAATGTTGAAAAGCCTAAAAGCAAATCAGGGGTTCCAAAGCACATTCAGAGCAATGCAGAAGACATTTCAGAGTTGAAGGAGGGCGGCGAGAACAGCCACTTCTTTGTGTATCTGGTGTGTGTCGTCTTTCTCGTGGCTGTGCTGTACATTGCCAAGCACAACAAGCGCAAGGTTAGTAAATATGCACCATTTCCACTTATATAGATTTTTATTACAATCCAATGCAAATGTCAACCAAGACATAAAAGAAGGATATCATTAGATAGATAGATTCCCCAATTTCTGTTTAACTGAGAGATTTTCTTCAGCACATTTCTGCACATAATAGTTTTAATAACTCATCTCTAATAACCGATTTATTTTCTCTTTGTCATGATGACAGCACATAATATTAGACTAGATATTCTTCAAGACACTAGTATTCAGCTTAAAGTGACATGTAAAGGCTTCACTAGGGTAATTAGGGTAAAGTTAGGGTAGTTAGGCAAGTTATTGTATAACAGTGGTTTGTTCTGGAGACAATCCAACACTAATATTGCTGAAGGGGTGAATAATATTGACCTTAAAATGGCTTTTTAAAAATATTAAGAGCTGCTTTTATTCTAGCCGAAATAAAACAAATCAGACTTTCTCCAGATGAACAAATATTCTAGGAAATACTGTGAAACATTCCTGAATCTGCTCAACATCATTCGGGAAATATTTGAAATAAATAAATAAATGACTGGAGGGCGAATAACTCTGACTTCAACTGTATATACCGATATTCAGTGTATTGTGATGTTCATGCACAATATTGATATCATACAGTGAATATTTGTTCAATTTTTTAAAACTTTTAGTGTGTGTTTTTTAGGAACATTCTCATTGTAATTGCAGTGGTGTTTATATCGGCCAATGCTTGGGAGACTTAGTTGGTTAATTAGCTTAATAGATCAAACTTTTAGGGCCCTATCATAGGCCGCCATGCCTTCTTCATCTCGGGGAGCTTTTCAGTTTATTCATGACAATTTGCTTTTGTATAATGCTATTATTAGTTGAAGTAGTATTTATTATATGCATATTTATATTTGTTTTATTAAAAACAAGCTTAGATTTGCCCACCTGTCAGGTTTTAGACCATATTGGGCACAGCATGTCGTCACAGACAAAAGTTATTGACATATTCTTATTAAATGACATCCTATTTACATTATGGGATGGTTTTTAATAGGGCTGCTCGATTATGGGAAAAATCTTAATCACGATTATTTTGGTCATAATTGTAATCACGATTATCAGTTGAAGTCAAAATTATACGCCCTCCTGTGATTTTTCTGTTTTTCTATGAATATTTCCCAAATGATTTTTAACAGAGGAATTTTTCAAAGTATTTCCTATAATATTTTTTCGTCTGGAGACAGGCTGATGTTTTATTTCAGCTAGAATAAAAGCAGATTTAAATATTTTGAAAGCTATTTTAATAGCTCAATATTATTAGCCCCTTTAAGCAATACACTACAAAAAAGGCTTTTCTTGCCTAGATTTTTTGTCTTGTTTCTAGTCTAAATATCTAAAATTTCTTATATCATGAAGCATTTTCTAGACAAGCAAAACATATTGTCTTGTTTTGAGAAATAATATGCCAATATTAAGTGAGTTTTTCCTTAAAACAAGCTTGATAATCTGCCAATGGGGTCAGCAAATTAATCTTGTTTTTTTGTTTGATGTAAGATTAATGTTTCGCATTATTTTGCATCGCGGTGCACCAAAGAAACAGTTAATTTTGACACCCCTACTTTTCTGTCTCTTTTTGCAATTGTTGAAAGTGATTTTAAAAATCAGCCATTGCCATTCTTTGCATGATTTATTTTGTTATTCTGTAATCATCACTAATAAATATTCTAAAAACAGAAATATTTTCCATTGTAATATATCAGTTAGTGACAGAATAAAGTGTATTGTTTTTGGTCAGTTTTGACAGCTGTTTGGGGATTATTTTATGAAGCTAAACTCTTTCTGCTTTGCTGTAGGCCTATACTGAAATGCTGAATACGTTGAAGTCTACCTAATCACTGTAGCCTGACGGATGAACAAATACAATTAAAACCTTATGAATAAATTGGATATCTTGTAGGATACTGCATGATCCAAATATAGTATTCCTTGATACATTTTTAAAGTTGTTTCCCTTCTGATGGGATCAGTTTAATCCAGATTTTTTGGATCAAAGTGATCTAAATCCTACAAAAAAGGTCTGAAAAACCCAAACTAAAAGTTTCTTACCAACTAAAAGTTTGCGTGATCTAATCCGATTATGTAATAAATTTTTATGAAAAACCCATTTTCAAGATTTGATCCAATCCCTTATCCAAAATTCTAGTGGATTACTTTTGAAAAAACGGGCCCTGGCTGGAGTGCCTAGTTCAACCACTGGGTGTCATACTGCACCTTTAACTCTAGTTAGTTGTTTTGAAATATATAAGCCAATGTTTCTATATACTATTGATATATACATTCACTGTGAAGTTTTGTTTTGAGTTTTCACTCTTAATGCCACATCCATAATGTCACAATTGCTCTGAAGTCCTATATGAAGACTAATCTTTTGTCTTTCTTTACTTTTATAGATTATTGCAATATTCGTTGAGGGCCGGAAATCAAAACAGACACGGAGACCCAAAACATCAGATTACCAAAAACTTGAGCAGGATGTAAGTACTGATACGTGCACACAACAATAACACTTCTATCTTTATTCATGGATGCTCCTATTTGTAATTAAGTAAATAAATAACATTTCGCTTATTGAATGTTTCCTAATCATGAACATAACGCATCATTTCATGTAAGGCATAACAGTTTGGTTTTGTGTCCAGAGGTCATAATAGTTCATCAAACATAGCTGATAACTAGGAATGCACCGATACCATTTTTTATTTTTTTTTTATCCGATACAGATCCGAACCCGATACTGTGCCTTTATTTCTTAATTTTTTTTTAAGCATTATACAGTTTCTATAGTTCTGGTGATAAACTCAGTGTACATAAAAAAAGTCAGGCGTTAATGTGACTAAAGTTTTTCTCTTTTAGGCAAGTTAGGATTATCAATTTTGTTTCTGTTACGCTTAATAGCACAATAATGAGAGATATATTTATTGAGAAATCGTTATAACTCTTCTTGAAAGTCAAGTTTACACACAATAAGATTATTCTGCCTGTGATAAAGCTCAGATGATGGTGTCAAGGTTTTGGAAGTTTCTGATTGGCTAATTGACAACATTTGAGTTCATTGGAGGCACAACTGTAGAATAGTGTTGAAGGAAAAGCTCAAACACACTGCTTCCTTGTGTGACAACATGAAAAAATCAACAAGCCAGAATCAACAGAAAAGCCAGATTACAATTAGCTAAATAACACCGGGGAAAAGACTCATGTTTGGAGACATGTCCAGCGGTCTGATGGAGCTAAGATTGAACTGTTTGTCCATAATGAGCAGTGTTACATTTGGAGGACAAAGGGGAAAGCTTACAAGCCTAGAAACACCATCCCAACTGTGAAGTATGGGGGCGGCAGCATCATGTTGTGGGGCTGTTTTGCTGCAGGAGGGACTGGTCCACTTCACAGCATAGATGGCATCATGAAGAAAGAACATTATGGAGAAATACTGAAGCGACATCTCAACACATCAGCCAGGACATTACAACTTGGCCACAAATGGCTCTTCCAAACAGACCATGACCCTAAACACACTGCCAAATTAGTTCAAATGTGCTTTAAGGACAACAGAGTGAATGTTTTGGAGTGGCCATCACAAAGCCCTGATCTCAATCCTATAGAAAGTTTGTGGGCATTGAGTTGATATAGCTTGTACGAGCAAGACAGCCTACAAATCTGACTCAGTTACACCAATTCTGTCAGGAGGAATAGGCCAAAATTCCTGCAAACTATTGTGTGAAGCTTGTGGAAGGAGACCCGAAACATTTGACCAAATGTATACAGTTTAAAAGCAAAGCAAAAAAAATATCAAGGAAATGTGTGTAAACGTTTGACTGTCTAGAAATAATAACAAATTCTCTCATTATTCTGGCATTTAGCAAATGTAAATCATTAAGGTAATCCTAACGGACCTAAAATAGTAAACATTTAGTGATTTAATATCATCAAGTTTCTTTTTTTAAAGTGTATGTAAACTTTCAAGTGTATGTTCTATTTAAAAACTGTATCAGGGTATCCGCGGGGTTTTAAAAAGTCTTAAATTTCAAAAACAAAATTTTAGGCCTTAAAAAGTTTTAAATTCACCGAAATAATGTTAAACAGCTCTTAATTTCCTTTGTTTATCTAAAGCTACCCAACCGATCCAATCGCCAACAATACATGTTAGTAAAACGTTTAGCAAAACTATATTTATAACTAATATTATAACAGTTGGTTGTGCATACATTTAGTTTTTAGATTTTGTTAGATTGGTTTTTTTAAGTTATGTTGAAAAACGTGTAGAGTCTGCTTGTTTAGACGTATTATTTAAAATATGTGGCTAAGAAATAATTACTAGAAATAGTTTTTTTTTTTTAATGGGGCAAGTAATTTTTTCTGCTTGGCTATCAAAAAAAAATCAGAGTTTAGCCTTATATAAGTCTGAAATTTTATTCCTCGTGGTCTTAAAATGATCTTAAAGTCTTAAATTTGACCCTGTGTATAACACGACTCAATCCAAGTAAAAACATGAGGCTTGCTGTAAACTAGGCTACATTATTTGACCATTCGTGATAACATTGACCTGTTGTGGTCGAGCTTACCTATTTAATACAAAACTAAACGATTTCTCCGCTAATTATTTATATTAACAAGAACAAATAGTCTTGGAGAGTTTTTTGTGTTGAATTCAGCTTGAATTGTGAATAAATGGAGAACGATTGACAGGCGCAGCAGCAGCGAGAAGCGCTGAAGTGAACTTGACTTTAACCACGTGAATATTCATCTGTGCTTCACATTAAACAATAGAATGGCTTCAGAACATTTACAATATTGTAGGCCTACATGACAACTTTAATGGGCTACCTTCATGGTTTTTGTTGGCTTATAAATGACAGAATATAGCACACACGCAAGATCCGATTTGGATCGGTACCAGCAGGCTGACACAAGATCCAGCAATAATATACAGTATCGAATCGATATCCCATACAAGTATTGGAATCAGTGCATCCCTACTGATAATGAAAACATTTCATGCAACAATTCCATTATAAAATATAGATTTTCAGACAAATAGGCTTTCTTTGACTGAACTGAAAGATTTGTTTCCTCTTTTTTCAGTGAGAAATTCCCACCACCATTGGATGAGTCAAAAGCATTTGAACTGTGATCTGGATGACTTGAATTATCCATAATAGGACATACACACTATATTACCACTCACACATCATATCAAACCCTCAACCATCCATAGCATGTCAGGTATGCTGGAAACAAATGACGGGTCATGATCTTTATTCATAGGAAATCCACTATACCGTACGTATTGTTGGTTCAATCTGTGGCCTCTTTTTCTATTTGGGTCTCGTTTGAGAGTCTAATCCTCATGTTGTTGCAGGGGGAAGTGTGTAATAAAGGAACAAAGTTATATATATTTTTGATTTATTCTTATATGTTTTTTTTAATCTTGATGTTGCGTTATTAGGAATGAGTGAGGACACATTTACAAAGCACGAGACTTGCACTTTCTATTGCTTTAGATTAGAAAGTGAAGTTTTATTTTGTGTGTGCGAGGCTCATTAATAAGCATATTTTCGTCATGCATATTCATATTTCACTGGTCTCACAACAAAATATTAGTGCTGGGAAAAGATTCATGGTCATTAATCGCATTCAAAATAAAAGTTTTTGTCGTGTGTATTATAAATATATTCATTTAGTATATACAGTATAATACACATAATACACACACCTACTGTTTTTGCATGGATATTTAAATATGTAATGTGTATCATTTGCATATTTTTATATCTAACATTTTATCAAATATATGTATGTATGTATGTATGTATATGTATGTATATGTATGTGTGTGTATATATATATATATGTGTGTGTGTGTGTGTGTGTGTGTGTGTGTGTGTGTGTGTGTGTGTGTGTGTGTGTGTGTGTGTGTGTGTGTGTGTGTGTGTGTGTATATATGTGTATATATATATATATATATATATATATATATATATATATATATATATATATATATATTTATTGTATGTGTGTGTATATATTTATATATATGTGTGTGTGTGTGTGTGAGTGTGAATGTGTATGTGTATGTGTGTGTGTATATATATATATATATATATATATATATACACACAAACACACACACACACACACATATATATGTGTGTGTGTGTTTATATATATATATGTATGTATATATATATATATATGTATGTATATATATATATATATGTATGTATATATATATATATATATGTATGTATATATATATATATGTATGTATATATATATGTATGTATATATATATATATATATATATATATATGTATGTATATATATGTATATGTATGTATATATATATATATATATATATATATATATATATATATATATATATATATATGTATATATATATATATATATATAAATATATGTATATATATATGTATGTGTTGTCACAATACTGGAATTCGATACCAATCGGTACTGAAATGTTCCCGCTAACATTTGAGTTCGTTCTTAAACAGCACTGATTGGCTATTGAGTTTACATGCTCAAAAGAAATAACTGTGATTGGCTGTGAAGGTCATCAGTTCACCGTACTCACTGCTGTTAACCACAGATACAGGGACACTGGAGCAATTTAAAGCTGCGAATATCAGTCAGTTCATCAGCGGATCGCTTGTATGTCGGCTTATAAACAGACTTTGTGGCTTTGAAATGCTCCAGTGTCCGTGAGTTTGATGAACTGACGACCTTCATGGCCAATCACAGTCTTTTCTGTTGAGCACGTGAACACAATGGCAATTTAAGTACATGCTCAAATGGACATTTTCACTATCGATTGGTATCGAATTTTTGTATCGTGACACATATATTGTCAAAACTACCTTTTATTTTGGATGTGATTAATTACGAGTAGTCCAGCACTACAAAATCTATATTTTATGTTTGTGTCTCACAAAGAAAGATGTATATTATATTTTCTGTTTATATTATATTTTTTTTACCCTCAAAATTTACAGAGCAATAAAAGATGGAGATTTAATTTCTGTTACGTAGCACAGCTGATCTTTCTGCGCTTTAATTGTTAATGTTTATATCCGTAAAAACTCTATTTAAATTCGTATATGAAATAGACACTTGGAGGAAGAGGAAATCTTGAGCTCTGATTCGAACAAATTGCATATTTAATTAAAATAAGCCATGCGGTTCTGGAGCGAATCCACTGTTTAGCTGATGGAGAATGTGCTTATGGTTTAGCAGTCAGTGATTAGTTTAATTTAAAGCAGACTGTCTGTGGGGTACAGTAGTGATTCCTGTGCCAAATCTAAGAGTATGTCCTGAAACGAGTAACTGAAGGAGAGAAATATAGGCAAATTGTTCCCGTTGATCCTAGAAATGGGAAATGGTTTTGTTTTTATCTGGTGCCATGTTACCCGCTGTCACTCTTATTGTGCCTACTGAGATTCCTGCTGTTTTCTCTGGCTGTAACCATTGATTTGCACAACGTTTCTTGAAATACAGGACTTGTTTTGAATAATTTAGTAGATAAAGAATTCATTTGTTGTTATATTCTGTCAACGCTTCAAATGAAATGGAATAAAGGTTTGTTTTTTCCTCATGATTGCTCTGCTTTTGTCTCTTGAATAAGGGCTATCATCAATAATTAAAATAAAATACCTATAAATTATGATTGCTGCATCAGCGAGTGGCCAACATTACTGGTTTATATAAATATAGCTAAACTGAATGTCTGACGACATCAAATCAAAACAGGATAGCAATTATATACTAGATGCAGTTTAAAAGAGGTTTTGCACATTACTAACATGTTTTTAGCATGATTTAGCAGACTTATCATGCATTGCTAGCATTGTTTAGCACATTGTTGACATGTTTTAGCACACTTCTAGCATGTTTTCAGCATGATTCAACATGTAATGTGCATGATTTAGCACATTACATTTTCCTAGCACGATTTAACACACTTAACATGCTTTTGGATGTTGTTAGCATGGTTTAGCACATTGATGACATATTTTAGCACATTGCTAGCATGTTTTTGGCATGATTCAATTCTCTGTAATGTTTTGCACACTAAATATGTTTTTTTAGCATGACACAACAAACTTAACATGCATTGCTTGCATTGTTTAGCACATTGTTGACATATTGTAGCACACTTCTAGCATGTTTTTAGCATGATTCAACATGTAATGTTCGTAATATGCATTATTTAGCACATTGCATGTTCCTAGCACGATTTAACACACATAGCATGCTTTTGGATGCTGTTAGCAAGGGTTTAGCACATTGATGACGTATTTTAGCACATTGCTAGCATGTTTTTTTTTTTGCATGATTCAATACTCTATGAATTTGTTTATATTGTAAATAAAATGGGTGAGCTAACATGACCTTGAAGGGGCTTATTTTATCGCTGTTTTCACATCAGAGCATGTTGTTTTGATTTTTTATAAACCTGTCTTTAATAAAAGGATTTTTACATATTATGTGTCTACCGTGCATTTCAAACATTCATAAAATACTATATATATATATATGTATATATATATATATATATATATATATATGCATACACATATTTGCATGTATGTATTTGTATTTAATACACGTATATTATGTACATACAAACGTTTTTTGGATGTGATTACTCACTAATAATCACTTGACAGCACTAATATCAATAATACGAACGGTTTCTGGGTTAATATCAGTGAGTAAATGCAGTCTATCGTTTATTTATCGGTCACTTATTAACTGACACGCCTTGAATCTGATCGACCGACGGTCAGTGAGAGTGAAAATAAACTGATCTGCGAGCAGCTCATACCTGCAGCTGCTGCTGTCAAACCGGAAGAGGAAGTAAGTGAGAGATTAACGCGAAAGGGGATGGAGACACAACACAGACCCACAGAGAAACACTGATATGGACGAGTTTCACAGCTAATGTGACTGAAAGCTGAAAATCTGTCTTCATTAGCACGGTAAGACTGTCTGAAGCGTTCTGACATTAGCAAGCTAGCTGCACATATCCCTTATCATCACATACTGTAACAGTTCGCATGAGTTTAAAACAATTACACGTACTAAAGGCGTCTCTACATGCTCGTTAATGTGTGATATTTGACATAAAGTAACATTACGGCTATTTTTGATTGTGTTTATAGCTGTAGAATTTAGTCTAAGTCATTTATTTGATCTATTCAGGCTACACAGTATGTTTGTTTACTACTCAGTAAATGTAAGATTGGTTACATCCCACTCACTTATAACGCCAGTACAGTTTGCTTAAACGTTTACTGGAATTATTTCCATCACATACGCAGGGTTTTTACTGTAACTTTACTTCTAAGACTGTAAGAAGTTGCTGAATGCTCAAGTGTTTATATTGTCTTACTTCATTGAGGTAAAGTTGGTTTTATATTCGCACCTTCGTTCAGTGACAGCTCCCTGTATTGTTTACCATGGTACTTTGAATATTCGGACTGAAATTACATGTTAGTATGACTTCAAAACAACATTAACACTGTTTAATTGACTGTGAACTGTTGTACTTTGATAGTCAGATATGATTTCACTATTTAGAATTAATAAATTTATATAATTAAGCAATTAATACATTTCTGAAATTATATTATTAAGGAGACAGTCCTAATGTGCTGGATAAGTTGGCAGTTCATTCCGCTGTGGCGAACCCGGATTAATAAAGGGACTAAGCTGTCAAGAAAATTAATAAATAAAGTCTGAATGTACAAATATAAAACCAACTTCCACCCCAATTTTTACATCTTACTTCAAAACATCTTGTTTATTGTCTATGAATATTTGTGTTTTGACATTTACGGTTCATACTTTTAAAATTTTTATATAAAGTTTTTTTTTAACGTTAAAGTTTACTCATTTGTCATTTATACACCGTTTAAATGTAAAAAACAAAAAATACTAAATATTAATCTGAATTAATATTCAATCTGAGAGCACAGTAAATGACATTTCTTCTTTAACGCTTGCTCAGGTGTTTATATATAGGTGGAGGAAACAGATTACATTTACATTACATTTACACCATTCAGAAGTACATATATATATATATATATATATATATATATATATATATATATATATATATATATATATATATATATATAAATTATTAAATATATTATATATATATTAAATATATTATGAAATTAAATATTAATATAATAAAACAAACCTGAATTTAGATGATTTATGCCTTTATTGATGATTTATGCCAATGTAAATGCATTACTAATATGTTTAATTGAATTTTTCCATCACATAAGCTGGGTGTTTACTGTAACTTTACCTCTAAGACTGTAAGAAGTTGCTGAATGCTCAAGTGTTTGTATTGTCGTATATCCTACTCCAATACATCTTGTTTATTGTCTGTAATTCATATATTTTTGTAAATATATAATTTGTAATTGCAAATTCATAAAATTTATAAATACATTTTCTGTTCTCACTTTTTTTCATTTTTGTATTAAGTTTAGTTTTTTAACGTTAAAGTTTATTTATGTGTGATTTATACACTGTTTAAATGTAAAAAAAAAAACTGTATTTGGATCATTTATGCATTTATTGATGATTTATGCCACCATAAATGCATTACCAAAACGTTTAATTGACTTCTTTTTGTCACATAAATAAATATGCATATATTAAAAAAAAATACATGAAATTAGATGATGTATGCCATTATTCGAGACACTGTAAACGCATTACTAAAACGTTTACTTGAATACTTTCTGTCACTTAAACATGTATTTTACTGTAACTTTTCCTCAAAGTCTTTAAGAAGACGCTAAAGGCTCAGCTGTTTATATTGTCTTAGTCTACTCCAATACATCCTTCTTTATTGTCTATGAATGTTTTTTATTATTTTGTATTTTTTACATTTTCTTTTCTCATTAAAAAATTAAATGAAGATTTTGTAATTTGACTTTTTTCATTTTATTAGTTTTTTTATGATGTTTAGTTTTATTTATGATTAGAGTCTAGTTATTTGTGATAGTACAGTATGTAAATATACAATTTAAAATTTGATATATATATAAATAAATATATATATATATATATATATATATATATATATATATATATATATATATATATATATATATATATATATATATATATATTTATATTTATTTGATATATATATATTATATATATAATTATATAATTATTAGGTGATAAATTTTCTAAATGTTTAGAAGTATGAAACAAAGCAACATTTTAGAGCAGTAGCACTTTTTTAAAGCGCTTTATGTTCTTTACACTTGCTCAGGTGTGGATATATAGGAGGAAACAGAGTTGCACAGTCAGCATATTATTAAAAATGTAAGTAAAAAGGGACCTATTAAGTCTCTGATGTGCCTAGTGTGTGTGTAGTGACGTTTCAGCTAAAAATACCACACAGATAATCTTTTATAACTCTCTGAAGCTGACCTTTTTAGACTTTGATCTTAATTTTGGTGACTGTCGCTTTAAATTCAAATGAGAATGTGCTCTTTTCAGGAGAGGGCGGAGCTACAAATGCCTGTGTCAGCATGTGGCAGATTTAAAACAGGACTAATGCTACATAGTATGCTAATGAGGAAGAGATGTTCACTAGTGGGCGGGGTTTTCCCCCTGTGATGATACGTACAAAGGGAGAATGTCAGTCAAAGTGTTGACAATTAAGTGTGATTATAAAACATAGAATTAATAAATGTTTACAGTTAGAAGCTGGATATATTCACGCACTGTTGCCACACAACCTCTTATAAAAGTGATTTGTGCATAATAGGTCCCCTTTAAGCTTCATGCCATGGCATTTTTAACATGCCTACACGGCCAAATGGGGTGAGATATATAGAAGTGTTTGTGTGTGCCGTCTGTCAGGTTTCCCCGCTACCTTCACATTGACCCTCATGATGCTGGATCACGCGGACGTGAGTTTGAGCCCAGAGGAGCGGGTTCGAGCCCTCACCAAGAAGGGTGGCGCGGTGGAGATGAATGAAAGCGTGCCACTGCGCAGGTATTTCCGCTCGGGCATGGAGATGATCCGCATGGCACATGTTTACGCTGAGGAGGGAAACACAGAACACGCCTTCGTCCTCTACAACAAATACATCACGTAAGAAGAGCTCCGAAAAACTGCTCTGCTCTTTACTTATACTGATGAAGACACAATTACTATGATCTTCAAACATTTCCCAACATATCCACTTAAAATAGTACTGTAGTAGTTTATAGTAAATACTAATGCTTTTGATCCATTACATGGTATTTTACTGTATTGTGTTTACAACATTTTAATTAAAAAATACTATAGTACTTTATAGTAAATACTACTGTTTATGAACCATACAATTGTATTATACTGTATATAATATGGTTTTTACAACACTTTAATGAAAAAGTCCTATAGTAGATTATTTTGATTCATATTTCAGTGTAAATACCGTATTTAATTTAGTATTTTCAACACTTTGTTAATGAGTGCTCCAACATACTGTAGTGTTAACTTTAGTGAACTGTAATAAATCATGTAATATCCTTTAGGTTTTAGTTACTGCAGTAAAATGTGGTGTATTGTAGTATAATATACCTATTGAGTTGTTTGTTTATATTATAATAGTTGTGTTACTTTAGAAACTAGAGAATCACCACAGCAGATACGGGTAAACCGTGGTGTATTGTAGTGTAATATACCCTATACCCTATATATTATTATATAGGACATTTGTTTATATTTACTATTGTTGCTGTTTCCATAGCAACTATAGTTCACTTATGCGCCCTGCGCACTTCACGTTTTTACCTTTTTGCTTAGTTAAAAAGAAAAAAACGTCAACGCTCAGTGGAAAAAGCGTGTTAAATCAGTTGCGTCTTTTTTCCATGTCCTAATAAATGAAAGCAGAGGCAAGGTTTTCGTTGAGGTGAGAACAGTGTTTGTTTTGTCAAGATGACTACAGAGACTTTAAAAAAAAAAGAAGAGACTAGCTGTCGCTGTTTGAATTATGCGGAGCTGTATGATTTCACAAATCATGAATATTACAATATTAATACATATTACAACTATAACAATATCACAGCAGCGCTCACGCAGAATACGTAGCTAGTTCAGTGGTTGCCTAGCAACATAAAAAGTGCAGCGCACTTCTTTTTTTCCTTCTAGTTTATTCACAAAAGTTTAAAATCTGCATGAATCAAAAGCTCTGACTGTTTTTTTTTTCTATTGTGACACTTCCTAGAGTAACAGTATATCAAATAAGGAAACAGTGGGCGTGGCTTGTTTTTTTTTACTGCAAGCTGATTGGACGTAGTAAAGTAGATGTTTCATTCTGAAAGATCAGGTTTTAGAAGAGTAATTACAACCTAATGCTGCGTTCATTCACACCAGACGCGGATGAAGCATCAACTCGAGTGATTTACATGTTAAGGCAAAGACGAGAATACACATCCTGCGAAGCAATGCGTGCGAATGAGGCGATTCAGGCAAATGAAGATCGTTCGAGTTGATCGTTTTGCGTGCCTGATGTGTGAACTGCTCGAGTTGGAAAATCTGAACGTCAGCAGACATTAGCATGGCGTCATCTGATACTTGCTTTGTACGGGCGTGATTATGGCGTAGCGCCTGTTGTTAGTGTCCCGAGGGGAATTCCTCTTGCCGACAACAGTACATCAAACTGGCCTGGGCTCAGTCTGAAGCACCGCTGAAAGCCTCAATCATCCAGGTGTAGTTTCTGGAGGAGTTGATAAACCTCTGAAAGGATCTAGTGCACTCAGACATTGCGCCGATTGAATCTACGCTGTTTTTCAGCCTTCCTAAAGCACATTAAGCACAGCTAATCTCTCAATAAAATCCATGTTAACCATTTAGCAACGAAACTAGAGTCACCAGGTAGACAGAAGCCCTGCCCATGACGCAAATTCGCATCTAGTGTGACGTGAATTTCACATGCGAATGAATGAAGCGTCAAAATGTTCTCGCATCTATTTATGCGTGAATATCGTGTGATTTATTCTCCGCATCTGGTGTGAACACAGCACAACAGACTCCTCCTGCTCACCATTTCTGTTTGTTGTCATATTGACAGCTGGAGGGGCGTGGTTGAGTATGTATAGCCACGCCCAGTACCTCAGAAAGACCTAATCTGAGAATTTAACTAAAAAACGAATAGGATAACTCAATTTTTTTGTTTGCCTGACAGGCTTTTCATTGAGAAACTCCCCAAACATCCAGAATATAAGCTGTCTAATATTCCTGAGAAGAAGGAGATACTGAGGGTAATGTAGAGCAGTGAAGTCTGGATCTCCGCTGGTCGTCTGAGTGTGTTGTTTATCATCGTTTGCTGTTTCTCCTCGCACACACAGAAGCTGAAGGACACGGCTTTCCCTCAAGCAGAGCAGCTGAAGAAGCTCCTGCTCAGGAGATATGAGAGAGAGCATGCAGACTACATCAGCAAGAAGGTGAGGCACATTTTACAAACCTTATTATTTAAGAGGAACAAGACATATTTGACCACAAAACTAAAAGAAAATAGTCAAAAAATTAAAATGTGCATCAGTTAATCTAATTTTAAAATATGTTTTTGCGTTTTATCGAGATTTTCTTTTCAAATGTTCTTGCATCTTGTAATGCACACAGAGATGTGTTGTGTTGGTAGTTTGAACTTGTTTATTTCTGTTCATATAAATTTTAGTTAAACTTTAAGCTTGTGTGTGCATACATCTATGTGCACGTATGTGTGTGTGCATGTCTGTGTCTGTGTGTCTGCCCACATGCATGTTCGTGTGTATGCGTGCATCTGTGTTTGCATGCATGTGTGCATGCTTGTCTACATGTGTCTGTATCTGTTATCTGTGTGTATGCGTGTGCGCGCGTGTGTGTGTGTGTGTGTGTGTGTGTGTGTGTGTGCATGCATGTGTGCATGCTTGTGAGTGTGGTGTGTGTGTGCTTGTCTATTTGTGTGAGTGCATGCATGCATGTATGTGCACGTATATATATGTGCGTGTGTATGTGTGTGTGCTTGTCTGTGTGTTTGTGTGTGTGTGTGTGTGTGTGTGTGTGTACTTGTCCATAAGTGTGTGTTGGCATGCATGTGCACGTATAAGTGTGTGTGCATGTATGCTTGTGTGTCTACGCGCATTTGTGTGTGCGTGCTTGTCCATGTGTGTGCATGCTTGTGTGAATGTGTGTGCGCATAATTGTTTGTGCTGTCTGTGTGTGTGCATATGCTTGGTTGTATGTATGCTTGTGCACACTTGTCCACATGTGTGCGTGTGCATGCTTGTGTGTCTGTGTGTATGTATGCATGTGCGTGTGGTGTGATGTGTGTGCAAATGTGTGTGTGCATGCATGTGTGTGCTTGATTATGTGTATGTGCATGCTTGTGCGTGCAAGTATGTGTGTGTGTGTGTGTGTGTGTGTCTATGCATGCAAGTGTTGTGTGTGTGTTCTTGTCTGTGTGTGTGTGTGTGTGTGTGTATGCGCATGCATGTATGTGTGTGTGTGTGTGTGTGTGAGAGTGTGTGTGTGCACGCGCGCATCCATGAATGTGTGTGTGTGTGTGTGTGTGTGTGTGTGTGTGTGTGTGTGTGTGTGTGTGTGTGAGCTTGAGTGTGCGTACGTATTTGACAACACGTGTGACACCTCATGCATATATGTGTGTGTGTGTGTGTGTGTGTCAGCGTGTGGAGGCTGAGGCTGTGGAGCGCGAGCTGTCCCGTCAGCGTGAGCTGGATGCGGAGCGTCGACGTGTGGCAGAGCTGCAGAGGAGACAGCAGGAGCAGGAGCAGTTCAGCATCTTCGAGGAGATGATCCAGCAGCAGGAGCGCCATCGCCATCCGCACACACACCACACTCCAGCAGCTCCGCAGACCGACACACCGCTCATCCCGGGCATCCAGGGTCCGCCCGTGCCATTCCCAGAATCCCCAACTCCACCTCAGAGCCCGCAGCAGCCCTCAGCCAATCACAGCACTCCATCAGCACCGGCTCCGCCCACTTTCGACCGTTCGCTCAAACCCAGTCACCTCAGTAAGAGTACGACTCGCTTTCTGATTCTGTGTTATTCACAAAACTCCTCCAGGATAAGAGCAGATCAGCATTTACTTATCTTTAAACGAACATATTAAAAATAAAGCAAGTGTGAGGTCTGAATTATAGATTATTTTATTATTTATTTATAATTATAATTAATAATAATTATTATTATTATTATAATTATTAAATTATATTTTAATTTATATATATATATATATATATATGTGTGTGTGTGTGTGTATATGTATATATATATATATATATGTGTGTGTGTATATGTGTGTGTATATATATATGTATATATATATGTGTGTGTGTATATGTGTGTGTATATATATATATATATATGTGTGTGTGTGTGTGTGTGTGTGTGTGTGTGTGTGTGTGTGTATGTATATATATATATATATATATATATATATGTGTGTGTGTATATGTGTGTGTATATATATATGTATATATATATGTGTGTATATATATGTAAATATAGTGCTCAGTATATAGGAGTTGCGGAACCTCACAAATCTCATATTTAGATGACTATTTTCTATCGGAAGCTTTACAATGTTATATTTGTGCATATACATTAGTTTAGTCAGCACTAAAGGCAGATCTTGAGCTCATCTAACAAAATAATTTGCAATAACAGTCCAAAAATGAGTAGCCAGAATTTATATGTTATAGAAAAATATAAAATACAAAAAAACAGAATGGCAAAAATAAACAAAAACAAAAAAAATATATACATTTTGTAGATTGTAATTTAAAAGTATTATCTTTCTATTTCTAGATTTTTGATGACTAAAATATTATAATCATCTTTTTAATAAATCTGTTTTGTCCAAATGCACCAACATATATTACGTATATTCACTAGGAAATGGATAAAAATGATAAAAATAGGGTGTACTCATTTATGCTGATCACTGTATCTATATTATTATTAATATAATTTTGGGCTGTTAAAAAGGTATTTAATGCAATAAATAGATGACTAAATGAAATGGATCATCTTGTTCAGAAGTTCACACCCCATCTATCAATTCATGTTTTTAAATCTTTATTACTGCTGAGTGTATTTGAGGTTTTTTTTTAGGCCTAAACTACTTCACAAATCTGCAAAACATTAGCAGTAACGAAAAGGACTCGCAAATACCAAATCATAAAATAAATTGCTAAATGAATAATATCAATACTTTTATATATTATTAATATAAATACTTATGTATTATTATATTTATTTATATAATACTTTATCAAAAAGCAACTAATAAAGTGTATTTGTACACTTAAAAAATAATAAAGTCCATTAATAAATAATAAAGTGGACTTAATAAATTGGACTTAATAAACTGCTAAATGAAAAATATATATATTTTTTATTTTATATATTAATATAAAATACATATATATATATATATATATATATATATATATATATATATATATATATATGTGTGTGTGTGTGTGTAATTTATTTTTTATATAATATTTATACTAATACTTATTTTATTTAAAAATATTTGTTATTAATTCTGAAATGTTAGCAGTAGCGAACACTACTACCAAATCACAAAAATAGCTTTAAACCTAAAATAAATAATATTTAATAATCAATAAAAACTATTTGCATATTACTATTATTATTATTTGTTGTAATCATAAATGGTGAATATAAAAGTTTTAAATATAAAATAAAAATTAAATATAGAAAATTTTAAATGACAAAAAAATCAAACTAATTTCACAAAAGCTAAAATTAATTATATTTCTCAAGGGGGTTAATAATACTGATCTTAGCAGTGTATGTATGTGTATGTATACACACACACACACACACACACACACACACACACATAACTGTATATTTCTTTATTTAGTCTCTGACAGAAACTCCTCCCCATCAGCCAATCACTTTGCGCATAGTTAATAAGCATGATGACATCACCTATAGCAACAGAGTTGACTCCGCCCTCACTCTGAGCTTCAGACGTCCCTCTTTTCCTCAGTAAAAGTTTGTCTCAGCAGTCTTGTGTATACATTTGAAGAGAAAACTATTTCGGAGAATGTTTTGTGAGTACAGGCTCTGCTTCTCTTGCTATTTCAGCTACACTGATCGATGGTTTACGGCAGATCGCTGTTCCCGCGGAGCTGTGTGGCAAATTTCTGCGGCTGGCCAATAACAACACTATTAGGGCAGTGGAGACCTGCGGGATCCTCTGTGGGACACTGGTATGACATTATTGCTCCTACACACACACAGCTCAGAAAATAAATCACCATAATAAGACTTCAGTCAAGTTTAATTTTTCACCAATAGACCTGTAGCAATAGTAAATTATTAAGGTGCTGGATTATTAAATTAATAGTGATTGACAAAGTCCTTAAATTCAGTGTTCATGAAAGACTGGGAACCCTGTGTATAGCGCATGAAGAGATGTAAACTGAGAGTCTTGTGTGTGTGTGTGTGTGTGTGTGTGTGTGTGTGTGTGTGTGTGTGTGTGTGTGTGTGTGTGTGTGTGTGTGTGTGTGTGTGTGTGTGTGTGTGTGTGTGTGTGTGTGTGTTTTAGAACAGGAACGCCTTCACTGTGACACACGTGGTGGTCCCGAAGCAGTGTGGAGGTCCAGATTACTGTGACACAGAGAACGAAGAGGAGCTGTTTCTGGTGCAGGACCAGTACAACCTCATCACTCTGGGCTGGATACACGTGAGTCACGAAACAGAGCTCAAGATTAAAGGATTTAGATCAACTAATAATTGTAATTGTTATTAATTACACACACCCTCATGTCGCTTCAATCCTGAGACCTTAGTTCATTTTCAGAACACAAACGGCAATATTTTAGATTAAATCAGAGAGCTCCCTCATCCTCCATAGACAGCAAGGGGCCAGAAGGAAACCAGAAACGCAGTCCAGTCTCCAGTGGATCAACTGTAATCATGCGAAGCTCAAAGAACACTTTTGTTCACCAAAAAAAAAAACTGATAAAATGACTTTCTTACTAATAATTTCCCATATATATATATATATATATATATATATATATATATATATATTAGTGCTGTCAAAATTAGTGCGTTAACACATGCGATTATTTTGAAATAATTAACGCATTAAAAAAAATCAGAGTTTCATGCAATGTCAGGTGTTTCATTTTTAACTTTCGACTTCTGTTTTAATGGAGTTTGATACTGCATGGCGAACGAAAAGAAAAACCTCCGCATTTCGTGACTCGTTGTCCTGTAAGGTAGACAAAAATCGCTGCTTATAGGTCGACTCCTAATAAGAGTATTATCTTAATCATATTGAAATCGGAGTATTGGTGTCTTATGTAAATGTACTCAGAAAGTAACATGAAGTCGCGAGCTGTCAAAGACAGCGCATTCCTCTGCCTTTCAGCATGAGCCCTCACATGTGTCATTAAGTTTGACGTGTTTTCCCCTTAAGTCTGGTTTATACTTCTGCGTCAAGTGACCGGCGTGACCCACGGCGCATGCAACGCGCGTAGCTGTGCATTTATACTTCTGCGCGCTGTCTCTGTTGGTCTGCATTAACACTTTCGAAACACTAGTGGGCAGTGAGGTGTAAATGTTCCTCAGTGTCGAGTTTCTTCTCTGCTGTTTTGCTTTTCCTGAACACTTCCAGGATGTACAAGTGGCTCAAACTCGCTCATTTTGAGTCAGGAACCGGCGGACGTGCAGCAACTTTAACTATGAGGTAAACACAAAACAAAACTTTCCATCCGGAGCTCCGTCACGGGACTCCACACTTGTAAACAATCGCTCCATCAGACTCGCACCATTCACGCGGCTCTCAGTCCCACCTAGACTCGTCAGCGCTACCAAGCCGACCAATCACAGAGCTTGCGCTATGTGTCGTTGCGACGTGTAGTTACATTTTTTGAGAGGTGCACGTCAGTGACGCCAACAGCCACGGTGAAGGGTTATGCGTCAGCACCGTAGCATACGCGTGCATTTGACGCAGAAGTATAAATCAGCCTTTACACGCAAGTGTATGCTTCGCTTTGTTGTGTCAGAATTCTTGTGAAATACAGCCATACTTTAGAACGCTTAGTTCAAGCAAATTTGATGAACGCGATTATGCATGTTAAATCTGAAGGGAGTCGCTCCGCCTGACCTGTCCAGCGTGTGGTGTGTGTGCGCATGTTTCTTAGCAACAAACCTGCATAAACGTCCATAGCCTCTAAATCAAAAAGTTACGAATTGCCATTAGATTGTGTTGCACTCTCAGCTCGCATCATTCAAAAGAAAAGGTCCACATTGTCCCCCAATAATGTCAACAGACTAGACTGTCTTAGCAACTGACTGAATGTAAAAGAGTAAAATTGTTTCTGCTTTATAATTAACCTTCTCAACTCACAGAAATACAACTTTACAATGAGGGCAACTGTTTGTAATCAATACTTTATTATTATTATTATAATTTTCCATTTTCCATATCTGTAATGCCTGTATTTTGGCATTTTTTTTTGCAGTCCAATTAGAATCCAACTTGGAAATAATGTTTTCTTTATTGGTGTTGATTGTTTTGAAAGTTAAGTGTCATTAACATGCCTGTGTTTTACTGTCTTTAATAAATATGGCTGTCAAGCCAGGATCTCAATGGTTTATTGTGGGTTTGTTGTTTACATGAAGAAATCTGTGTTACAAGTTAAAAAAAAATTCTAATGAACAATTATATTTGAAATTTAAATAGTTTTTGTCTTGCGTTTACATTAATTTTACATTTCAACAGCCAAAATTACAAATTTCAGTCTTTTAAATGTGATTGATCGCGATTAATTTTCAAAAAAAGGTGTGATTAATTAGTTAATTTTTTTTATCGATTGACAGCACTAATATATATGTATATACATATGTGTGTGTATGTATATATATATATATATATATATATATATTAATACATACATATATATATATATATATATATATATATATATATATATATATATATTAATACATACATACATATATATATATATATATATATATATATATATATATATATACATACATACATCATGTGTGTTTAGTGTTTGAGCTGTAATGTTGTGTGTATTCTGCTGTGTGTGTGTGTGTGTGTGTGTTTGTTTGTTTGTTTGTTTGTGTGTGTGTGTGTGTGTGTGTTTTATGGTCTGTCTCTCTGTTCCACAGACTCACCCGACACAGACGGCGTTTCTGTCCAGCGTGGATCTGCACACACACTGCTCCTATCAGATGATGCTGCCCGAGTCCATCGCCATCGTCTGCTCGCCCAAATTCAACCAGTGAGTCCAGCACCCTCACTTTATATACAGCTGTATGATAATTCCCAAATGATGTTGAACAGATTCAGGAATTTTTCGCAAGTATTTCCTATAATTTTTGTTCTTCTGGAGAAAGTCTGATTTGTTTTATTTCGGCTAGATTAAAAGCAGTTCCTAATTGTATTAAAGTCATTTTAAGGTCAATATTATTAGCCCCCTTCAGCAATATTAGTGTTGGATAGTCTCCAGAACAAACCACTGTTATACAATGACTTGCCTAATTACCCCTGACTTGTCATTGTGTGTGTGTTTCTCACAGGACGGGTTACTTCAGACTGACAGACTACGGTATGGAGGAGATCTCCACCTGCGCTCAGAAAGGCTTTCACCCTCATCCCAAAGACCCTCCTCTGTTCACGGTACATCAACACACACACATTAGCCCCTTTCACACAGTGATACCGGTAAATATGCGGAAAATTTCCGGAACGACTGTTCACACAGGCACAGATGTCATTTTTCCGGAAAAGAGAAGTCACACATGCATTTCAAAATAGAGGTAAATTCTGACATCATTAACCAGAAATGAGCTCTAACTATCATTTGTAAACATTTGACTACACCACAAACTCTGTGGATGGATCAGTGTTGTGAACAACTTTGATGAAAACACACAGAGGAACACTTTCGCATGTCGAGATGTACATGATATGTGTGTGTGCTGCGTCACAGCTTAAAGGTAAACAAACAATGGCTCATCATAAGCATCTTATCGATAATTATTTACACAGATGGCATTAAGAAGGAACATAGAAATGTTATCTGACTAACATCTAGCAGCTGCATGTGTCTGGAAAAATATGCAAAGGCTTTTATTTTCATAGTTTGCATGTTCACCCCGTGTTGGTGTCGTGGGTTTCCTCCGGGTGCTCCAGTTTCCCCCACAGTCCAAACACATGCTATAGGGGAATTGATGAACTAAATTGGCTGTAGTGTATGAGTGTGTGAGTGTGTATTCAATTCAATTCAGCTTTATTTGTATAGCGCTTTTACAATGTAGATTGTGTCAAAGCAGCTTCACATAAATGGTCATAGTAACTGGAACAGTGTGGTTCAGGTTTTAGTGTTTAAGTTCAGTTCAGTTCAGTTTAGCTCAGTTCAGTGTGATTTAATCATTACTGAGAGTTCAAACACTGAAGAGCAAATTCATCGATGCGCAGCTCTACCAATCCTGAACCATGCGTATGGGTGTTTCCCAGTACTGGGTTGTGGCTGGAAGGGCATCCGCTGCTTAAAACATATGCTGGAATAGTTGGCGGTTCATTCTGCTGTGCCGACCCCTAATAAATAAGGGGCTAAGCCGAATGAATGAATTCTAGACATCGAAACTCAGAGATCTTTTATTCCACGTCGTTTAATGTTACCGATCTTTGTCATGTGACTTTAAATTCATTGAAATCTTTTGTTATTTACTTTTGTTTATACTCTTTGTTTAGGTTTTTGTGTGTGTGCTGTTTCATGTTTCACATATTTTTATAGTTTGCCTTTTTAAAAATTATTTCCCGCTTGTCAACTGGCAGCCGAATACTCTAAAACGATATGATTAAAAATTCAATATCAAGCAGCAGAAGTTGTTTTGTTATGCTAAAAATGAATGGAAGTGAATGAGAGCAGACACATTTGAGTTACAATGGCTGCGCTGCTCTTATGTGAAAAATAAGCTGTGTAGATCATCCATAAATTCAGCTTTTTAGGGAGTAAAAATCAGGGAAAAGTTAAGGAATTTGGGCATGTGGGTTGTAGTGGGAACCCCGAACACCTTTAAAGGGATAGTTCATCCAGAAATCTGAGATATAAGTGACTTTTTTTTTTCTTCAGTACAACATTCTGTTTCGTTGTTCTTGGTGATTTTATATTATGGCAGTGAATGGAATCAATCAAGTCCAAATCAATAGCCGTGGCTCCTGATGACACTGAGGTCTTGTGAAGCCAAATGAACACTCTGGGCCCTATCATACACCCGGCGCAGTAGTCTTTTGGTAGTTTCAGCTTGGCGCAAGAGTTGTTTTGAGGCGTTGCTCTATGCTGTTTAAATAGCAAATGCATTAGCGCTCATATGTGCGCCCATAGGCGTTCTGGTCTAAAAAGGAAGGTGTTCTGAGGTGGACCGCTGGCGCGTTGCTATTTTGAGAAACTATAATAGATTTTTCATTAAACCAAAACAAACCCGGTCTAAACTCCAGCGCAGAGTTGCGCCTCGCTTACACACTGCTTAATACACACAAGAGAGCAATAGGCAAATACCTTTACATATGAAAAAATTTAAATATTAAGGATATATATAGGATATAATAAGAATAGATATAGGATATAAATATAAAGGATTAAAATATCACAAAACATATTATTTTCTAGCCTACATAAATATGAAAAATCACTGCTTTCATGTCTTCTTCATCTCGGGAGGCTTTTTCAGTTCATTCATAACAATTTGCTTTTGTATAATGTTATTATTATTAGCAGTATTATTTATTATATCCATATTTATATTTGTTTTATTAAAAACAAGCTTAGATTTGCGCACCTGTCAGGTTTTAGACCATATGGGGCGCAGCATGTGTTTTAGGATATAACTCAGGTTTTTGAGCACACTTCATTATTATTGTTCATTTATTCATTTGCTGGAAATTAGAACTGAATTTAGAAACAGTTTTGAAACGAATATTTGCGCTTAACAAATGAAATTAATTATTTATAGACTAATTGATGTCTGTGCGTAAAGGTTTCCCTATCCAAAAGTGAAAGTAGATCATTTATCACTCATTGTCACACAGTAGATGCTCTGTTTAACTGTTTTCTGTCAACTGTTTGCTTGTGAAATGCTCAGTTTTTCCACTTAGACTTACTTTGCGTCCTGTAAATAGTGAATGCGCTCTTGGCGTGACGCAGCTGGCTCTTAAAGGGAATGGGAGATGAGACTATAATTGGTTTATTCTCAAAACACACCTATAACTCATTAAGAAAATAAACTCAACCCTTTTAGACCATGCACCACGGCGCAAAGCAGATTTCCCGTCCTTAAAGTAGCAAAAACGCGTCCTGACACACCCTGAAAGCGTTTGCGCCCTGCGTTTTGCACTCTGCACATGGACCGTCAAAATAGAGCCCTTAGTGTAAGAAATTGAACATTATTTACAGTATTATTAGCTTTAAACTACAATATTCGTCATCATTAAAGCGACTGGACTACATTCAGCATGCGCCTAAGACTATTTGTTAATAGTTAAAAGCTTATAATTTTATGAACAACGTTCAATTTCTTAATTGGAGCATTCGTTTTGCTTCACAAGGCCTCAGTGTGTCATCAGCAGACATGACTATTGATTTGGACACGTTTCTATGTGTTTACTTTAAATCAAAAGAAACCTGTCACCATTCACCACCATTATATGACTCGCCAACAACAACAGAATTAGCGCAAAATCTTCTTTAACGTTCATGTGTTGAGTACATTTTTGCATGAACTTTAACATCATGCCTGCTGTTCATATTGTTTTCCTCAGGGCGGCAGTCACATCATCATCACAGAAGATACGGTGTCCATGCTGGACCTGCGGTGATCCTCTCCATGACACAGACAGACTCTGATCCTCCACAGGCACTTTTTTTTTTGTGAGATACGAACACTAAACGCCAGAGCTCAGGAACGCAAACACCTCCGCAGGCCTGCAGGATCCACAAGGACAGGTGTATTTCTGTGTCATACACACGTCATCCGTACACACACCATCACAGCAGGGGCTTTCAAAAGGGTTCGTTCACGCAAAAATCAGAATTATGCAATGATTTACCCAGCAGTTATTCAAAACATGATCTATTCTAGCTCTACACTGTAAAAATATCAGTAAATTAGCAGTTTTTTTTTTTAGTATTTTGTGATTCATGTTTTCAGCCAATCACAGCCATTTCCTTGAGCACTGGTAAATACTGTGGCAAATCAGCGCTGTTTAAGAACGCGCTTAAATGCTAGCGATTTTAAAACTTCATAACAGGGACAACACTATACACAACACAAGGATGTGCTACGGAGGACTTCATTGTTTAATCGCTCACCGGGTTACATAGGCTGCCGCAGGGAAGCGTCCCCACGGTGTTTGCCTGCTGCCATGTGCTGAAGCCTAGGAGGACACTCTTATAGAGACTGTGATGTTGTTTGATGCCTCATCTGCTTTTAATCGTTTAGATTAAACTGAACCGAGTGATATTAAAGTGATGTTTAAACCATATCTGAGTTTTGAAATTGCGGCATTTCCCAGAGATGGGTTGCAGCTTAGTGTGAACTAACCCTTTTGAGTGATGAGCATCATCTTCAGTGAGCGCCGAACGCCAACATTTCTGAAATGTCTTCTGAAATGCTGCTTTTTTTTTGGCGGGGTCACTTTGTATATTAGTTTATGATAATGTTGGTTCTTCCTGTCATGATTGAGTTGTTTTAAGGGGCCGTTCACACTGGATCTGTTTTGCGATGTAGACGGTGTATTGAAATAATTAAAAAAAAAGTCATTTATTTTGAAGCTCCTTTTAATCTGATAGCTTTGTTTTTTTCCCAGAAGACAACTTTCTGAAGTATTTCCATCGTAAAAACACAAAGTCGGCTAATAGTGTGTACAAAAAACTGTTCTCGGTATGAACACTTGAAAATCGATCACATTTGGGAAAACCGCTCTTGCTGGTGTGATATTATGAATCTATAATGTACACCATCTTTAACAGGGAGACTTTCGGTTTTCATAACTTTAATTTTAAGATAATTCTGTGTATTTTTATAATTATTATTAATATTTTTGTACAGAATGTCAGCTCATGCATCACGTTTGTATGCAAGAAATACTGCACACTCCTATTAAAATCTAATAATTTGCACTACATGCATTCACTCGGGGGTGGTGGGGGCGGTTGGGGGGGGGATTTTTGTGCTGCTTGTTGAAACTACTTTAAAATGAGCTGAATCAGTGCAATTCTTGAGTTTTTTTGGGAACAACCTAATTGTTTTATGTTTAATGTACTTAAATTTGTTAACACAATTATTAAGTGAACTTAATCTATTTGTGTTGGGACAACATGAAGGAATTGTGTGGAATCCAGCATTTATTTACAGCGTTTTTGCATTTAAATATAATAGAAATGCAAGATTGTTTTCATTCATTCATTTGCCTTAGTCCCTTATTAATCAGGGGTTGCCACTGTGGAATGAACCGGCAACTATTCCAGCATATGTTTTACACAGCGGATGCCCTTCCAGCTGCAACAAGATACTGAGAAACACCAATATGCACTCATTCACACACCACGGCCAATTTAGTTTGTTGAGGGGGAGTAAATTTTCATTTTAAGGTAAACTATCCCTTGAAACACATAAGAAGATATTTTGAAGAATGCTGGAAACCGGTAACCATTGACTTCCATAATAGAAACAACAAATACTATGGAAGTTAATGGTTCCATACACACAAAAAAATATATTATTCAAACACATAAAAAGATGTTTTGAAGAATGCTGAAAACCAGTAACCATGGACTTCCACAGTAGAAACAACAAATTCTATGGAAGTCAATGGTTACAGCTTTTGAGCGTTCTTAATATCTTCTTAAGTGTTTGATTAAAGAAAAACAATGTTTTGGATGCACTTGAGGGGGAGTAAATTTTCTGATTTGGGTGAACTATCCCTTTAAACACAATATATTTTGAAGAATGATAGAAACCTGTAACCATTGACTTCTATAGTATTGGTTGTTTCTACTATGGAAGTCAATGGTTACAGGTTTTGAGCGTTCTTAATAATATCCTTTTAAGCCCTGAAGGGGGAGTAAATTTTCATTTTTCTGGGTGAACTGTCTCTTTAAACATGCAAAAGATGTTTTGAAGAATGCTGGAAACCGGTAACCATTGACTTCCATAGTAGAAACAACAAATACTATGGAAGTTAATGGTTCCATACACACATAAAAATATCTTATTTAAACAGATAAAAAGATGTTTTAAGGAATGCTGGAAACCATTGACTTTCATAGTATTTGTTGTTCACTGTGGAAGTCAATGGTTACAGGTTGTGAGCGTTCTTTTTATCTTCTTAAGTGTTTCATGGAAGAAAAACATTGTTTTGGATGCACTTGAGGAGAGATTAAATTTTCATTTTTGGGTGAACTATCCCCTTGAAACAAAAGATATTTGAAGAATGCTGTAAACCGGTAACCATTGACTTCTATAGTATTTGTGTTTCTTTTATGCAAGTCAATGGTTACAGGTTTTGAGTGTTCCTAATAATATCTTTTCAAGCGTTGAGGGGGAGTACATTTTCATTTTTCACCATTCATCTCTTTAAACGTGTAAAGAGATATTTTGAAGAATGCTGAAAACCGGTAACCATTGACTTCCACAGTATTTGTTTTTCCTGCTATTTAGTAGAGAAGAAAAAGACCAGATGCTTCTCCTACCACACAAAACTACATTTCTCTGATATTTGCTCCAGTTGATCAGGAAGTGGCGAGTTTTGTTCTCTTTGCCTCATTGAATGCCAACACTGCTTTATTCACTAATATTTTATGCAATATTCAAAATTTTGGTGTTAAAAATAGATTCAAACATGACTAATGGACTAATGGCGTCTTCAAAATATCTTCTGTAAAATTGTGGAAGCACTCGAGATGATTAAATAAGTAATTTTTCATGACTGTAACCATATGAAGGAGCCACTTCACCACTTACCTGCTGAGAATGCATTTGGCGGTGTCAATGATGTGATGAGGAATCAGTCAAAAACACTAAAGAAACCGTGACTGACAGGAAGTCTACTGTCTTTATTCATACGGGCTGCTGTTAGTTCGATGTATAAATATTAAGAAGCATCCGGAGAGTATTCTGAAATCGCTCTGAATCATAAATTACGATTAAAAAACAAAGAGTTGAACAGTTGTTATGATTTACAGCATATTTAAAGATGAGCGTTTTGCTCTGCTGTGTGTGCAGCAAATCAGTGTCTAAGCAGCTCTCGGCCCATAATCATCTGCTTTTGAAATGTTTTGGGCAGAACATGTCTCATTCTCTGTGGGAATACTGACATGTTTTGTTGAAGCGCCCGGCCGTCGTGTTGATCTCCTCATGGGACGTCTGCAGTGCTTTAGATTTTTGACATCAGCCCAGCCAATCCAGATCTTCTTCATCACTGTCATCACCAAACAGAGGAGCAGGAGGAGGACGACCCTTCAGACTCTGAAAACACACACACACACACACACACACACACACACACACACACACCATCAGTTATGCAGGAGCAACGCCCCATTCACACGGGGCTTCAGCGTCAACGCTTGACTGAAGGCGTGTCTGAAGTTGGGGCTGAAGCGATCGTCATAGCAGCGTCAGCCAATGAAATTCAATCAGCAATAGGCCACTGTCTAGCTGGTGTATTTGCATACAGCGACCTGATTGGCTGAAGCTTCCATCACCGCTTGAATAGTTAAGCTAGACCTCACTTCTGCAGCAAGCAACACCTCTGAAGCGGCGCCAACAGATCCACAATGCAGTTCGGCAACGCCTGACGTCACCCATTCAAAGTGAATGAGAAGCGTTGATGCTGACGCCCCGTGTAGAACTGCACTATTTTGGTAAAACAATTTTGATAAATCTAGTTAATGGACTCTTGTTGTTATATCGTGTACTAAGACTGACGGAAAATGAACAGTTGTTATTTTCTAAGACTGACATGGTTAGGAACTATATTCTCACTCTGGCGTAATAAAAGCCGTATCACGACTGCAGCAGCACAATATATCATAGTGCCTGAAAATCAATCAACTTCCTTCAATATAACCAACACCACACCTAGAGTTACCTACATAGGGATTGTTTGTGTTGGTATTTGTTATAAACAACAAGACTATAAGGGTTAAGAGAAAAAAGTGCAGTGTGAAGTAAATCATTTAATTATACTCGTTATTAGGTACACCTGTCCAACTGCTCGTTAATATACATTTATAATCAGCCAATCACATCGCAGCAACTCAATGCATTTAGGCATGTAGACATGGGCTGCGTCCGAAACCTCATACTTCCATGCTATATAGTAGGGTTGCGTGGTTTACCGATACTATGGTAGTATCGTGATAGTACGGCTACAAAATACTGGCGGTGCTGCTGTAGTTTGTAAACGATAGTATCGTCATTAACTATGGAACAAAATCAATGCCAAAAGCGTTGAAATAAAAAGCATATCGAATAGCACAAACTCTGAAAAATAAAAACACATTGAATTAACAACTGCTTGCATCCTAATGACTTGGACTGCCAGAGTAATTTTAGATCCTGAAATTTAACAGCGCTGTTTATTGAAGCTGTGAATATCTCAACTAAAAATATTTCAAACACGTTTTCATACTTAAAAATTCTAAAATTCTTATTCAATTTGCAGATTTCATGTATAATAGTCAAAAGACAATTTTCAATTCACTTTATTTCAGTTCAAAAATGTGCTTGCATAAATTCAGTGGATCAAATTCGGCTGTTAAAATTTGACATTGACCATATTGAATGCTACTTTTGTGCTGTTATTGACTGTTTTCCTCACTTATTTACGGGTTTAACCATTTTAAATTGGTCCGCCTGCTGGTGAAAAAGCAGCTGGAGATTGTCGATCTGCGATCTATTGCTTTTCCTGCAGTTCCCGGATGTAATGTCAAATTTTAAGAGCCGAATTTGATCCACTGAATTTTTGAGCTGAAATAAAATGAGCTGAAAATGACCTTTTGAACATTACGCTTTGTATTTTTCACCGGTATTGAATATTTTGCGAGTGAAATCTGGAAATTGAATAAGAATTATTGAATTTTTAAGTGTGAAGACGTGTTTTAGTTGAGATATTCAGGGTTTAATAAACAGCTGTGTTAAATTTCAGCACTTCAAATAGGCCTATTATTACATAAAACAGTATTTCTGACTATTTTCTTTATAATTTGAGTTATCAATTACAGTATTGTGATCCTTCAGCTGGTATAGTATCATAACATGAATTAATAGTATTGCGACAACCCGACTAGATAGTACTCTAAATTCAGTACGCGAGTCGAGTAGCATGTCAGAATTCAGCATGCAAGCAGTACCCGGATTACCTACTACCTCTGACAAGATGCGGAAGTGTGCATCCCATGATGCCCCGGACAGCCCAATCCAATAGAGCACCTTTGGGATGTCTTGCAGCGGGAGATTGGCATCATGGATGTGCAGCCGACAAAACTGTGTGATGCTATCATGTCAATATGGAGCAAAATCTCTGAGGAATATTTGCAGGACCTTGTTAAATCTACGCCATGAAGGATTAAAGCAATTCTGAAGGCAAAAGGGAGTCCGACACGGTAATAGTAAGGTGTACCTAATAAAGTGGCCGGTGAGTATAAATATGGTCCAAAGGTCAAAGTGAGGACATTTGGGCTCAGCTGTTCACTAAAGGGCTGGGTTAATTTGAGAGTGGGTTTAGTGTTGGGTTAAGGTAAGTGTTCAGTACTCAGTATGATGGGTTAGATTAGGGTGAGGGGTCGATTAATGTCCTCAAAGTGTGAGGACGGGCGGGTGAGAGAAAGAGAGACTGTGTCTGTGTATGTGTGTGTGTGTCTGTGAGTTTGTGTATGTGTGAGAGACACTGTGAGAGAATTTGTGCCTGCACGTGTGTGTGTGTGTGTCAGTGAGCTCCTCACCAGCTCCTCCTCCTCTTCGTCGGCTGCTGCCTCTGTGGGTGCAGGTGTGGATACGGGTGTGGATGCAGGAGGGACGGGACTCTGGAAAAATGGTTCCTCTCCATTTTCCTCTTCTACTCTCTCAGACGAACTGAGAGAATAGCAGGACGAACACACACACACACAGACACACACAGACACAGACACACACACACACAGACACACAGACATTATGCTCATGCTCACAGTAGGGTTGAAGCAGGCGTGTTGTTAGAGGATTGTCTTCAGTTCATTTCCCGGGAGTTCTGAGGTTTGATAATCATGAAACTGATTCAGTTAGATGATCTTTAAGGACAGGACACAAACAAACCAACTCAATTATTCGCAGGACCACATGCTACCAAAACAAACCCCTGTCTGCTTCCTGTTTGCACTGTGAGAACAACACTTTCTGTTTTTTGGTGAAATAAAATAAAAAAAATAAAATGTAGCAACAATTTTCCTCAAACAAACGTACACTTAAAGGGACAACTGTCATCACATCGTGAGTTTCTTCTGTTGAACACAAGTGAAGATATTCTGAAGAATGCTGGACTAAAAACAGCCATTGTACACTACCTGACTAATCTCGTCCTCGATCTCAGTTGGAGAGCAACAATAATAACTCGACTTCTAGTTGATCATTTGGAAAAGAGTCAGAAGGTGGATTTTCCTGCTGAATCATCTGCTGATCTGCATCACAATCATTGCAGAAGACCTACTGGAACCAGCATGGACCAAGAGTCTCACAGAAATCAGTCAAGTTTGGTGAAGGAGAAATCATGGTTTGGGGTTACATTCAGTATGGGGACGTGTGAGAGATCTGCAACATCAACAGCCTGAGGTGTCAAGACATCTGTGCTGCCCATTACATTACAAACCACAGGAGAGGGACAATTCTCCAGCAGGATAGCGCTCCTGCTCATACTTCAGCCTCCACATCAAAGCTCCTGAAAGCAGAGAAGGTCAAGCTGCTCCAGGATTGGCCAGCCCAGTCACCAGACATGAACATTATTGAGCATGTCTGGGGTAAGATGAAGAAGGATGTGATGAAGATGAACAGAGTCTTGATGAACTCTGGGAGCTCTGCTGAAGGCTTTCTTCTTCATTCCAGATGACTTTATTAATCAGTGATTTGAGTCATGTCAGAGATGTATGGATGCAGTCCTCCAAGCTCATGATGGAGTCAGACACAATATTCATTCTGTCTCCACTGCAGCAGGACTTTATATTCTATACTGGACATTATTTCTGTTCAGTGATGACACTTTAGTCTAAGCAGAGTCAGACCGCACTGTCCTAATCAAATCATTCAAAATCAAGTCATGATCATAGACTATTGTGCTCAAATAAGTGTCATCTAGAGGCCTTCGCCTTTTATATGAGCCACTTCTGACACCAAATCATCAACTAGAAGTCTAATTAGTATTTGTTGTTCCTAAAACTTGGATAGGCAGGTTGTATACACATTTGATAGTGATCTACAGGTCACAGACAGTAGATGTGAGATGTGTGTACCTGTGGGTCACCTCAGGTGTGTCTGCGCACTTGTCCTGTAGAGCAGCAGGGGGCGGCGGAGGGTTTTTAGGAGGACCACCAAACAACATCGTCTCCGTCGTTTCCGCTTCATCCAAATGCCCTGAAACACTCTCATCCATCACCGTCACTTCCTGTGCAGGACCAGTGACATCAGGCAGCTCTGAAGTCACTTCCTCTCTGGCTGTTAGGTCACGTTCTGTCTCTGCCAGAAGTGTGTTTTCTGTACTGCTCTCATTAAACTCATCCACAAGTGTGTTTTCTGTGCTCTGATCTAGAAGTGTGTTTTCTGCGCTCGCATTAAGCTGATCTTGAAGTGTGTTTTCTGCGCTGTTAGGATTAATCTGATCTGCCTTCATGTCTTCTGTGCTGGCGTTCTCTTCAATCTTTTCTTCTGCACTTTCCTGTTCTCCTTTGCTTTCTTCTGTATCTTCGGTCTTCTTCTCCTCTGCTGGTGAAGTGTGTTCCTCTTCCTCCTCTTCTTTCATCTGGATCTCTTCCGGTTCTCTCTCATCCTCCTCTTCCTCTTCTCTCTGTCCATTTATCTGCAGTTTATCTGGTCTCTCTTCTTCATCATCTCTGTCCTCCTCCTCCTCCTCGTGTTCAGATGAAGATCTCTCAGCTTTGGTGAGGAGCTGAAGAGTGACGTTCTGTAATTGGAGAAAGCACTGCTCATCTGTAGTGTTCGTCAGGTGAATTCGTCATATAGTCATTTAAATAGATTGTTATTGAAGGAAGTCCCCAAAAAAGGATTATAAGAAATACACAAATACATCAGATATGAAGTGTAAACATAAAAATAAGGGGGTCACAGAAACTGAAATATCTTGTCCTCTTCCGTATTGCAGTTTACATTACATTTACAGTGGCAATGGTGCATTTGTGGTACACTCCGAATAGATGGCGCATTTGTGTTAAGCCTAGTTCACATTACAGGATTTTAAACATCAGCAGATCGCTGTCCCGTTCACACTACATGACTTGACTTTGTGTCGTTTAATCTCTGTGGTGTTCACACTACGCAACACTCTGTGAATGATCCACAAGAGGGGGGTCACACACTACATGATCTGACAACAACTCATTCCCCATCAGCTCATTCAAGCTACCAAACCACAGCCAATGAAATGTTGAGGGAGGAGTCAGCAGAAACAGCTGAACACTATTGGCTGCTTGTGTGCTGATGACATCACTGACAGCGTTTCAAGCTTTGGAGAAAGCATTTAAAAACATCGTCAAATCAGCTGATTTATGAGCGGATTAATCACTCATCTGCAGGTTCCAGTGGAGAGATACACAGAGAGTTTTTAATTTTTGTAATTTTATAACTCTCTGAAATAAAACTAACAAATAACACCCTGCCGTTTTCTAACTATCAGTGTATTTCTTTCTGACATTGTTATTTTTTTTATTACAAAACAGTAAAGAACTGAGCATTTCTGCCTTAAATTACCATATTGGTCAAAATGACTGCATGCATGTCTGATACTTTTCACTCTGACTTTAAATATGTGTGCATTTCCTTGCCTAGCAACTTCCTGCTAACATAAACAAAACTTTCTGATGGCAAAAACATCAATTTACTTCAGATATCTTTAAAAACAGCGGATTCTGTGCAGTGTAATAGCTCCTGTTTGAAAGTGAAAATGAAAGCCAAGACCTTTAAGTGTTCTAGTATCTTAACTACGTATTTATAGGCTGTATTACCAAAAAAAGATTATATTTTTAGGGTAATGTGTCATTAAATATGATGCCAGACATTCAAAGCTTAATTTTAATATCTCAATAATAGCTTTAAATGTAAATATGTTGTGACAGTATGGCGTTAAGAACGTATAAGAATATACGTATATACGTATAAGAACGGTCAGAATGAGCAGTATGGTAATTCTGATAGTTACAGAATTCTAGCTCCACTGTTAATATAGCCTACTCTCATATCTGTGCTAATGCAGAATGAAGCGAGTGCACTGATGCCCATTCTGACCAATCACAGATGTTTCTGTTGAGCTCCTGAACACACAGGCATTCAGCTCATGCTGATCTGCTCTCTCATTGGCTGCAGCTCGTCACTACATCTGACCACACGTGGGGTTGAGTCGGCCGACTGCTCTGGAATATTCAGCATGCTAAATGTTGGATTTCCGTCTGCGAGGTGTCGGCGACGCGTCAGCGAGCCTCGTTGATGCGTTGTTCAGTAGTTCACACATAAAGAGCGGCGAGCACCCGCAGATTTCTTCCCGATCACAGCCCGATCTGTCGGCGAGCTCGTTAACTTCCAAATCGGGCTCAAATCAGGCTTAAAATCCTCTAGTGTGAACTAGGCTTTACACTCCACATGACTAGCGCATTTGTGTAACAAATCGCGGATGAAATTCAAGAGGGTGAACTCTTTCCAAATGAACCACAATGGCTGCATACCAGTTCAAATTTTATGCCCTTTACTCACTAACTTCCCTTTGTCTTGTTCTCTTGGATCTACATTACACAAGGGTCCACCACTGCTGGAGCATCTGAATGACTTTAAATGGACTAAACCCACTTGGGAACTAAACTGTTGTGACGTCACAATCGCATTGCATTCTAGGACATATTGGGGCTGGAGTGAACATATGAAGCAGAGTAGCACTTCAAAGGGATTAGGGCATAGGGATGAGCCCTACAGAATGAAGCGCAGTGAGTGTGTTTGAAAGATGTTTGCTCACCTTGATAGTGTTGACCAGCACTCGGAGAACAGCACTTCCGGTGTACGTCTCATTCAGATCAAACTCTCCTCGGAGCGACTGAAACACTCCGTTCATCACACGCTTCACCTGAAAACACACACACACACACACTTCAGAAAAGTGAGCTCCATCATCACTATATGATGCAAAACAAAATAAGTTTGATTTGAAAAATGTGATCACTTGCTGAAAATTATGTCATAATTTGCTCATACTTGTGCTTCAAACCTTTAGGAGTGTTTCTGTGCTTTTAAACACAGCAGACCTGTAACCATTGACTTCTATAGTGTTTGTTTTTCCTATTATGGAAGTCAATGGTTACAGGTTTTCAGCATTCTTCAAAATATGTTATTTAGGGTGCACTCACACTATGCTATCCGAATCGTGTCCAGGCGCATTTCCTAGTATGTTTGACAAGTGTGAGTTAGTGATGGGAAGTTCAGATCATTTTACTGACTCTGATGAACGAATCTTTTTTCGAGTCATTTCGTTCATTTGGTTCAGTTTGCCAAAATATTATTAAAATGTTACGAATTGCTTCCAAACACATCTACAACTAGCCCAAAAGGTTGATCACACAACAAATAAGTCATAAATAGAATATTATAAGAAGGAGAAAATAATAATTCAATGTTTACCTGCTATTTTGTCTATAGGCTGATTTATACTTCTGCGTCAAATGCACGCGTATGCTACGGCGCTGACGCATAGCCCTTCGCCGTGGCCGTTGCCGTCACTGACGTGCACCTTTCAAAAAATGTAACTACATGTCGCAACGACGCGTAGCGTAAGCTCTGTGATTGGTCGGCTTGGTAGCGCTGACGAGTCGGGGCGGGACCGAGAGCCGCACGAATGGTGCAAGCGATTGTTTACAAGTGTGGAGTCCCGTGAAGGAGCTCCGGATGGAAAGTTTTGTTTTGTGTTTACCTCATAGTTAAAGGTGCTGCACGTCCACCGGTTCCTGCCTCAAAATGAGTGAGTTTGAGCCACTTTTACATCCCGGAAGTGTTCAGGAAAAGCAAAACAGCAGCCAAGAAACTCGACACAGAGGAACATTTACACCACACTGCCAACTAGCGTTTCAGAAGTGTTAATGCAGACCGACAGAGACAGCGCGCAGAAGTATAAATGCACAGCCACGCGCGTTGCATGCACTGTGGGTTACGCCGGTCACCTGACGCAGAAGTATAAATCAGGCTTATGAAGGTATTGTTGTCACTTTGCTCAGCTCACCTCTTCATGTCTTCAAATGTCAGGGGTTAATTCATGTTACACTGACAGTCACATATAATCTTAATCAATGCACAGTCAAAAGCCGATAGGAGCCATGATCGTCCGTTCATCACGTGACAGAATGACTCAAACCTGAAGACTTGAGAGATGAATGGATCAATTCTTTTTCCGGCTCTAAACACATATGATTGGCTTATGCCTTTCCGCGATGAACGACTCGAAATGTGATGAAGACTTGAAATGAACGATACCACCTGCACAAATGTGCGCACGTGCGGATGAACGAATCACTCCCTGAGAGGACTCGTAGTTCCCGAGTCATTTTGAAGATGAACGACCCATGCAAAGCTCGCCTGAGCCCGAAACTGAAGACGAGATGTGACTTTTAAGGGACTGTTTCATATGGATTTATTAAACCCCTCACGGCACAACAGCTGCACCTTCAGCAAACCTTCAAATACCTGCAGCACGAGGACTTTATGATCATTTACGAGCGACAAAAATGGCCAATCCGCACAGTGAAATGCCAAACGAATAAAACGATATAACTAAATAAATTTCCACTGTGCTGAGCGAGAGAGTGTGCTCCATCAGGGGAGACGGGAGTGGGGGACAAGCGTGCTTTGGCACGGTTCCGGGCAACTGTACATAGTGTGAGTACGCCCTTACTGTTAGACAAAAGAAAGAACCACTTGAGGGTGAATAAACCGTGAGATTTCTATTTTTAGGTGAACTATCCCTTTAAAAAACTTACTAACAACAATGAAATGCATCTACAGTTATTCGCCCTCCTGTATAATTTTTCTCCCAAATTTTTGTTTAACAGAGAGAAGATTTATTAAACACATTTCTAAACATAATAGTTTTAATAATTCATCTCTAATACCTGATTTATTTTCTCTTTGCCATGATGACAGCACATAATATTAGACTAGATATTCTTCAGGACACTAGTATTCAGCTTAAAGTGACATGTAAAGGCTTCACTAGGGTAATTAGGGTAAAGTTCGGGTAATTAGGCAAGTCATTGTATAACAGTGGTTTGTTCTGGAGATAATCCAACACTAATATTGCTGAAGGGGCGAATAATATTGACCTTAAAATGACTTTAAATAAATTAAGAACTGCTTTTATTCTAGCCGAAATAAAACAAATAAGACTTTCTCCAGAAGAACAAATATTAGAGGAAATACTGTGAGAAATTCCTGAATCTGTTCAACATCATTTGGGAAATATTTGAAATAAAAAATTCACAGGAGGGCGAATAACTCTGACTTCAACTGTATATAGTGTGCATGAGTGTGTGTTGCGGTGACCTCTCCAGCGGTGTCCGTCTGCTGTTGCTGCTCCGTCAGTCTCGTCTCCAGCTCTGAAACCCTCGTCTCCTCCTGCTGCTTTAACATCACCACTCTCTGCTCCAGTAAACAGCACTGAAACACACCAGATTTAGGATTATTAAGACAAAAAACTTCATAATTACCTTCAATGCTTTTGTAGCTTTCCTCATGAGTTTAGTTTTGTTAATGAATGTTAACACGTTGGCTCAGTGGTTAGCACTGTGGCCTCACAGCAAGAAAGTTGCTGGTTGGAGTCCCGGCTGGGTGAGCAGGCATTTCTGTGTGGAGTTTGCATGTTCTCCCCGTGTTGGAATGGGTGCTCAGGTTTCCCTCACAGTCTAAACACATGCGCTATAGGGGAACCTGATGAACTAAATTGGCTGTGGTGTACGAGTGTGTGAGTAAATGAGTGTGCATGGGTGTTTCTCAGTACTGGGTTGCAGTTGTAAGGGCATCTGCGGCGTCAAACATATGCTGGAATAGTTGGCGGTTCATTCCGCTGTGGCGACCCCAGAAAAACAAGGGACTAAGCTGAAGGAAAATGAATGAATGAAATATTCAGATCAATTTCAGTCAATATCTCAGCAGGGCACTGGAAAGATTAACATGTGAAAATCTTTAAGCTAGACAATAAATTGCATATTAAGTCTTAAAGCATTTGCAAAGAAACAAATCTGAATATTCTTAAAAAGCACTAATAATAATAATGAATAAATAATTATTTCTGGTATTCAATTGAACATAATGCATGTTCACTATCATGACGCATTACATTACCGAATGTCAGCACATCTAGACATAAATAATAAGCTTGTGCTTTATTCTGCTCCATCCCCAACTGGTTAAAATCAATTATTTATTACTATTGTATTTGATTTAAACAGTATAATATATAATTAGGGGGTCATTTTGGCGCAGTGGGCAGCACAATCGCCTCACAGTTTCCCCCCACAGTCCAAACACATGCGCTATAGGGGAATTCATGTGTGTGTGTACCTATTCACTTGTATGTTTCTATATGTTTGTATGCGTGCGTTTCTATGTGTATGTGTGTGTGTACATGTGTGCTTCTAGATATTTGTGTATGTGCATGTGTGTGTGTGTGTGTGTGTGTGTGTGTGTGTGTGTGTGTGTGTGTGTGTGTGTGTGAATGAGTGTGTATGTGTGTTTCCAAGTACTAGGTTGCAGCTGGAAGGGTAAAACATATGCTGGAATAGTTGGCGGTTCATTCCACTGTGGCGACCCCTGATAAATAAGGGACTAAGCTGAAGAAAAATGAGTTTACACACATATGGAGACGTTTTGTTGGTTAAGACATGCATTTGTGTTTGAATAATTGTTTTAAGGATAAATAACACTGCTTGATGTAAATGCATTGAATCAAAATGAAACAGTAAACAGCAGCAAAGTGTTTGACCTTTTCCCTGAAGGCCTGCAGCTCTTCGCTCTGGTCCTGCTGCTGGAGCAAGCGCTGATCCTCTGACTCACGAGACTTCTTCAGAGCATTAAACTACCAACAGGAAACAAGGATAATGTCAGTTTCAGTGATTTGCATTCAATGCAACGCAATTCTTCAGCAAGAGACGCACACTGCTGCAGAGCTCGTGTGGGTGTTGTTGCTCCGTTTCTGCAACGTTTTTTCATTTTTCAATGCGTTTGTTTGATTAAATAAACCAGTAATGATGTAACAGCTCACACCGACAGCTAGAGTATTTATTTTCCTACTATGGAAGTCGATGGGTGCAACCAGCATTCTTCAAAGTATCTTCTTTTGTGACGGATAGTATAGTGTGTGTGTGTCTGTGTATGTGTATGTATATATATATATATATATATATATATATATATATATATATATATATATGTGTGTGTGTGTGTGTGTGTGTGTTCATGTTTGTATGTGTTTGTATATGTGTGAGTGTATGTTCGTTTGTGTACAGCATGTATGTGCGTGAGTTTCCATTTGTGTACGTCTATGTGTGTGTATGCGTTTCTATGTGTAACTGTATGTGTGTGTGTGTGTGTGTGCATGTGTCTATATGTCTTGGTATGTATGCGCATGTATGCTTTTGTGTGTGTAAGTTTGTATGTTTCTATGTGTGTGATTATGTATGTCTCTATACGTTTGTATGTGTAAGTACATGTGTGCGTCTAGATATTTGTGTGTATGTATATGTGTGTGTGCACTTGTTTCTATGCTTGTATATATGTGTGTGTCTATGTCTGTATGTGTATGTGTGTGTGCACTTGTTTCAATGTGCGTATGTATATGTGTGTGTGTGTGTGTGTGTGTGTACGTATGCGCTTGTTCAGTTCTATATGTTTGTATGCGTGCATTTTTATGTGTATGTGTGTGTGTACGTATATGTGTATGTATGTTTGTGTTCTTAAAATGCGTGTGTGTGTGTGTGTGCACGCGTGTTTCTATATGTTTGTATGCATGTACAAATGTGTATACCTGTGTATGTTTATGTAAGTGTGTGTCTATATGTTTGTAAGCATATGTATGTGTATAGGTGTTTGTTTATTTGTGTGTATGTCTATTTGTTGTATGTGTATGTGTGTACATCTTTATGTTTTTATGTAAGTGTGTGTGTGTGTGTGTGTGTGTGTGTGTGTGTGTGTGTGTGTGTGTGTGTGTGTGTGTACCTTCTCCTGCAGCTGTGTGAGTTTGCTCTGCAGTGTGTCTCTGTGTTCGCTGAGTTCAGCTGTTTCTCTCCTCTGCTGTTCACGTGCGGCAGCTACAGCCTGATCACACTTCACCTGCCACTCCCGCTCCAGATCCACCTGCAGCTGAGACAGCTACACACACACATTTGAAGTCAGAATTATTAGCCCCCCTGTATATTTCTGATACACTAGGGTAATTAGGGTAAAGTTAGGGTAATTAGGCAAGTCATTGTATAACAGTGATTTATTCTGGAGACAATCCAACACTAATATTGCTGAAGGGGGCGAATAATATTGACCTTAAAATGGGTTTTAAAAATTAAGAACTGCTTTTATTCTAGCCGAAATAAAACAAATCAGACTTTCTCCAGAAGAAAATATATTATAGGAAATACTGTGAAAAATTCCTGCATCTGTTAAACAGCATTTGGGAAATATTAGAGAAAGAAACAAAAACACGCGCACGCACGCACACACACACACACACGTAGCAAAATTGCAATAAAGCTCAACTTGACCTCCACTACGTCACCGGTTTTGTGTAACACTTTAGTTTAAGTACCAATTAATACAAACTATAAACTCTAGGCTAATTACCTGCCTAATAATAATAATATATTGTTATTTGCACGTCACCTGTTGTGCTGCCGCGTGGTCGGTGCTGGTTCTGGCTCTGCGTAACTGGCTCCTGAGGTTTTCCATCTCCTGCTGTCCCGCTCTCCTCAGCTCCTCCAGCTCTTCATCACAGCGCTGTCGCTCCGCCTGCCACTTCCTCTTCCTCTCCGAGAGAGTCTGAAACACACACACACACACTCAATGATCACAGTCGGGTCAAAGTTATGCAAAATAAATAATAATAATAATAATGAATTAGTTGATTAATGAGGTTTCAACAAACTGAAAGTCTAATGTCATTGTTTAAATCTCATTTCTATATGTATTTATGTATATATAATTGTTATTATAATTGTAAAATTACATCGATTTAATTAGATTTAATTCATAATTACCTCTATAAATTTATTTAAAAAAATTTTATATACATTTTGGCAGTTAATATTAATTATTTCATATCAGTGTAAGTTATTTAAATGACTATTTATAATTAACTTGTCTAAAAACTAACTTGATGAGTAATTTAATTACTTGACTCAATACTACTTAAAATCTATATTAATTTATAAAGCATATATATATATATATATATATATATATATATATATATATATATATATATATATTTGTGTGTGTGTTTTTAAAAATAATAAATAATAAAATTTCTAAAAAATATAAATAATATTCTTTATATAAATATCTGTTATTTGACACAATTTAAGCTTCATTTTTTGCTTTTATCAGTTTAATAGTCACCTAAGTCAGGGGTTTTCAATCTTTTTCCCTTTAGGGCTCACTTCTTTCTCCGATCAATTTTTGAAGGCCCACCAGTCTGACATTTTCTTTAAAATGTTTGCATAAAATGCTAATTTAAAACTTTATTTATTAACAAACAAACAAATAAATTATATATATATATATATATATATATATATATATATATATATATATATATATATATACAGACACATTTGTTGTGCCTTCTATTATTTTCTATTATAATGTCCATTATAAAACACTCACAGGAAATTAATTTGGACAACTATGCGGATATAATAAAAAGTTCACACAAAAATACAGAGAGAGACTTTCACTTTCACTTCACGCATAGTTTGTGAATGAACAGACGTGTAGTAGTTGCAGATGCGATCATGAGGCTGTTTTTGAACTTACTTCACAGGAGAAAGTGCAATACTTTGATAATTTTAATATAGCATATTAATAATAGAATACAAAAATTAATAATATAATATTGAGAGTTCATTTTCAGCTATCTCACTGGCGACCTTCAGGATCACTAAGGCCCACACACCGCCACTAGATGGCACCACTAACTCGGTTATTACTCTTGTGTCCACAGAATACAACCTTCCCTGTAATTTAGTCTCATAGGACTGCACAATATCTGTATGTTATATGCACAGTAGCCTAGGTAGGTCTACAATTATATCCCTGAAAGACGTCCGGAACGAAGCGGGTCATCTGCTTGGATGACGATGGAGAGACCATATATACATATCCACAGAACAAGATGAACTCACTCGCTCCAGACTGTCCTTCTCTGTCTTCATGTCCTGCAGCTCTTCCTCCTGGTTGTTGAGTTTAAGCTCCAGTTCTTTGCGTTTCTGTTTCTCTGTCTTGTATTGACTCTGCGCTCGCTCTGCTGTCTCCTTCAGCTCTGAAACACACAAACGTTAGCTGTGCATTAAAGTACACAAGACTATCTATTACTTTAATCGTTATTATTATTATTATTATTATTATTATTATTATTTAGGATACAGTTCAGAGAAAACTACTTTTCACTTTTAAAGGGCTGACCCCCCCCATACATCGTGTTTTGACATCCTTCAGGGGAATCAAACATTAATTAGAAGGACTGATCCCTCCTAATCACAATGTAATTCACAACAGGTCTACATGTAATAGCAGTTCTGCTCACCAAGTATCTGCGCATCCAGTGCTGTGATCTGTGTGCAGTGCTGCTGGTTGTCCTGCAGGGCGGCGCTGAGTTTGCTCTGCAGTGTTGAGAGCTTCTGCTGCTGCGAACTCAACTCCAGTTGCAGCTCTGACACGCGTGCCGTAGACGAAGCCAAATCCTCCGTCAGACGAGCCTTACGGACACATACAGACAAACGTTAAACTGCGCATTCACAACTGACGCTACAGCACATGAGATGAGGATGATGACGAGACCGGAATGAAAATAATAAATCAGCATTTCTCAATCCCGTTCCAGACCCGTAACAATAAATAATATTAAATTAAAATATATAGAGCTCCTCTAAATTAATGAGGAGCCCGGAGTCTCATCTCCCGTTCAAAAGGAAAAACAACTGCAAAGACGAATGACCAAGGAAATAAGGGAAAGTCAAATTAATTTGACGTTTAAACTTTAAAAGGAGACAATAAAAAGCTTGTGAAGGTAAATGCCAAAATAACAAACAAAACTCAACAACTAACTAAGTTTTTTAACCGTCTTACCTGCACATGAAATTAAACAAATACAATAACATTCACTTACCTCCATACTAACCACAAAACATGAGCAAACGTAAGAAACGAAAAGCCAGCACACGTGTCTCCGTATAGATCTCAAGGTCAGTGCATTTGTGAGAAAATCTGCCAGAGTGCATTTGTGAGAAAATCTGCCTGAGTGCATTTGTGAGAAAATCTGTCCGAGTGCATTTGTGAGAAAATCTGCCTGAGTGCATTTGTGAGAAAATCTGCCTGAGTGCATTTGTGAGAAAATCTGTCCGAGTGCATTTGTGAGAAAATCTGCCTGAGTGCATTTGTGAGAAAATCTGCCTGAGTGCATTTGTGAGAAAATCTGCCTGAGTGCATTTGTGAGAAAATCTGCCTGAGTGCATTTGTAAAAAAATCTGCCTGAGTGCATTTGTGAGAAAATCTGCCTGAGTGCATTTGTGAGAAAATCTGCCTGAGTGCATTTGTAAAAAAATCTGCCTGAGTGCATTTGTGAGAAAATCTGCCTGAGTGCATTTGTGAGAAAATCTGACCGTGTGCATTTGTGAGAAAATCTGCCCGAGTGCATTTGTGAGAAAATCTGCCTGAGTGCATTTGTGAAAAAATCTGCCTGAGTGCATTTGTGAGAAAATCTGCCTGAGTGCATTTGTGAGAAAATCTGTCCGAGTGCATTTGTGAGAAAATCTGCCTGAGTGCATTTGTAAAAAAATCTGCCTGAGTGCATTTGTGAGAAAATCTGCCTGAGTGCATTTGTGAGAAAATCTGACCGTGTGCATTTGTGAGAAAATCTGCCCGAGTGCATTTGTGAGAAAATCTGCCTGAGTGCATTTGTGAAAAAATCTGCCCGAGTGCATTTGTGAGAAAATCTGCCTGAGTGCATTTGTGAGAAAATCTGCCTGAGTGCATTTGTAAAAAAATCTGCCTGAGTGCATTTGTGAGAAAATCTGCCTGAGTGCATTTGTGAGAAAATCTGACCGTGTGCATTTGTGAGAAAATCTGCCTGAGTGCATTTGTGAGAAAATCTGCCTGAGTGCATTTGTAAAAAAATCTGCCTGAGTGCATTTGTGAGAAAATCTGCCTGAGTGCATTTGTGAGAAAATCTGTCCGAGTGCATTTGTGAGAAAATCTGCCTGAGTGCATTTGTGAGAAAATCTGACCGTGTGCATTTGTGAGAAAATCTGCCCGAGTGCATTTGTGAGAAAATCTGCCTGAGTGCATTTGTGAAAAAATCTGCCTGAGTGCATTTGTGAAAAAATCTGCCCGAGTGCATTTGTAAAAAAATCTGCCTGAGTGCATTTGTAAAAAAATCTGCCCGAGTGCATTTGTGAGAAAATCTGCCAGAGTGCATTTGTGAGAAAATCTGCCTGAGTGCATTTGTGAGAAAATCTGCCCGAGTGCATTTGTGAGAAAATCTGCCCGAGTGCATTTGTGAGAAAATCTGTCCGAGTGCATTTGTGAGAAAATCTGTCTGAGTGCATTTGTGAGAAAATCTGCCCGAGTGCATTTGTGAGAAAATCTGTCCGAGTGCATTTGTGAGAAAATCTGTCCGAGTGCATTTGTGAGAAAATCTGCCTGAGTGCATTTGTAAAAAAATCTGCCTGAGTGCATTTGTGAGAAAATCTGCCCGAGTGCATTTGTAAAAAAATCTGCCTGAGTGCATTTGTAAAAAAATCTGCCCGAGTGCATTTGTGAGAAAATCTGCCCGAGTGCATTTGTGAGAAAATCTGCCCGAGTGCATTTGTGAGAAAATCTGCCCGAGTGCATTTGTGAGAAAATCTGCCCGAGTGCATTTGTGAGAAAATCTGCCTGAGTGCATTTGTGAGAAAATCTGTCCGAGTGCATTTGTGAGAAAATCTGCCTGAGTGCATTTGTGAGAAAATCTGTCCGAGTGCATTTGTGAGAAAATCTGTCCGAGTGCATTTGTGAGAAAATCTGCCTGAGTGCATTTGTGAGAAAATCTGTCCGAGTGCATTTGTGAGAAAATCTGTCCGAGTGCATTTGTGAGAAAATCTGCCTGAGTGCATTTGTGAGAAAATCTGTCCGAGTGCATTTGTGAGAAAATCTGCCCGAGTGCATTTGTGAGAAAATCTGTCCGAGTGCATTTGTGAGAAAATCTGCCTGAGTGCATTTGTGAGAAAATCTGTCCGAGTGCATTTGTGAGAAAATCTGTCCGAGTGCATTTGTGAGAAAATCTGCCTGAATGCATTTGTGAGAAAATCTGTCCGAGTGCATTTGTGAGAAAATCTGTCCGAGTGCATTTGTGAGAAAATCTGTCCGAGTGCATTTGTGAGAAAATCTGTCCGAGTACATTTGTGAGAAAATCTGTCCGAGTGCATTTGTGAGAAAATCTGCCCGAGTGCATTTGTGAGAAAATCTGCCCGAGTGCATTTGTGAGAAAATCTGCCCGAGTGCATTTGTGAGAAAATCTGCCTGAGTGCATTTGTGAGAAAATCTGCCCGAGTGCATTTGTGAAAAAATCTGAAGTTTTGTGAAGTGCTGTATGCACTAGATGGGTTTGTTCAATGGCTACATGCAGTTACATTGAGATGGACTGTATGTATTAATGAAATATGATTTATAGTTGTAAAACACAATACATTTGTTTTTGCAAATTGGTTTCTGTTTGTTTGCGAATCGAGTGATTCTTTGCAAAGCAGGTTGTGTTTGTTTGCAAAATACTGGATTTGTTTGTGAAATATTGGCACAGAATTCGCTCCACAGTACGATGACTAGCTCATTAGAAGAGACATGTACTGAATTCTGACCGACATGTTCCTTATGAAGCGTGCAGTGCTCCTGATCCCTTCATTGAACTCTACCTGAAGACGAGAACTCTTTATTGCACTTCATTCACAGCAGCATCTTACTAGAGGAGCCTGACATAATATACCTCAGTAAACAAACTCATATAAGTTCACAGATCACACACTAAAATACCATCTGAATAAAACACACATGCTCCCTTAAAACTGAAATCCTGTGTCGTCCACTTTGCAGGGCACTTGTTGACTAATTAGAACGAAAGAAAAACTGTGCAGGAGCAGGATTGAGAAACACTGTAAATTATGCAAATGAAACCAGTGAGAGGACAAAAAAATGTGGTGGTTGTAATATCTAACCCTGCTGAATGCTGATTGGTTAGTGAGCGGTGCCTGTTCAAACAAAGAGTGAGGAGAGAAATGGAATATGAATAAACGATATGAAAGAGTGAGCGAAGACTAAGAAGAAACGGGGGAGGCGGGGGAACACCTTGTGCTCACCTGATCCCAACTCAATTCCTTTGGCAATGCATGCTGGGAAGAGAGAGCAGTCACCACTAAAGGCTCTCAGAATAGTGTTTATTAACCAATCAGAGCAAAGATACGGGTTTTAAAGGGACAGTTCAAAAATGAGAATGCTGTAATTTACTCATCCTCCACTTGTTTCAAACATGTTTGAGTTTCTTCCTTTGGGTTTAACAGAAGGAAGATAATATACTGAAATAAAATCAGCCATTGACTTCCTTTGTATATTTTGCTCCTATTTTAGATGTCAGTGGATGTTTTTATAGTCAAATGTTAGCTGGAAATGAACGTTTTTAAAATTTCAGTACAGATTGGTACCGAACTCGATACTTTCTGTCAACAGTAATTCAGAATACCTTGTTTTGTGTTCAATGGAAGACATTTATAAATGTTTAGAAGCACTTGAGTGTGAGTTAATAATGTGGAAATCTTCATTTTTGGGTGAACTGTCCCTTTAAGATGTGGTCACATTTACTGTAACTTTAAGATGCATAATACTGGGAAAATATGTGATGTTGTTGACAATATGTCACAAAATAAACAATAAAGATAAAGCCATTTTGTCAACAACTTAAATAACTATTTACGTAAAGATCACACTAAAAAGTCATAGTTAATTTTCTGAGCTGATTAAATATATGCAGTTGAAGTCAGAATTATTAGCCCCTCTTGATTTTTTGTTTTCTTTTTTAAATATTTCCCAAATGATGTTTAGCAGAGCAAGGACATTTTATATGTCTGATAATGTTTTTTCTTCTGGGGAAAGTCTTCAAAAGGTTTTATTTTTTCTCGATAGTCTACAGAACAAACCATCATTATACAATAACTTGCCTAATTACCCTAACCTGCCTAGTTATTCTAGGCAGTAATTCTGACTTCAACTGTGTATATAAAAAACTATGTCAAAGTGTAAACATTAAGACTCTAAAACACCACGACTGACTGTTAAACTCGGTAGAACCCCTGATTCTTATTGTGGTCATTCTCCACTCTCGTCTCCCAGCATTAGTGTTTATTAACAGCACCTACTGGAGAGGCGGGGTTGAAGATAGCAAGGCCTCATCTGATTGGTCAGATCTGAATAAACAACCCATGCATGCAGCAAACAAATGCTTGGTACATAAAACTAATTTAATGCATAGCACTTCCCAGTAATGTGGATATTGCATATACTACTTTCGCGATAATGATCATTTTATATATAAATATGTTAATTTTTTTTGCCAAAAGAGTTCCAGACATTTAACACTGGACCATTTTAATTCAGTTTGGAAATTTTCCCAATGTGACCACACCTTTGAAAGAAAACAGGGTAACACTTTAGGTAACAACTCTCACTATTAACTCCAGTCTACCTGCTAATTATTAAGATATTGACTGTTTATTAGTATTTATAAAGTATGATTTTATTTATTCATTCACTTTCCTTTCGGCTTAGTCCCTTTATTAATCAGCTGTTGCCACAGCGGAATAAACTGCCAACCCATCACTGGGAAACACCAATACACTCACATTCACACACACTCTCATACACTACGGACAGTTTAGCTTACCCAATTCTCCTATAGCACGTGTGTTTGGACTGTGGAGGAAACCGTCGCGCTGGAGGAAACTCATGCTAACACGAGGAGAACATGCAAACTCCACACAGAAACACCAACTGACCCAATCGAGGCTAAAATAGGCGTCAACGCTACCAACTGCATCACCCAGTATGACCTTATTCTACATCCCCAATCCTGCTCAATCACAAAACCCAACTACAACCTTACTAACTATTAATAAGCAGCTAATTAATCCTTTATTGAGCTAAAAGTCTTCATTAATAGTGAGAATTGTACCTAAAAATAAAGTGTGACCAAGTAAAGTGTTAACAGTCGAGATAAGAGGGAAGAGCTGTCATTCTGTTATGAACATTAGATTATAAAGTGTGGATTTTGTGGTTCAAAACATTGAATCAGAAAAAAGAAAAAATGCAGCAAATGCAAAACAATTTGGTCATTAAAAGCGCAATAATCAACATGGTTGGGCGCGACATTATACCCTTTCTTAAGCCAAAACTTACTGGACTGTAATAGATTTACCTTGTCCTGCTCCGCCTGCAGTCTTCTGGCCTGATTCTGCTCACTGCTGTTCTTCAGAGAGTCGTTTCTCTGCTCCATCAGCAGGTTTCTCTGCTCCACATACCTGCACAAACACAACGCTAGTTTGACATCTCCAGCCATTTCTACTCAACTTTCTACTAAATCTGTGTGATGTGAGTTTCTGACCTCTGGTTCTGATCGATGAGCTCGCTGATCTTGCGGTTCTGCTCCTCAATGCGTGAACTCTTCTCAAACACCTCTTTCTTCAGACACTCGTTCTCCTGAATAAATGACAAGCATGGAAAATTTTCATATTTTGTTGAACTAAGCTCTGTAAACGGGGCCTAAAATAGCTACATTTGTGTTTTGAAGATGAGCAAAGGTCTCAATGGTCTAAAAATTTCCATATTTAGGTGAACTAAACTATGTAAACATGTAAATGGGGCCTGAAGTAGCTTAATTTGTGTACTGAAGATGAACGAAGGTCTTAGGGGTCTCAAAATATTCATGTTTTAATGAACTAAACTGTGTAAACAAGTAAACGGGGCCTAAAATAGCTTATTTTGTGTTTTGAAGATGAACGAAGGTCTAAATATTCTCAAAATTTTCATATTTTGGTGAACTAAACTCTGTAAACGGGGCCTAAAGTAGCTTAATTTGTGTACTGAAGATGAACGAAGGTCTTAGGGGTCTCAAAATATTCATGTTTTAATTTAACTATACTGTGTAAACAAGTAAACGGGGCCTAAAATAGCTTAATTTGCGTTTTGAAGATGAACAAAGGTCTCAATGTTCTCAAAATTTTCATATTTTGGTGAACTAAACTCTGTAAACATGGCCTAAAGTAGCTTAATTTGTGTTCAAAGATTACTGAAGGTCTTAGGGGTCTCAGAATTTTCATATTTTGTTGAACTAAGCTCTGTAAACGGGGCCTAAAATAGCTTAATTTGTGTTTTGAAGATGAGCAAAGGTCTCAATGGTCTCAAAATTTCCATATTTAGGTGAACTAAACTATGTAAACATGTAAATGGGGCCTAAAGTAGCTTAATTTGTGTACTGAAGATGAACGAAGGTCTTAGGGGTCTCAAAATGTTCATGTTTTAATAAACTAACCTGTGTAAACAAGTAAACGGGGCCTAAAGTAGCTTATTTTGTGTTTTGAAGATGAACAAAGGTCTCAATATTCTCAAAATGTTCATATTTTGGTGAACTAAACTCTGTAAACGGGGCCTAAAGTAGCTTCATTTGTGTACTGAAGATGAACGAAGGTCTCAGGGGTCTCAAAACGTTCATATTTTGGTGAACTAAACTCTTTTAAAAGACCTATGAAATAAATTATAATAAAGATTTTTAGATGTTAGTATCAATTTGTTGGTTTTAAGGATATCTATAATCTAGTGTGCTCCAAAACCGAGACAAAAATCACACTTAGAAGACATAAACCTGATATAAACATGTAAAGTTTGCAGTTTGTCACTTCCGTCCGACTGGATCAACGTTTTTTTGAAGTCTCCTCATACTTCAGTTTCTCATCAAATGTTCAGACCAATCAAATGCTCTCTAGTATATGACAAGCCCCACCCCCTTCTTCTCATTGGCTTTCAGTTAGAGCACGACCACTCTGACTGAAAGAGCTGATATAACACAAAATGCTATTGGCTGTTTTTTTAAAAGGGGAGGAGCTACACTATGCCCCGCCCTCTTCATGTTTAGTTGAGATTACGCCAAAACAGAATAAAAGAATGCACATTTCAAAGCACCTTTCAGTGAACAAATGTAATATAGATCAATACCTGAATAATTCTCTGAATGTTGTGCATGATCATTGCCGTCTCCATGGACACATTCGATAAGCCCATCGAAACGCTGCTCTGTTTTTGTAGATCGTCAATCTGAAAAGGATGAAGAGATTCCTCGTGACGTTTAATGATTATAAACTCTTTCAGATGTCTACAGATTATGTACCAACCCTTGAAGATAAAGTGTCCAGCTTGTCGGCCACTTTCCCAACAGCCAATCGGATTTCAGTATTGTGTTGTCGAGCCTCCGTCATCAAGAAGGATGTGACATCACTAGTTCCTTAAAGAGACAGACGGCATTTACAATTAAATTTTGTTTATTTTTAATAATTGTTATTAATTTTGGCTGGAATAACAAAAAAAAACGTCAATTTCCCGCTAACATTTGAGCGCATTCTTAAACAGCGCTGATTGGCCATTGTGTTCACATGCTCAACAGAAATGACTGTGATTGGCTGTGAAGGTCATCAGTTCACCGAACTCACCGCTCTTCACTGAGTGAACCACAGATACAGGGACACTGGAGTGTTTTAAAGCAGTGAAGATCAGTCGATTGATCAGCGGATCCCTCGTATGTCAGCTTATAAACAGACCAGCTGATCGATGTAACTTTAAAACACTCCAGTGTCCTTGTATCCATGTTACACTCAGTAAACAGCGGTGAGTTCAGTGAACTGATGACCTTAACGGCCAATCACAGTCATTTCTGTTGAGCACGTGAACAAAATGGCCAATCAGCGCTGTTTAAGAGCGCACTCAACAGCGCTCAAATGTTAGCTGGAAATGGACATTTTGAAATTTCAGTACTGACCGGTTTCGAATTCCAGTATCATGACAACACTACATCTTCTTGTGTATTACACAGGCTAACGGTGATTAGCCAAATGCTAATAATAATTATCTACATGCTAATAATGATTGGCAAAGCGCAATAACATGCTAGACACGCTTACCAAGTATTAGTATTTGATCAAACATGTAAATGAGGCTTGTCAATTAACAACCCGGTTTACGTTAGCAACTACCTAGCAATGCCTTAGCAACCACTTTAGCTTCTAGTTTGTTTTTGATTGGCAACAGAACACAATGACTTGCCTAATTAACCTAGTTAAGCCTTTAAATGTCACTTTAAGCTGAATACTAGTATTGCAAAATAACAAAAAATATATATATATTATGCAAAGAATTTTTCACAGTATTTCCTATAACATTTTTTCTTCTGGAGAAAGTCTTATTTGTTTAATTTCGGCTAGAATAAAAGCAGTTTTTAATTGTTTTAAAGTCATTTTAAGGTCAGTATTATTAGCCCACTTCAGCAATATTAGTGTTGGATTGTCTCCAGAACAAACCACTGTTATACAATGACTTGCCTAATTACCCTAACTTTACCCTAATTACCCTAGTGAAGCCTTTACATGTCATTTTAAGCTGAATACTAGTGTCTTGAAGAATATCTAGTCTAATATTATGTGCTGTCATCATGACAAAGATAAGATATTAGTTATTAAAACTATTATGTTTAAAAATGTGTTGAAAAAACATCACTTTTAAACATTACTAAGAAATATTTGAACAACAAATGTGCAATGTCCAACCATTTAATTAATTTAGTCTCTAACTGTACACGAATGCAGCTATTATACTATAAATAAATGCAATGGTTTTGAGTAAAACAGGTTTTTTGGTGATCTTTACCTTGGTAAGGCACAGTCTGTGTGGGGTACATCTGACTTACAGGCTGCAAAGAGAAATCAGAGATGTTCAATACATAGTGCTGATGGTTTATTTTAAAGCGGAGCTATTATGCAAAAATCACTTTTATAAGGGGTTTAAACACAGTTGTGTGGCAACAGTCTGTGAAAATATTCAGCTTTTTTTTTTTTGTACAATATATTTATTACTTTTTTCAATTTGCATATCACAACAGATTACACAATTACAGAACAATAATCATGAAGGCAGAGCAAACGTCTTACCCCCCATTCTCCCTCCCAACAACCTATTCCCTTAAAAATAAATAAATGAAATAAAAAAAAATAATAATAATAAGTAAATAAATAAAATAAAAATAAATAAACAAATAAATAAATATAATAAAAAAGGGGGAAGAGAAAAAAAAGAAAAAAAAGAAAAAAAAGGGGGATATGTTTAAATCAAGTAGTCTGTTTAGACCATGATAAATAGCCAGCTTTTAATGGTAAACAATTATAAATTTTATTTTTATAATCAGACTTGATATAAACAGTCTGCAGAAGCACTTTGACTGACATTCTCCCTTTGTACGTGTCATCAGACGGGGAAAGCCCCGCCCACTAATGACCATCTCTCCCTCATTAGCATAGGACAATAGTCTTGTTTTTGAATCTGCTGATAAACATTCGCTTGTAGCTCCGCCTTTTTTTGAAAAGAGCACCATCTCATTTGCATTTAAAGCGACAGTCACCAAAACGCCACAATTTGGATCAAATTTAAAACGGTCAGTTTCGGAAAGTTAATAACATTAGTGTGCTGATACTTCAGACACACACTTCTGACATCAGAGACTTATATCTTGTAAACAGGACCATAATAGGTAGGTAAATGAGTGTAGTTAACAACTCAAAGTTTACGGAAAGTTAATTCTACTCATTTGAAAAGAGTTTTAAACTCAGTGTTGAAGATATTGAGCTAATTAAATACCACATCACTTCAACTTAAATAGAGTAAGTTCACAGTACTCATATGGATTAGTTTATTTTACTTAAACGGTTTGTTGCAATCGGTTTCCTCAAACGGTTTGAGTTGCCTTAACTCATTGGGTTTTACAGTGTGCATACACAAAGACTTCAGCTGACCTGAAAAGCATGAATGGCTGCAGGCATCATGGGTTGTGGATTAGCCGCCGCCATGGAAACCGGCAGAAGAGCCGCAGCTGAAACAGACACACACAAATCTGAGCTTTTCTGAAGGTCTCTGCTCAGTTCCTGGACAAACTATTAAATGCATGATTATTATTATTATTATTATTATTATTAATATTATTATTATTAGGAGTGTGTTTTGGTGTGTGTGTGTGTTACTCTGCAGTGCCGGTGGCGGGGCGGAGGAGATGTGAAGCGGCTGTGGTGACGGTGCACTGCTGCGCTCCTTCAGTCTGGACACACTCGGGTCCTGTAGAAAGAAATACTTACACATTTTAATAATAAACTATAGTTAACAAACAGAATTACTCTGCAAAAAAGACAAGTAAAACATACGAAGCATCAACATAAAAGGTTTCAAAGTAATGATATCATATTTGACATATGCAATACATGTCAATCATCTGACAAAAGTAACATTCATTAGTATATGCAAAACATATTATATAGCAAAATAAACAGTCATTCAGCTTCTCTGAATTGATTATTACAGAACTGTTATGTGCATTATTTAAGGCAAATACATTAGAAGTAACTGTGAATGAAAAGTAATCCCACAGTTTACTTTTTTCCAATGGATAAGTCATTTAACAACAGCAACTAGTCACTTTTTTTCATTAAATACATCCAACACTGCATAACAGCTTCAGAACAAACAAACATGAGCGGAGAAAACTCTGCCCAAGTCTTGCTGCATTCCTCCACATTCAGATAACACAGCCAGAAAATTGACTAATGGAAATTGCATTACATTGCAATAAATCACAGCAGATGATCCACTCAAGTCCTGTGCAGATGCACTTTTCCACTCTAATCTTTCCAGCTGTGGCTTTAGTCAAATCTGACAGTCGCTTTTAACAGCAAAAAATAGGCCCTGACCACCGTCAGTAGTATTAATGTAAAGTTTTATAACGTTTTAATGCATTTAAAGGGTCACGAAACACCAGAATACAAGTTTTGAGCTGTTGACCGTCGTATGACTGCTAAAAACACTATTAGGACACAGATATCTCACTAAAGAGGGAAAATTGGTTGTTTTTGCGTTATTTCGAGCAAATTCGTACTTCCGGTTTGAAACGATTTTTTGAAGCTGCGTCACGGCCATGAGATCTTAGCGTGTATTCCAGCATGTGGACTGGACGTCTGTACCTGGGAGTGCCTTATGACGTCTCTGAGTGTGCTGCATTCATTCATGAGTAAGACTTGGCTCAGATCAATCAGCGCACTCTATAGTGTATGAGGTGCAACTTCATTAATATGCATGCTAACTTTCGAAGGCTGTACCTGAAACAGTGTTCAGACGGCAGAGAGACGACATATTGTGCTGCCAAAAGAAGTTGGAAAAGAAGAAGAATTGTTTGGAGATACGGGTCGTCAGTGTTGCTTTTATAATGTGCTGCAGTGAAGGTTTTGTTTTCATTTTCCAGCTATGAGAGCGCAGCTGGACTCACATGTGGATGAGTGCATGCAACGCGCGACAGAAATACATTTGTACGGGACATTTTTTACTCGAGAGCTTTTCTCTTCTGAAAATGGTGAAATTCGGATTTGCTGCTCGTCTCCTTTTTAAAAAGGCACAGCTCCAGTTGGTGTTGATTGTCGTGTCTCTACAGATTTGGCCAGTGTGTGATGAGCGCTCTTTCTTTGATCATTCAGATGGCAAAGTTATAGTTGGTATGGTCAGCATTCTCTTTCAGTGTTTAAAGACAGACCTTAGTCAAAATGATTTCTAAGCTACTCAGTTTACGTTAATATCACAACAATATTATAGACTGAAAGATCTGCTGTAAATGCGGCTCTCCGAGTGTAAAAATGTGAACACTGCAAGCAAACTATTACCGACTGTCGTGTTGAATTTCTGCCGCATTTTGTGACAGGATTGTCTACACACACACATGGCTTTCTGACCTACCGAGTGCATTCGAGTAAATGAGAAATGCAGAGTTTTTTCTCTTATACGATGTGCGGTATCAAACATTCCACCGTCATTAAACACACTGTCTTTCTCCCCTGTATGTGTGTTTGTTTTTCTTCAGTGAAAATCAGCGCGTGCCCAAATGGAAACTCCCATTTTTATTCAAATCCTTCCCCTGTTCTCTCCCCCGACACTCCCACCTAACAGAGCTGGACACACCCACTTTCCTGACTTTTTCCAAACTAGAGGTGTGAAAACTCCCTGCTGAAACAAGGGGTTTCATGGCCCTTTAATAAAATAGTAAAGCAGAATTAAAAAGACTACACATATTACTTATCATGATACTGTTATGAGCACAACATACATTATATTTCTAATGCTGCGTTCACACCAGACGCCGAACGCGCGTCAAGCGCGAGTGATTTACATGTTAAGTCAATGTAAACGCGCGAATATACATCCTGTGGCACGATAAGCGCGAATAACGCAAATTGCGCGAATGGCGCGGGGCGAATTAAGCGTTTTGCGCGTTTGACGCGATTAACGAGCGTTTCGCGCGAATCTCTCGAGTTTGAATATGTTAACTTCAGCAGACATTCGCACCGCGTTAACCAATCAGAAGCTTGCTCTTGTGGGGGCGTGATTATGACATAGAACCTGTTGATGGTGTCCCAGGGGAAATCCTCCAGGCGACACCGACAACAATTCATCAAACTGGGCTCGGCTCAGTCAGAAGCACCGCTGAAAGCCTCCGTGATCCAGGTTCAGTTTCTGGAGGAGTTTATGAGCTCACAGAGCTGGATGCACCTCTGAAAGCTTGTAGTGTACTCAGACACGGTCCTAAACGTATCGACACTGTTTATCATCCTTTATAAAGCACATTAACACTGTTATTTTCTTCATAAAATCCATGTTAACCATTTAGCAATGAAGCTAGAGTCACCAGGCAGACAGAAGCCCTGCCCATCACGCAAATCCGCGTCTGTTCTGAAGTGAATTTGACACGCGAATGAAGCGGGGTTTGACGCACGAATGAAACCTCAAATGTTCACGCGGCAATTTACGCGCGAATAGCACGATTTATCCGCGCGTTCCGCGTCTGGTGTGAACGCAGCATAACTGTAACTCAGCAATTAAAAAAGCTCTCTAGCGTCTGTATTTGTTTATCCTCTCTTTTTTGTTTTGTTATTGTTGCTTTTCTCTTCAATTGAAAACTGACTATGATTGTGAGGTGTTATTAGGCCTGCTACATTAATCAATACGTCGAGTTATCGCACAACACATGGACGTGACCTCAATCATTTCTGGTGATGCAATATATATCACCCATGCATAAAAACCAATTCTAGCAGCATTTAAGCTGATTAACATCTCTATCTCTATTGGAGGTGTCAGTGTCAGCATGGGTAATAAAACACTGTAGTGTTTACTGTACATTACTATAGTATTTTTCATGTGGGTGTCCGACTGAAAATAGATCTAGTAGCAGATATTGCAGCCTCTGTGTACTCTTTACCTTGTTAACATTTAATATTATTTATTGAGGATCTGCGTTTACACACTCTGATTCCAGCGCCTCATTATTAAACTGTTAACATGACTAAAATTAAATGAAATATACTTAAGAATAAAATATGATGTGTTATTTGGAAGAGTTCACTTGCGTTGTGATGCTATTGTATTGTCATTCTGGCATTATTTAATGAGTGGCATAAGTTGGTCTTAAAATGACAATAATATTGTTGTAATATCTTACGACTAAAAATAGATATCATGACAGTCCTACATGTTATAGTGTCACATTTTTGTTACATCCTAATAAAAAGATTGTAAAAAAAAACATGTTTAATTAAACAGTAGCTCAGTGTAGTGTGCTTTGTGATCATGCTTGGTCTTTCTTTGGTGCTGTTAAAACCTCCACATCAAACCAAACCACATTTTAAATCACAATTTTGATCAGAAAATTTGCAATTAGAGGCAGCACGGTGGCGCAGTGGGTAGCACAATCGCCTCACAGCAAGAAGGTCGCTGGTTCGAGCCCCCAGCTGGGTCAGTTGGCGTTATTATGTGGAGTTTGCATGTTCTCCCCGTGTTGGTGTGGGTTTCCTCTGGGTGCTCCGGTTTCAGTCCAAAAACACGTGGTATAGGAGAATTGGGTAAGCTAAAGTGTCCGTCGTGTATGTGTGTGAATGAGTGTGTATGGATGTTTCCCATTGATGGGTTGCAGCTGCCGCTGTGTAAAACATATGCTGAATAAGTTGGTGGTTCATTCCGCTGTGGCGACCCCAGAATAATAAAGGGACTAAGCTGAAAAGAAAACGAATGAATAGATGAATAGATTTTTCCTCCAGTGTTTGTACCTCGAGCTCAGAGTCGCTGGAGTCCGGCTGTGATGGAGACGAGGCCGGGCCCGTGATGAAGGGCAGCATCGGTTGACCCATTTTAGCCATCCGAGAGATCAGCTTAGCTTTAGTGGCATCAGGATTCTGAAACGCAACAGAAAACATGTCTGAACACTTTCTTTATTCTGTGCAAGCTTTATCAATAGGGGTGCACGGACACTAAAGTCTGCTCAAAATCGAAATGTAATGTTAATTTTGCAAGCTCACACTGTTAAACATTTAAAGGGCCATGAAACCCCCTCGTTTCAGCAGGGTGTTTTCACACCTCTACTTTGGAAAAAGTCAGAAAAGTGGGCGTGTCCAGCTCTGTTCAGGGGGGAGTGTCGGAGGAAGAAAAGAGGCATGGTGTGGGAGTGTCTATTTGGGCGCGCTGAATTTCAGAGTCAAAACACACACTCACACACACACACACACACACACACAGGGGACAAAGTGACTGAGTTTACATGGACATCTGTAGTCGAATTATTTGCCAAATGATTAAATGTTGGACTTTAACTGCAGTTTGGCTCTTTCATTCAGGGAATTCATTCATGCCCCTCGCGACAAACGAGATATTTGATTCGAGGAGCTGCTCTAAGCGTGTATTTTTCATGCAATGTTTGATACCGCACGGCGAATGAGAGAAAAGAAACTCAGCATTCCCCGGAAACTTAGATGCACACGACAGGTAGCGTCAGAAAGCTACCCGTGTAGAAAGTATACCTGTGTGTGTTATTCCGGTCACAAAATCCTACACAAGGTTATAGTTTGGTTGTAGTGCTAACTTGTTTACACTCAGTGCAATAGTTTTTTCGATATGAATAAAATACGAATTAAATAAACAAAGAGCACTGGACGCTCACCTAAAATCTGTAGAGACAGGACAATCACCAGCAACTAGAGCCGCGTCTTTATTAAGAGGAGACTACAAGCGAATCCGGATCTCAGCGTTTGCAGATGAGAACAGCTCTCAGGTAAACAATAATCCTCCTTAGACACGTAAGTTATTGTTGTCGAGCGTCGCGTACACTGTTAATCCACACGTGACGCCAGATGAGCTCTCACAGAGAGAAAATGAAAACAAAACTTAACTATAAAAGCAACACTTCACGCTTGTTTTGCCAACACAACGTGGCGTCTCTGTCGTCTAAACACTGTGACAGTAATGAATATTAATGAAGTTGCACAATAGAGCGCGCTGATTGGTTTGAACCAAGCCTTACTCATGCATTAATGCAGCACACTGTAAGCGTAATAAGACACACTCTGGCACAGTCGTCCAGTCTGCACGCTGGAATACACGCTATTATCTCATGGCCGTGACGCAGCTTCAAAAATTTGTTTCAAACCGGAAGTACGAATTTGCTTGAAATAACGCAAAAACAACCAATTTACACTTTTTAGTGAAATATAGGTGTCCTAATAGTGTTTTTAGCAGTGTGGGACACATATACCACTGTCAACAGCTCAACACATGTGTTCTGGTGTTTCGTGAACCCTTTAAAGACTTGCAATGACAAAACAGTGTTATAGGTGTCTCATGTCATCATATACAATAATACAGCCATCTATTATACTTCCATCTTTCATCGGCTAGTAATTCAACTCTTTTGTGAAGGGCAAAATGAACTATTTTAATATTTATATAATTTATAATTATTATATTGTAATATTTATAACTACTAAGTCTTTCATCATACATTCTCTAAAAACTTACATAGAGGATTCCAGTTATGACAGAAATCATCAGATTTCATTAGTCTAGGGATGGGAAGATTAACCGATATGTATTGATACGCGGTCATGCGCGTGCACGATGCGAGTGCATCGGTTGAGCAGCAGAGGATGAATGAAATTTTGGAAGCAAATCGAGATGCATCGGTTTTTGCGAGATGCATCGGTTTTTCCAAGATACAGCTTATATTTTTAATATAGAATGTATTTTTTATTTATTAACAAGTGTTGTCAACCTGTTTTTGGCACATAATTTAATCGACCTACATAAAGTATGCATTAGCAACGGGTTTGCGGATGTGTACACTTACACTACAACTCAGTGTATCAGGTGTGCGGATGAAGCTAGTGGAGCGCCCTCAGAAAGCGCGAGAAGCAAAACAAACATTTTATTCCCCACTGAGTTTTAAATCTAAAGTATGGCAACATTATGGATTTAAGGATGGACGACTTGACAGGACAGATGCAATTTGCAAAATGTGCCGCGCATCTGTAAAATACGTGGGCAGTACGATTAATCTGATATCTCACTTGAAGCGGCGCCACGGTGTTGTTGTGAAAGCATCTTCCAGTGTTCCTGCATCCCCGGCTTCCTGCTCTGCTTCAACTGTAGCTACCAGCTCCAAAAGTGGTGAGAAAAGCATTGCAAGTTTTCTCCATGCGCAACAGTTCTGCTCGCTCTACGCCAATAACGAATGCTATTGCATTGTTCATCTGCAAAGATATTCAGCCTAGTGTCACGGAGAACGAAGGTTTTAAACACCTCCTCCTGTTAATTTGTATTTAATTATAATAATAATAATAATATTAATAATAATAATGATAAAAATAATGGGTGTCACAGTGGCACAGTGGGTAGTCTGACCACCTCACAGCAAGAAGATTGCTGGTTTGTTATATTTTTATTAGCCTGTTGTTTACAGTGACAGTGATGTTTCAAAGCAGCATAACACTGCTAGTTCACCACCTTAAGTTTTGAATATTCAGTGGCAAAATATATCTTTGTAAAACTTGTTTTCATAGTTGAAAAGTTAAATCACAATTCTTGTTGTGCAATGCTCAACCTTTATGTTGAAAGAGTGCAAATATATATATTTAATATTTATTGCACTTATACATTTTGTTTATCTTGAAAATCCTTAAATAATATGTGCTATATGTTCTAAAATGGCCCTTTACTGTAAACTGACACTCTGGCTCTGAGAGAAAAGCCAGTTTGTAAAAAAAGTCTTGGTTTTACTTGGTTTATAAATAATCAAACTCATTCAATGGCACAGCATCCTCTTTTACATAATCTCATAAACTTGATCTAATTAGTTAGTGCTGAATTATCGCATTGTATCGTGATATGGGTGTGAATCGTATCGTGTTGCATCGCAATATGTCACAAATGTATCGCTAATATATCGGATCGTATTCTTTGTATCGAGATGCGTATCGGATCGGCATTATAGCTTAGATGCCCAACCCTACATTAGTCGCATTGTTATTCTCAAGGTATTCTCAATATTTAATATGTGCAAGTTTAATTCGCTGAGAAAAAAACATGTTTGTTGTGGTAATCTTCAATTAAAGTCTAAGCATTTGCTTCTTCATTAGGAAAGGCGGTCATACCATCTCTTACTGTTGAGTTTGCTATGAGGGAATGATGCACAAAAGAAAAGCCCCGCCCCCTTACTCAATATTCCGCTTCATTAGGAAGTACATCAACATACTGAAACAAAAGACTCAGCGACTTCTGGGTAATGCAGACTTTGAAAATCTACTCACAAAGTGTTCAAACAGCCATGAAACAACAACAACTGCCTCTTTCATTTTTGAAACAGCTGCCTCTTTTACATTGCCTCTCTACAGCTGTAAATATATGTGTGTGTTTGCATAAAAACACTTCAGTCTGTCTCCAGTTGTATTCATTTCAATGAAGGGAAACAGATCAAAACAGAGGTGTGGAGGAACTGAAAAGCAGCAGCACTTACAGTCAGCTGTTCACTGAGGGAGTTTGACTTCGCTCGAAGAGGAGGCTCGCTGTAAACAAAGAGGAAACGTTGAAAATGTAGAATTTCAATCAAACACAGGGCACTATTTTCTCAGTCTAAACAGATCAGCTCCTGCATGAGCTAGCAGTTTTAATAATTTTTTATTTTTAATTAAAAGGTCCACTTTCTATTATGCTAAAAATATGATCAGTTTTCATAGATTCAAGTGCTCGTAAGCAGGACACAGAATCTGTGCGAATTTAAGTTTGACGTTGGATAAATGTTGGACAAAGATAATCTAGTGTGAGGCTCCAGCAGAGGCCTGTCAATCTGACCTGGGTCTGCTGCTCTGTGGGACGCTGCTGACGGGCTGGTTCAGCTCAGACGGGCCCAGACTCTCAACACTCGGAGCAGGAGATGGAGACGCTGAATCTCCGGAGCCGACATCCTTCACAAACTTCACCTGCACAGACATTAAGAGAGACTGCTTACTTTTCATGCACATACATATATATATACATACATATTAGGGCTGTAACGATACACCAAACCCACGATTCGGTTCGTATCACGATTTTTGACCCACGATTCGGTTCGTATCACGATTTTTATTTTTTTTTTATTCGTGTGGGGTGGGAAAAAAAAGATTTTTAAAACTATTTTTTATTAAATAACATTTGAAAAATCTTTATAAACTAAACATCAAAGAACAATATTAACTATGCAAATTATTAACAATATAAATAGCCATATATAAAATAAATAAATAGCCATAAGCATTGTCGGTTGTCAAGCGGGGTTAAGTTGGTTTTGTTTTTGATATTTCTGACACATTCAGACGGTCCCTTACTAAAAGCTCCGTGCGAGCTCTCCCGGCTAAATATTGCGAGGGCTTAAATGGAGCAGTGCTTGTAATGTCGAACGAAAAAAAGTGTTAATTAGCTCAACTTTTGCAGGCACGCGTGACATTATTGGAAAGGTATCACGGGGTGTGTCGCGATTCTCCCCTATCACACCGCGACACAGGATCATAGATCTGAGTGTCGCGATTTCGATTTTATATCATGTATCGTTACAGCCCTAATACATATATATTACATATATATTTTTAAGGTATATATACTCAAATAAGTCTTTAGTGTCTCAGCTTCAGCTCAAAACACCTGTCAGATTGTCGTTTATTATACCCTGTTGAAAAAATCAATTTTTGGGTCAGAGGGAAGCTTGACTTTTCTGTATTTACTTTGTGTACTACTGAGCCCAATTAATTTTTTTTAATTGCTATTATCTAGGCTCGCAAGTCAACAAGTCTACATTATCCAGGCCAGGGGTGCTCAACCCTTTTCGTCGTGGAGATCTACCTTCCTGCATAGTTCAGCTCCAACCCTGATCAAACACACCTGAACCAATTAATTAGGAACAAAACAGCGCTTGATAATAACAGGCAGGTGTGTTTGATAAGGGTTGCAACTGAAATCTGCAGGAAGGCAGATCTCCATGAACAGGGTTGAGCTCCCCTGATCTAGGCTGATAAGTCAACTAGGCCACATTATCTAGGCACATAAGTCAATTAGTCTACATTATCTAGGCTGATAAGTCAACTAGGCTACATTATCTAGACACAAGTCAACTAGGCTACATTATCTAGGCTCATAAGTCAACTAGTCTACATTATCTAGGCTCATAAGTCAATTAGTCTACATTATCTAGGCTCATAAATCAACTAGTCTACATTATCTAGGCTCATAAGTCAACTAGGCTACATTATCTAGGCTCATAAGTCAACTAGTCCACATTATCTAGGCTCATAACTCAACTAGGCTACATTATCTAGGCTCATAACTCAACTAGGCTACATTATCTAGGCTCATAAGTCAACTAGTCCACATTATCTAGGCTCATAAGTCAACTAGGCTACATTATCTAGGCTCATAAGTCAACTAGTCCACATTATCTAGGCTCATAAGTCAACTAGGCTACATTATCTAGGCTCATAAGTCAACTAGGCTACATTATCTAGGCTCATAAGTCAACTAGGCTACATTATCTAGGCTCATAAGTCAACTAGTCCACATTATCTAGGCTCATAACTCAACTAGGCTACATTATCTAGACACAAGTCAACTAGGCTACATTATCTAGGCTCATAAGTCAACTAGGCTACATTATCTAGGCTCATAAGTCAACTAGGCTACATTATCTAGGCTCATAAGTCAACTAGTCTACATTATCTAGGCTCATAAGTCAACTAGTCTACATTATCTAGGCTGATAAGTCAACTAGGCTACATTATCTAGGCTCATAAGTCAACTAGTCTACATTATCTAGGCTCATAAGTCAACTAGGCTACATTATCTAGGCTCATAAGTCAACTAGGCTACATTATCTAGGCTCATAAGTCAACTAGGCTACATTATCTAGGCTCATAAGTCAACTAGGCTACATTATCTAGGCTCATAAGTCAACTAGCCTACATTATCTAGGCTCATGAATCAACTAGGCCACATTATCTAGACACATAAGTCAACTAGGCTACATTATCTATGCTAATAAGCCAACTAGGCAACATTACTTAAGTGCATTGTATGATACAACATCTACTCCCTTTTTTATTTCATGTGATCACTACATAAATAAATGATTTTTTAAATAGCCTTTCTCTAGGGAAATGTTACATACAAGGTATGAATGTGAGAATGACGTACCCGACGGATCTCAGCTTCGAAGATGAGCGTGCTGTCGGGAGGCACGCGGTTCGGGACGCCCTGCGAGCCGTACGCCAGAGCTGGAGGAATCACCATGAGCCGCTTTCCACCTTTCCTCATGTTCAGCATGCCCTCCTCCCAGCCCTGAGAGATGGAGAAACACCGCTTTAGACCACAGCATGAGGGAACGACACACATCAAATCTGCTTTCTCCTCACCTTAATGACTTTACCAGCCCCCAGCTTCAGTCTCAGCAGCTTGTCTTTATTCAGATTTGAGTCAAACATCTGAAGGAATAAACAAATAAATGAAATTGCAAAAAGCTGTAAAGTAAGAAATAAACTGACTGTCAAGCAGTTACTATTTTATAAACTATCCTAGAGCGCCACCTGCTGTTAAAAACTAGCCTAGAACGACTAGCCTAGAGTCTCATCCGATGTTAAAATCTAGCATAGAGCGCTGTCTGCTGTTTAAAAACTACCCTAGAGTGGTCTCTGCTTCTAAAAACTAGCCAAGAGTGTTATCTACTGTAAAACTAGACTAGAGCGCCACCTGCTGATAAAAACGAGCCTAGAGCGACTAGCCTAGGGCGCCGTAGCTGTTAAAATCTAGCTTAGATCGCCATCTGCTGTTAAACACTAGCCTAGACCAACTACCCTAGAGCACCATCTGCTGTTAAAATCTAGCCTAGAGCAAAAAACCTAGAGCGCCGTCTGCTGTTAAAAGTAGCCTGGAGTGGTCTCTGCTGCTAATAACTAGCCTAGAGCGTCATCTACTGTAAAAACTAGCCTAGATCGCTGTCTAAAGTTAAAAACTAGCCTAGAGCCTTATTTGCGGTTGAAAAATAGCCTAGAGTGCAATCTGCTGTTAAAAACTAGCCTAGAACAACTAATCTAGAGCACCTTTCACTGTTAAAATCAAGCCTACAGCACCGTCTGCGGTTAAAAACTAGCCTAGAGCACCGTCTGCGGTTAAAAACTAGCCTAGAGTGCCATCTGCTGTTGAAAAGTAGCCTAGAACAACTAGTCTAGAGCACTGTTCACTGTTAAAAGCAAGCCTAGAGCCCCATCTGCTGTTAAAAACTAGCATAGATCGCCGTCTCTAGTTAACAACTAGCCTAGAGCACCATCTGCTGTTAAAAACTAGTCTAGAGCGACTAGCCTAGAGCGTCGTCCACTGGTAAACACTAGCCTAGAGCGACCAGCCTAGAGCGCCATCTACTGTTAAAACTTGCCTAGAAACAACTAGCTTAGAGCGACTAGCCTAGAGCACCGTCCGCTGTTAAGATCTAGCCCAGAGCGATGTTCACTGTTAAACTCTAGCCTAGATCGCCACCTGCAGCTAAAAACTAGCCTAGAGTGCAGTCTGCTGTTGAAAACCAACCTAGACCATCGTCAGCTGTTAAACACTAGCCTAGAGCACCATCTGCTGTTAAAACTAGCCTAGAATACTAGCCTAAAACGTCATCCACTGTTAAAATCTAGACTAGAACACCATCTGCCAGTAAAAACTAGCCTAGAGCGAGGTCTGTAGTTAAAAACTAGCCTAGAGCATCATCAGCTATTAAAACACTAACCTAGAGCACTGTCCGCTGCTAAAGACTAGCCTAGAGCGCCATCTACTGTTAAAAACTAGCTAAGAACAACTAGCCTAGAGCGCCTTCCGCTGTTAAAATCTATACTAGAACACCATCTGCCAGTAAAAACTAGCCTAGAGCATCGTCCGTTGTTAAACACTAGCCTAGAGCGCCAGATGCTGGTAAAAACTAGCTTAGAGCACTGTCCGCAGTTAAAGACTAGCCTAGAGCGCCATCTACTGTTTAAAATGTATTACTTTTATCACTGTTAACAAAAACTAGTGCACTGCCTGCTGTTAAAAACTAGTCTTCATTTTATTTTGATCAATTGAATCAATTTAATCATCAATGCCCTTTACCTGTCCAGTGGTGTGGTTTTGCAGTAGCCAGCCGGTGTAAGCCACTTCTAGAGAGTCTCCGTTCTCCACAGCCTGACCTTCGCCAAGAACAAGATCCTGGATCAGGACTGAGTCTGACGCCCCGCCGCTGTTCACTTTCGCCAGACAAACCTGAAACACGTGCATCACTGCATAAGAAGCTCTTCATCGCACTCTACATGAGGAAAAATAAGACAACAACATCAAACACAAACCTCTTTAGAAAAGTCTGCAGCTGCTTTCTCCGTTTCGAACATCAGTGACCAGTTCTGTCTCTGATCGTCATAGAACGAGCAGTAGTTTCTGGCCTGGACCTGAATGTGAAAGAGACAATAGCTATGTTTCTGTACACAGATGCGAATTGGATTTATGCTCAAACGGCTTTATTCGCAAATGTTTGATGCGATACTCCAGTGTTTACATCCAACGAGTCAAAGAGAACAAACTCATCCTGATAAACTGGAGCAAAATCAGACAGAGAAATGTCGTTTAGTCTGTTAGCACCCATGCGAACATGCAAACTCCACACATAAATGCTGGCCCAGCCATGACTCGAACCAGCGACCTTCTTGCTCTGAGGCCACAGTGCTAACCACTGAGCCACCGTGTCGCCCACATAACAAACAAATCATCTGTAATTAAAGTGAAAGAGTGCTTACTGTGAGGATGAAGCCGCTGTGGATCTTGGCCGCTGTCACCTGCTTCTGTTGACTGACGTACAGCAGGATCTTGTACTGAAGACGGGTGCAGACATGTACGTGCGTTACAAACACCACCGTTTGATAATCAATGAAACGAAGAGAATCACTTACTAACCTCTTTAGTCGTGTGATTTCCGAGAACCGCAGCTCCAAGCTTGCCTTGTTTCACATATTGTCCATTAACACTGCACAAAGAAAAACATACTGTTGACGTCTTGAATTATTAAAGTAGAATTATTAGACTTCCTGTTCAATTTTAATTCTTTTATACGTTTTCTCCAATTTCTGTTTAACTAGGAGAAGAAGATATTTGTAATGACTTTCTAATAACTTTCTCTTTGTCATGATGACAGCACATAATATTAGACTAGATATTCTTCAAGACACTAGTATTCAGCTTCAAGTGACATTTAAATGCTTAACTAGGGTAATTAGGCAAGTCATTGTATAACAGTGGTTTGTTCTGGAGACTATGTAAAACAAATATTGCTTAAGGAAGCTAATAAAAAAACATTACGACTTCTTTCAAATACATTTAGGAAAAAAACGGAATGTTTAAACACTGTAGTCCTTCGGTGTAAATTATAGCGTGTACTTTGCTTTGGAAATCAGGACTAACATGTACAGCATTATGAAAGTACACACGTTTTATAATAAACTAACATAACACACAGATAACATAATATTTTGCGACTTACTATCGGTGTGCATGTACTGCAGTGGCAAAGAGAACAGCAGGTGAGTTTGCAGGAGGAGCTGGCTTTTGGGTTGAGGGCCCTGAAACATAAAATTGTCAGACATAAGTGCATTAAAGATATAGCATCACATTTTATTCTTATGAATATATTTGGCATGCCTTATTCACTAACTCAAAGTAACTAGTGCTATAATTTAATAGCATCTTTAATATTTAATCATTTCCATTCCTTAAGAGGAAATTAATTGAACACTCATCCTTGAGATTTTATTTTTTATTTTACAACCACATAAGTGATGATGATTGTGGAGTGTATTTGTGTGTGTAGGGGTGGGACAACCACATAACTGATGATGATTGTGGTGTGTATTTGTGTGTGTAGGGGTGGGACAACCACATAACTGATGATGATTGTGGAGTGTATTTGTGTGTGTAGGGGTGGGACAACCACATAACTGATGATGATTGTGGAGTGTATTTGTGTGTGTAGGGGTGGGACAACCACATAACTGATGATGATTGTGGTGTGTATTTGTGTGTGTAGGGGTGGGACAACCACGTAACTGATGATGATTGTGGTGTGTATTTATGTGTGTAGGGGTGGGACAACCACATAACTGATGATGAATGTGGAGTGTATTTGTGTGTGTAGGGAGGGGACAACCACATAACTGATGATGATTGTGGTGTGTATTTGTGTGTGTAGGGGTGGGACAACCACATAACTGATGATGAATGTGGAGTGTATTTGTGTGTGTAGGGAGGGGACAACCACATAACTGATGATGATTGTGGTGTGTATTTGTGTGTGTAGGGGAGGGACAACCACATAACTGATGATGATTGTGGTGTGTATTTGTGTGTGTAGGGAAGGGACAACCACATAACTGATGATGATTGTGGTGTGTATTTGTGTGTGTAGGGGTGGGACAACCACATAACTGATGATGATGATTGTCATGTGTATTTGCATGTGTAGGGGTGGGACAACCACATAACTGATTATGATTGGCGTGTGTAGGGGTGGGAAAATTACATGATGGATGATGATTGGTGTGTGTGTTTGCGTGTAGGCGTGGGACTATCACATAACTGATGATGATTGGCATGTGTATTTTGTGTGTAGGGGTGGGACAACCACATAAGTGATGATGATTTGTGTGGCGTGTATTTGTGTGTGTGTAGATGTGGGACTACCAAATAACTGATGAAGATTGACATGTGTTTTTGCATGTGTAGGGGTGGGGCAACAACATAACTAATGATGATTGGCTAAAAACGCAGGAGACGCTTTCAAACGGGTAGAGAGACAGAGCCACTGCATTATAGCAACTTAAATTGCCACAGCGGAATGAACCGCCAACTTATCCAGCACGTTTTTACGCAGCGGATATTTACAATAAAATATTGCATTTGATAGGCTCTCACACTGTCCCACAGCAACATTAGTATAGTATAGAATATTTTATGTTAATAATAATTTATATAATTAAGTGTCGATTTTATTAAACATACAGTTTGTAACAATCTTCTCTTAAAAAGTACCGCAATAGTTACTTTTCCTGGCAAATAGTTACTTTTATAATCGTGTAATTAAGTTAGTAACTAGTAACTATACCTAAAAACTTTTTTTGTAACAAGCCAAACACCGCACCTGAGTTGCCGGAGCTCTTGCGAGGCTGTTTGGGCGCTGTATACTGGAAAGACTCATTCCCTTGGCTGGTTGCCTGATCCAGTCCAAACAGAGATGCTAACTTTGCTCTGAAATCACAGAAAGGCAGCAAGTAAATCCTCCATTGAACTGCTCCGAGTCTCAATTCTCAGTTTAACCTCAATTAAACCCATTGCGTTTTGCTTAAACCCCCTGCAGAAATAAAAAAAAATGCACAACCTGTGTTAAAAAAAAGCTACACAATAAACACAAACAGCACTGACCCGTGGATCTCTCTCCACTTGTAGTCATTGTCCTGCAGTTCTGCCATGCTCAGACAGGCCAGCGACCCTGCATGACTCTGACTGCTTGCTTTAAAGCTAACAGCTATGCACAAACAGCAAGTGTGTGTGCATGATTTAATGCTTCGGATTTTCCAATTGCATGTAATAATATTGTACGTGTTGAACAGTTCTAGAGTGTGTAGGCAAAAAAAAAAGCTCCTCGTGACCCAAGACTGAAGCCCGGCTCTGATCTGCATGTCTTTAAACACCAGCATGTGAGCGGCATTACCACACACACACACACACACACACACACACACACACACACACACACACACACACACACACACACACACACACACACACACACACACACACACACACACACAAACACACACAAACACACACACAAACACACACACACAAACACACACACACTCCACCTCTACAATCCTCACCAGCAGATTCCATATTAATACACATGCAAGCCGATGCCAATGACGACTGAATATCAGTCTGAATAGTAATACTATATCTAATACGGTTGTATTAGTTAATGTTAGTTTACGAATATGAATTAACTATTAACAGTTATTACAGTATTTATTCACATTTGTTAATAAAAATAAAGTTGTTCAAAATTAACCTACTAATGTTATTAGATGGCTGTCTGGAATACTCGATTCTGATTGAGCAGTCGTATGTTAATCCCAGATAACAACCACTAAATAACACAGGCACACACAGGAACACCGAATCTCTTTGACCGTAAGTGAATATTACCGTCAATGTTCATATACATATACCTACATCCACTTTCATATGTATTTGCTTGTCTGACACGACAGTTTAAGACGGTTTGGCACCATCTTGTGAATTAATAGTGTACAGGTTAGTGTATACTCCTTCAGCTGTTTTCGTTTCTGTCAGCTTTGCGTTTTTCACTGTTTGGCGCCATCTAGTGTCTGTATAATGTGCAGGTTAGTGTATACGACAAAGAGGAAATATCCAGTGAGCGGCAGTTCTGTGGGCGCAAATGCCTTGTTGACGCCAGAGGTCAGAGGAGAATGGCCAGACTGGTTCCAGCTGATAGAAAGGCAACAGTAACTCAAATAAGCACTCGTTACAACCGAGCTCTGCAGAAGAGCATCTCTGAACACACAACACGTCCAACCTTGAGGCGGATGGGCTACAGCAGCAGAAGAGCACACCGGGTGCCGCTCCTGTCAGCTAAGAACAGGAAACTGAGGCTACAATTCACACAGACTCACCAAAACTGGACAATAGAAGATTGGAGAAACGTTGCCTGCTCTGATGAGTCTCCATTTCTGCTGTAATGGTGTGGGGGAGATTTTCTTTGCACACTTTGGGTCCATTAGTACCAAGTGAGCATGGTGTCAACACCACAGCCTACCTGAGTATTGCTGCTGACCATGTCCATCCCTTTATGAGCACAGTGTCTCCATCTTCTGATGGCTACTTCCAGCAGGATAACGCATCATGTCATAAAGCTCGATCATCTCAGACTGGTTTCTTGAACATGACGAGGAGTTCAATGTACTCAAATGGCCTCCACAGTCACCAGAGCTCAATCCAATAGAGCAGCTTTGGGATGTGGTGGAACGGGAGATTGGCATCATGGATGTGCAGCCGACAAATCTGCAGCAACTGTGTGATGCTATCATGTCAATAAGGAGCAAAATCTCTAAGAAATATTTCCAGAACCTTGTTGAATCTTTGCCATGAAGGATTAAGGCAGTTCTGAAGGCAAAGGGGTTCAACTCGGTACTAGTAGGGTGTACCTATTAAAGCGGCCAGTGTGTAAACTACATAGCCTGAAATTATTAAAGTGAAACTGGCAAAAGCAACAAGAGGAAGCTTCAGCAGCAGCACTGTGAAAATGTCACTCGCCATATGATCATATGACCCAAGGAAGTCATGCGAGAACCACTTCAACACACCAGTGATGAATGCTGAACACAACTCGATGATTATTGAACACAGATTCTTCAATGATTCTCTGCTTTCTTCACGTAGTTTGGTCGCCATAAAAGTTTCTCCAGGCTATAATGTGTTCGTTATTAACCAACGAGTGACACTCACTAAGTTAATTACATATCTTTCCTATATACCCGCTGCATTCGAGTGGTTTCAGGAATATATATATGTGTGTAATTATTGATATAATAAGAGTGAGTGGTGTTTGTCTGGAGACTTTCGCCTGCGTCTTTCTCCGTCAGAAACTCACTCACCCTCCACCGGGAGACAGAAAATCTCCGTCCTCGTCGTCTGCCCCAAACATGCCTCTGATTTTTCCTCAAACCGCCGCGCGAACAGATTTACTTTTATTCCAGATATGAAGCACCGACGGCCTGCAAATATTAACATATATTCATTCTCTGCGGTCGCTTCCTGGTTGCGCTGGCGTCAGGTGACCCGCCACTGCATCACATGCGCGTGACGTCACACGACGCCTCTACTTACACTGCCGCGAGAAAACTATATTTAAAACAAATCTAAAATATAGTTTAATTATTACTACATCTGAAAATATAAAAACAAAACCGAAGGGGGCTATTTAAAAAATAATAGAAATTAATTCACATTACTGTTTTTACCGTAGTGTACCATCTCTAATGCGATCTGTAGTACTGGGCTAAGATAGTTTTTAATTTTAAATGTATGTAGTTGTCTTGTTGTTTGTTGTATTATGTAATTGTTCTATTGTTGTATGCTTAACACAAACTTTCTTTTTGTGCCAAGCAGAACGTACAATACATTTTAAACAATCAATGCTGTGTCAGTTGGATTTTTTTTATTTGTGCTTGTATTACTCTATTATAATATTAAATCATTTAACTGCTATGATAGTTCATTAATGGTCTGTGTTGTTTTTTAGTGTTATTTATTTGATTGTCCGATTTGCATAAGCGCGGGTAAAGTTCTGCTCCTGTTGCCAAGCAACCAAACTTTACACAAGCAGTCAGTCACAGGTCTGTTTACGACCGCGAGTGTGTGCTGCTGTATTTCTGACAAATGAGGTAAGTGGATTAAAGCTACAAATACAATTATTTCGCTAACACAAACCTAACAAAGGCTTCATTTGTTAACATTGACTGCGGTTTAAATGGTTGACATATTTGAGCTCATTTATGAAAACAAATTGTTTATGATTATAAAGCCTGATAGTGTGTGTTTTATGTAGGAATTGGCGTGTCGTGATTTTTTTATTTGTTTGGGACTTTGCCAACCATCTTAAAAAATACATATACTGTATGTAAATGGCATATATATATATATATATATATATATATATATATATATATATATATATATATATATATATATATATATATATATATATATACATATACTCACCTGCCACTTTATTAGGGACACCTTACTTGTACCGGATTGGACCCCCTTTTGCCTTCAGAGCTCTGGTGACTGCGGAGGGCATTTGAGTACAGTGAACTCAAAGTGGCCATTACCGCCGGAGCTTATACCGCCACCGTTTGAAATTGCTGCCGCTCTGTATTTAGTGTATGACCGCAGTTTGTGAATAAGCCGCCGGGGGGCACAAAGGGATGGGATGCGAACCAATGACTGTAAAAAATATGGACAACGCGACAGCCCCTTTTACCATTGAACGCCTTGAGGGCAAAACGCCTGCTTGACGGGCACAAACTGTCGCAAAAGACTGCTGAAATTGGAGCCACATGCGCAGAAGGACTGTCTGATGGAGCCAGAGGAGGAGCCGCGATAATGAGCGGAGTCGAGCTTCCAACCAAACGCTTTATGTAAAATCAACCACGCCCCCCGAACTGCTCAGCATGCGTTTGCTGTCATATCAACACAAATGGATGTAATAACGTTAACAAATATGAGGGTTTTATATATTCAATCGCGCCAGCTCCGGACCGCAGCTCATAACCTACTCGCGGCGTCACGGGCTGATTCCGGCTCGCAAGCGGCAGCGCCGGCTCGGCCGACGCATCTGGCTCGATTGACTCGGGCTGGAATCGGGCAGTGAGTCCAGGCATCCGGAGTAGGTCCAGCAGAGGTAGTCAGTCTGAGCTCTGAGGGGTAAGTCTCCGGCAGGCGAGAATCTAGCTGGAACTGGCCCGAGTGTATTTTGCTATCTGGGTGGCTAGGCGTGTATCACCAAACTAATAAAGCCCGAAAAAAGCCCTGACCTTAGCGAATAAACAGTGTTCCACCAGGATCATGTATGTCAGAAACTATAGTTTACCGCTGAACTCATTTTGTCATGGTAAAATAACACAGAAATCGAATAATAACATTTCAGTCTACTTCAGTCTCCTGCCGAAGCTCAGACGCGCTGCTTTGAGAAACTGTCAATCACAGCTGTCAATCACGATGACACGCCCAGCATTAAATTACTGCTAAAAACAAACTGTTTACAAAAATGAAAATCTGCACCTATTTCAGCACAATAACCAGTGCCTTAATCGACCAGAACCTTCTTTCGGGACATTTTAATGCAAGTGTAATAATTTTTTTATTTGGTTTCAAATCTCCTTCATTAACACGGAGGAGGCGGGCTTTATGACTTGTACTGCAGCCAGCCCCCAGGGGGCGATCTAACGGCCGAAACCTTCACTCAAACGCAGGCTTGCGGCACACTTGATGCGAACCGACAAAAATAGCCTTTACAGCAGCTTTAAATATGCTACTGTGCTTGTAAATGAGATTAAACAATAAGTCAACGCATTATATTTCCTTCATTAATCATTACAAATTTGTTAACACGCTTTATTGTATACTTGTTAAGTGCAAAGAGGATTCGTTTTGGAAATAAAAGACAACTAAAATGAAAGCACAAACATTCAGTACAAATAAGTAGTCTTAAATAAATAAATAAAGCTGTATTTTAGCCTAAATATAGAGAGATGTTCAGTGTTTGCTATTTTGGTAGGACTAAGACAAGACTTTTTCATTTATGTTTTCATTAACGTTTTTATTCACTTTTTCGTTGTTTATTATATTTTATTATCTCATTTTATGTCTCAATTATTGTACATTATAATAAACGAATAATGAAAAATAAATGAATAATGAAAATAGGCCTAAATAATTATTTATTTAAAGACACTGCGGCGAAACACAGTCAGGCGCATGGTCTAAAGTGTTAAGTTGAATGCTGCTTCATCAAAAGCATAAAAATAAATTAACCAACCTCAAGCAGATCACTAAAAGTATAATAAAAATAACTTTGCCACAGGACATAAATTAAGTCTCGCAGGTTAATTTTTAATAATTTAGTTTCAGTTCAGTTTTTTTTTGTTTCAATACTTCAATGTTCTCCTTTAAAGTATGACTGTTGTTTTGTTTTGTTTTTTTACTTAATGGCTCATAATTACACTTTACCTCTTAAACAATCCTAAAACCCACATCACTAAACGTTTCCCTTAACTGCATCTTAAACAAACTTTTTCTTTTCAATATATAAATGCAAGTACGGGTTCAATGCACTGAGCTCAACAGTTGTGTTGCAGTGAACGTGCTGGAGCTCATTGTCTTCAGGTGCTGTGTTCACACCTGTGCTGCTGGGAGACTGAGCACCGCTGGGCACGAGGAGTCAAACACAGCAGTCCAGCACCCATCAGGAAATCCAGCAGCAAACACCGTGAGTTCACATCACATTTAAAGAGGACCTATTATGCAAAACCTATGCATATCACCTGTTTAACATTTCTAATGCTGATTCTGCCCTTTTGTCATAGTAACAGAGCAACTTCCATCTCTGAGTGTTGTGGATGTGTCTGAATGGACTGGATGGATGAGAGCGGGTACAGAAAGGCCACGGGTCAGCGCTGAAACTGAGGATGCTTCTCACTGCAAACAAATAACACACACTCAGAAGATCAAGAGGTCAGAATAGTAGATCAGACCCAAGACGTCTGAACGAAGATGGTTTGGCTTAAACGTGGGTAAATTTGGGCTGATAGTGAATGTCCAATAGACGTCTAAAAATAGCCCAAAAATAGACTAGTCATCAGATTATACAGACTTCACATGTATAGACATTAATGTGATGATTAGTCTAATTTTGGGCTGTTCAATGCCATATGTTTTTAGATGTCTATAAGATGTATTTTAGACTTTCTTTCAACACAAAATATGCTTGATATATCCAAATATAGAAGTCTTGCCTAAAACAAGGCTAAATTTGGGCTATGCTTGAATGTTTAGTAGATTTTCAATGCCATCTATTTTTAGATGTCTATTAGATGTCTATTAGACTTCTTTTCAACACAAACAAATGCTTGTTTGATCCAAACATAGAAGTCTTGCCTAAAACAAGGCTAAATTTGGGCTATTCTTAAATGTTTACTAGATTTTCAATGGCGTCTATTTTTAGATGTCTATAAGATGTCTACTAGACTTCTTTTCAACACAAAAATAAGCTTGATATATCCAAATATAAAAGTCTTGGCTAAAAGAAGACTAGTTTTGGGATTTTATTAAATGTTTAGTAGATTTTCAATGCAATCTATTTTTAGATG